ATGCTCTATGCTTTGCCAAATTATCTAATATTTAACTAAATGTAAATAACTAAATTTTGGCAGTAATTTAAACTTATTATCAGTAAGTACCTACTTATTTCTTATTAATGTAAATATTTGTTGTTTCTTTAAAACTTGTTTTAATACTCTTTACTCTGTTTTTTTGTAACTATATCATATAGCAAGAAGTAAGACATAATTTGGATAATTTTAATTTTTAACTAATGCATGCAAAGTAACATGCAGCAAATAGTTAAAAAGGCTTTTCAGATTTTTTTACATATTTTTTTCTATGGCCTATCTTCCATAGCAGGAGTATGAAAAATTAATTAAACTTTACCAGCTACAATGCTTGTGAAATTAGTTAAAGCAGAAACAAAAAACTACACAGAACAAGCTCGCCTTTGCAGGAGCAAGGATGCTATGAACTGTGTAGTGGGCCGTTATAAAAGTTTTTGTCGGGTCATGTTTATATAAAGATGGCTACACACTTTACTGCCTGCTTGACAATTGTTTGTATAGTATAATATATTACTATTGGATTTTCTTTACAGTTTCACGGGTTTTAATAAAATAAAAGTAGTCTAAGTTACTCCTTATAACATTAGCTGTCTGCCAGTTAAAGTCCCGTCAAAATCGGTCCAACCATTTCCTAGATTAGTAGGAACAGACAGACAGACATTTTAAAAAATCTTTTTTTTTTTCTTATACGGACCAATATATTTTTTCACTTAAATTTTATTTATTTGTATAGATAATTAACTTGTTTTTTTTGACCGTCTGGTCCTTTAAAGTGTACCTATTGGTCGGTACCTCGTGGTAAACCTATCGGCAACTCCCTAAGTATCAACTTTGATAATCTAAAAGTCATTATTTTGTGTACCTATAATGTTTATAAAAAAATATACTAAAGTATCCACTTACAATAAACTGTTACGAACAATCGTTAGTTTCGATAACTGCCACTAGGGAAATTAATCACCGTCCATACAATAATAAATATAAAACAGGCTTAGTCGTGCGTGCCTTTTAATCATATAATAATTATGTGTGTAGCCGCCTTAATAGGACGTTCCTACAGTAAAATAACTGTGGTAGTTGTTGATGAGAACATGACGGAAATAAAGGTATAAACTATATACGTATATGAATAACGTTGTACGGACGTTACGTCCATACAAAATTTAACTAGACATCCTTTAATTGGCGTCGGATCTTCCTATACATATATCGGGTCAGTGACCCCCGAATTTATTCGACCACTTGACGATATTGTAATTGCGCCTATCTGTGTGGTGTCAATGACATATTATAAGTTCTTGAATTCTTTATCACTTATATACTGTTGTTCTATATCTATACCTACATAAAGTAAAATTCTGAGTCGGATTCTGTACGTTAAATATTTTTTGTAAAATCTCATTGAAATAGTCATTGTTATCGATAAAGAAGCCGAATATATAGTTTTTAAAATTTATATCTGTTTGTCTGTCTGTCTGTAACATTGTGATGCATCACAAGAAAACCATGGGACCACCAACCAAGGCCAACGTAGCGAGGGTGATTCGCTAGTAACTGATATTTCTGTTTTAACGTCTGGTAATAAACTATTAGGTACTTACTGTTTTAAGGTTATTTTTTTTTTATTTATTAGGTAGGAAGCCTACGCTATATACTAAAAATACATATTATTAACTTAATACAGTTATGTATAAAAATAGTATCATAAAGTATATAATATCACAATTACAGGCTAACTTAGTATGCAAATAATAAAATTATTGTTGAAATAAAAAAACAAAAACGGTTGTTGCTCACATATGATCTAATTAATTTGAACAATTAATAATTAAAATTAGTATTTTTGTTAATGATATGTAATATATTGCTAGGTAATAATAAAAACGCGAATAAAACCTCAATCTCTGTTTCATGTACCTATTGGGAAAGCGTAGTTATTTCTAGTGTTAAATTCACAATATGCATAACAAAATTGTTACGTCTGCGTTATGAGTACATTAAATATATTTTAAATAAATTTATCTTTTTGGTTTTTTCGCGCATTTATTTTGACTTTTGGTTCGCGATGTTTCGAATGCTTCATAGCAATTATGGTCACGGAAAAGTCTGTAGCATTCGAGACGTCAGGAACCAAAAATGAAAATAAATACAACCTGGTAAATCACAACATTATAATACAAACTCTTTCGGCCACGTTTGTCCGTATGTCTGAAAGCGATAAACTCAAAAACTACCGAACGGATTTTCAAACGGCTTCCACCAATGAAAGAAGTGATTCATGAAGAAGATTTTGGTGTAGGTGTAAGTAAGGTTTTGTGTAAATTGGCTGACGTTGAAGATATCGGAAAAATCATGTTGACTGGGAGTTTTATATAAAAACCGATAGATTTATATAAAAACAATATATTACGAAATTATTCGTCTTAAAAAGATATATTAAATAATGCTATATGTATGTATGTACATTTGTACATAGGGACGCACCGAAGCGAAGTAGTGTAAGTCGCTAGATGTACATAAACAAACTTACCGCGAGCGGAGCCGCGTGCGAAAGCTAATGAATCAAAAACATTATAAACAAGGTTTATATTCTTTTTATCGAATGCATTGTTTTAACATTTCAACTATGTATTTAATTCATTATTCAATTGAACCAATTCAAATGATTAAATTCCTACACGCTTTATTCCCAGTAATGTTAATTAAAATTTAATTTAACAATGCCATTTCTATTCATAATTCTACAACAGCAAATAGCAAAAAGTTTTTAATACATTTTTTTCTCATCAATACATATATTTATTATATTGTATATTGTATCAAACGCTAGATTTGAAGCATCATCTCGCATCGGGATTTCGTAGTATATAATGGGATGTAGGAATTAAAAAAACTTATAAGTACATATATTAAAAGGTTTTAGTAAATTATATTTTATTTAAATGTATCAGACTGATGTAAGTTACTTGTGACGATCTCTGTGGAGGAGACCGAAAACCCTTTTGCGGCCATTACAAAAAAAACTTTATAACCTATAGACATAACGTGCTATATATTTTTATTATTGTTTTTAACATCGTAAAAAAGTAAGATTTAGTTGCATTTGTAGCGTATTTATTCTAATAATTTGTTTAATCCGTTAGGGTGGTAGTCGTCCGCTACCTTTATCTCTGTTGTGTTGGCTTGCTGTCTCATTGAACTGTGAGAGTTGAGAAATACAGAGTGTACTTTTGTGCAAACCCTAGTGCTTAATATCTTGAATGCCGAGAAGTTTGATTATTTTCTTTAATATCATTTTGAAAGCGTGCTTTATACCTAAAAATGCAAAGATATATTTTAGTACATTGTAAAATAACCTAAATATTCTAACTTACTTTTAATTTTAACAAAAAGTTCTCTTCCATTATTAGTAAGTAGTAGTAAGTTATTTAGTAATTTGTCCCCAAAATGACACCAAACAACTCTAATATTTGTTATCGCTAATGCCCATTGGACATCTAGTATTGCCATTTTCTATTAGGCCTCATGGAAATTGTGTTATATTTTGCGGTTATAAATCACTAGCTGCGTCACCCGGCTGTGTCGTATCCAGGCCGCAGCCTACTTGCACTCACTGTCATGGGGAAATCTTTTATAGCTTTTGTTAAAGTACAATGAAATACATACTTTATTTAAATATAGTATTTCTTGTTAGTTATTTAGGATTTTTAGGTTGGCTACACTTGTGGGAAAGATAGTGCATGTAAAAATATTTTTTATTTCAATTGATCATTCTCGAATCTTGTGTCATATAATAAGTAGTACATCGTGCAATTAAATAATTAATTAAAAAGTCTTGACTTTGATTTCATCAAATTAAAACGTAACAACAACTTTGCTAGAAGCTATATATAGTAAATAAGCTACAAGCTGTAGTATATAGCTGCAAAGTTTGAACTTATATATTTACCAATTGGTTGTTTTAGCGTAGTAAGGAAGGCATGACTGATGATATGTTGATATGTAGATTGAATTTTTTCTTACTGACTTCTAAATTAAATGTTTTGTACGAATAATATACCGTATATGAAATTATATAGAAATCTACTTCAATTCAATTCTTTTGTGTTCTTCAGTGAAATGGTTCCAAAGCGTGCCAGTTGAGCACAGACTTACTTTGCCAATGTCACGTAGAATGGATAAGACACGAAGGAGGTTGGTCGGTAATAAATGATATCATTAAACTGTATATATTAATTAAAAAAAAGTGTAAATAAAAGGAAGCAACTCCTTTATGGACCATGGGTCTACAACAAAAGACAACACAATTACTATATATATATATATATATATATATATATATATATATATATATATATATATATATATATATATAAAAACCAGAAATCTACTTACTAGATATTGTAATTTGACATTAACTGATGACTGACTGATATTAACTGACGACTACGTGACTGACGTGTAAGTTGGTCTGTTGTTAATCAAACGCAACACACAACAAGACAAATTATTTCAAATTCTTAACATAATTTGTCTTGTTGTGTGTTGTTAAATATCCTTTCTGTCGATTGTATGGCTTATCGTAACTTCTACGAATGTTGGGCTTTAAAGACCCGACACAAAACTTTATTATAAACAGCACTTACCGTACACCGTACCGTTTTTTGACGACATGTTTGGCTCACTTTGTAGTGATCCTACTTGCTTTGCCAGCGGTTGCGGGTTCGAGTCCCGCTGGAGGCATTCATTTGTGTGATGAGCACGAATGTTTATACTCCAGTCATAGGTATTTATATTCATAATATGTATGTATTTAAAGTTATATAGGTATGTGTAGTGTATCATCTATCTGGTATCCATAACACAAGCCTTGCAGCTTACCATGGAACTAGATAGTGCTGTGTTAATGTCCCAACATATGTATTTATTTTATTTTTTATCTTAACCAAAAGCTTAAAAACATAATAACTTGTTCACAGGTGGACGGTAAAACCATAAAAGCTCAAATATGGGATACAGCGGGTCAAGAGAGGTACCGTGCGATAACCTCTGCCTACTACCGAGGTGCGGTCGGCGCCCTGCTCGTCTACGATATAGCGAAACACCTGTCGTACGAGAACGTGGAGAGATGGCTCCGCGAGTTGCGCGATCACGCCGACCAGAATATATTGATTATGCTCGTGGGCAACAAGAGCGATCTTAGGCACCTTAGGTGAGTTTCTTTGCTCTGTTTGGTCTTTTGGAGTTTTATAATTTCGTCGTGCCTGTCCGTCTGTTTGTTTGTCACAGCTGTTTTGCTCGGAGACTATTGGATCTATATTGCAGAAGTTAGGTAAGTATGAGTCTCATGTAAATTACTTAAAAAAATGTTCAGTGAAGTAACAAAAAAAAAAGTAAGGGTTGCATTCCAAACATGTAACTGAAGGGGTGAAAAAGTATCACAACAGAACTATGTAGAACTGTTAGTTGCTTAGTTCTCATATACTTCCTAATATCATCATATAAATCTAACTAGTTTTATAAAAACGTGCGGAATCCTTGATAACTATACTTTTAATTAGCCTTGTAATGAGGTGCTGTGAAGTCTTATGGTGGCTTAATTATTATATAAAATGTATTATAATTTATAATATATATTAAACTGCTTCGATGTAGTGGCTAGTATATACGGCTGCAGGTCCTGAGTTCGAGTCCTGAGTCGGACCGATTTTAATTATTTTAGGTCTTAATAGCAGCCCGGAGTTGCGAAGTTGTATTTATAACTAAGCCGAATCTGTACATTAAATATTTTTTGGAAATCTCATTGAAATACTTTATTATCGACACAGAAGACCAATCTAAAGTTCGAAAAACTACTGGAGGGATTTTGATGTTTATTATCCGGGTCAACATATAGGATACTTTTTACCGCGGGAAAATATCTGTGACAAATCTATACTAAACGTTAAAACGTAACTAGGGACGAACCCGAGCGGAGCGGGGGTGACTAGATATTATCTACATACATGTACATACATTGTACATATGTATAACGTGAACTTATAGTGTAAGTATTATATATAAACTTTCAAATTGCAGATCTATCCCAACAGAAGAGGCAAAGGCATTCGCGGAACGGAACGGGCTTAGTTTTATTGAAACGTCCGCCCTCGACTCGACCAACGTCGAGCCGGCATTCCAGAATATATTAACCGGTAACTGTTGTCTTTATTTAATTATCCACTAGCTCTTGTACGCGACTTTGTTTATAGATTCGTATGATGAATTAAATAAGTTTTTAATTTAATTGATGTAGTTCAAGATTCGAAATTAGATCGTTTTTCACTCATATGCGTTTGCTGGTAGACATTTTTTTTTCATTAAATGTATATATGTATATTATCGTATAATACATCGCAAATCAGTTGAGATTGAATTTTATTAAATATCATTTAAATATATTCATGTCGAAGTCTATTTATGTTATGTTTAATAATAATAATAATAATAACACTTTATTGTACATCCAAAAAGAGAAAAGAAAATATACAAAATATAGGAGAAGGTACAAGAGGCGGCATTATCGCTAAAAGAGCGATTTCTTTCGGGCAACCTTTAGGTGTAGGAAATAGTACTAAGACAAATAAATAAAAAGATACATGAAGTCTCATTAACTTTTTTTTTATAATTAAATAATAATTTAAGCTGTTCAACTTAGTATTTATATTGTCGCATACATATTATAATACTATCTCCAATGTGAGCTAACCTTTACATATCGCCATCTGCCCACAATGGAACATCTGTTTTAGATTTCATAATATGTAATTAATTTTATTTTTGTGCTATCCTGTTTCTTAAACATTGCGTTTGTAAATAAATATCCATTTACTTATTAAATAACAAAGTAAATTATATAGAACTAGCTTTTTCCGCGGCTTTGCTCAATAAATAGATACAATTATAAAGAGACTACGCCAGCGGTTCCCAATTTTTTTTTTTGGTTACGGAAACCTAATTAATCATAAATAATTTTCATTTTTTTTCACATATTTAAATTAGTTTTCATGTCTGACAACGTTACATTTAAGTCTCGGACGGAATTCGGAACCCTTTTATTATTTTTCTATTTTTTTTGTTAGGAAATGCATTTAGACATATCACCTGTAAGACATACAGGTTATGCGGGAATCACCGACTAGAAAAGCCAGTACTATACACTAAAACGCAAAAAAACCTTCCCCCGTCTTAATGAGGCGTCGCAGGATCTCTTACGCACTCAACCACGACGCTCCGACTGCAGGTCTGCCGAAGCAGACCACAACAACCATGGGATTGTTCCAACGGTCCATTCTGTCGTCAGAGAAGACCAGGGGCATCCCGCATGGTACACCGCCCACCGAAGTGGGCCACCTCCCAATGCTTTTCTTGGCTTGACGCCCGGCTGAACTGCCGGTGGCTAATGAGCCCACACCACGACAAGGTGAACGCACGCACCATTTAGGTACCCCTGGACTACGCAATCTATCTATGTATAATTATTTTAATCATAAAAGTCTTAGCTTAAAGTTAGATAAGTAGTCTATTATCAATTAAATGCAGATAAGATTTTCCAAATCCTACGGGTAGTTTCGGAGATTAGCGTAATCAAATAAAAACGAAACGTCGGGAACCAAAAATCAAAATTAATTCGCGAAAAAATCGGAAAAGATAGTTTTATTTAAAATTTTATTTTTTTAACCAATAAACTTTTCAGCTTTACCATATTAAAATAAAAAATAAAATAAAAAAACCTCTATTATTCCATTGGCATGTACATTTGTATAAATAGGCGTGGATATTGTTAGTCCGATATATATATGCCATCTGGACCCCTCTTCGGGTGAAGGCCTCCTCCAGAGATTGCCACTTGTCGCGATTCCTTGCGAGGTTGTACCAGTTGCGTGTTCCAACGGTCTCTATCTCGTCCTTCCCACCTTGCCTTTGGTCTCCCTCTGCTTCTGTGCCCATGAGGTCCTCTTTACTATATCAGTATACATTAATTAACTTAGGAAAAAACTTAAAATGATGCATTAGATATTTTCGTTTGTTTGTCTCGAGACTATATGAACAAGGTAGACAGAGCGTGAAGAACAGATTGCTTGACGCGTGACATGGTATTGTATTTGTATGATAAAAATCACATTCGCCGCAGTATTCAAGGCCATAGCGATCAGGAATTCGGATTCACTTTTATTACTATATACGTTCTCCTTATTTTATTCTTTTAGTTATTCTATATATATATATACTAGCATTGCCCGCGGCTCCGCCCGCGTTCAGATGACCAAAAACTAAATTCTTAGGTGTTACATATTAGTATACTCTTACATTGCAGTTTTTGTATTTTTCCTCAGAAATAAGATATTTTCCCGCGGTAAAAAGTATCCTAGGATCGCGCGCTACATCGCCCGGTTTATATAGCTTGAGCAGGCGGTCGAGCGATGCGGGGCAGAGGGGATGGACTCGCCGTAGGCATCTCAATGCTCGCCAAGCATTAAAAATGTTTCGCTACTAATTACTTCTAACAACGATATCTCAAAAACTATTCATCTGATTGATTTAGTGTAAAGAGCAATTTTAATCTGCATTAAATGACTAAGCTAACTAAAATATTCATTTGGATAAGGATTAATACCGAACTAAAGAAAATAACTTTGAAAATAACGTAATGTTTTTAATTAAAAATGTTAACATAAAAGTGGTTATTGTAAGTCAACCGTAAGAGATAGAGATATGCTATCGCGGACTTTTTTGTAGCATTTTTATAGATTTTGAATTCTCTAGTACATTACTTAACTGTATCTTTGCTAGTTTACGCGGCGTTCGCGTGGAAAGTTCCCATTTGGCGAGATTTTTTGCGACCTCTTCAACATTTGTCGCCGTATTTCAGCTAATTTACATAAAAGCATAATAAATTATATACCTAAACCTTCCTCAAGAATTACTCTTTCTATTGTTGAAAACCGTATAAAAATCCGTTCAGTAGTTTTCGAGTTTATCGCGTACAGACAGACAGGAGGACAGAAAGACGCGGCCGGGGGACTTATTTTTATAATAAGTATAGATATATATATATATATATATATATATATATATATATATATATATATATGATGATGTTCTCCTGACCGATTCCGGCCACGGCGGCCAATCTCATTGAGACTAGCCAACTGCGCAGGAGATATTATAGTGCACAAGTGTACGCGCAAACACAAGTGCACTCTCTATTCCTGTCACTCTCATACTCCGGTGGGACGACTGCTCGACACGACCAGTGAGAGTTCAGGCGCAGGACCGACGGCTTTACGTGCTCTCTGAGGCACGGGGGTGAAACACCGCCAACTTCCCGACTCCGGGCTATTACTGAGACTTACTATACAGAAAGACTCAATAACTAAACTTGGCCCGACCTATATATATATATATATATATATATATATATATATATATATATATATATATATAATAAGATCAATCTTGTTTTTTGAAAGAACATTAGAAAATTTTATGCGATGAATTACTATTTTGTGTATATTGTAACACTGTCTGGTAAGATTGGCTGGTGGAGAACATTCAGTGTCGGATTCAACCTTAGAGCCGCCTCTGGGCACTGTAAAAAATGTCGCCCCATTATCGAAATTTTGCATAAAATAAATTTCGATAAAGTTTAATTTCTTTTAATTAAGTATTATTTTTTTGAAAAATGCAAAAAATTGTGTAATGTTTTTAACTTTTCGATAAAATGTACTAGTAATTTTTTTAATTAATATTTTTTGGAAAAAACAAAAAAGATTTTTCTATAACATTAAGAAAAAATTTTTTCACTCTCTGAATTTTGCCGCCCCTGAAAATTTTCCATCCTGGGCACTAGCCCCGAGTGCCCCTAGTGTAAATCCAATGTGAGAACATTTGTACTAGTATGTCCGCCTTTTGTACATTTATGGCTTAGAGAAAAGGGGAAAAGATTTCGTGTCGGGTGTATGTCGTTTCGTAATTTGCATATACAGGGTGGATAGGATACCATATAAAATATTATATATATATATATATATATATATATATATATATATATATATATATATATATGTGTGTGTGTGTATATATATATTGAAGAACTCAAAATTAAGGTACAGTCATAGACATAGAGAGTGGACTGAGTGTTTGTTTGCCAGCCGTCAGCTAAACATGGCGGACAGGCGCGACAGAGACAAAACGATGTGCGGCCAGAAGTCGTGTATTCATTTAAATACGATTAATAAACGTAGATATTTATAATCATTTTACATTCCGTTATAATATTATATGTTTTTTATATTCCATTTATAAATTCAAATCGGAATAAAATACATGTATTGGCCGCATGTTCGCTCTCTCTTTCTAGACAGTGGTCGATTTCATGAAAGTATTGCTCAGTCCATTCTCTAGGACTATAGGTACGGTCAAGGGTTTTAAAAGTATCTAAAATAACATATAGCGTGTGTGCTGGACGAAGCAGCAAATGCACTTTTACATTTATAATATTTTGCAACTAAAAATCTAGTAAATAATATAATAAGAAAAATAATTGAAACTCAACATTTCCCTGGATTTTTAATTCATTCATTTTCTTCTAAATTACTATAATATTAAAACACATTAGATTTTAATTAAAGTTATTATTAGTATATACATTAGTGTGTTTGTGTGTGTATGTATGTTACAGAGATCTACAGGATCGTATCTCAGAAGCAGATGCGCGACCCGCCCGAGGGCGACGTGATCCGGCCGGACGCGGAGCCGGCCGACGTGCGGCCCTCCGCCGACTCCGTGCGCCGGCAGTGCTGCCAGTAGCGACGTATGTACACACATACACACATTACACATACACCACCAAGCACTTGCTTAATATAAATAAATAAAATAAAATATTTTAGGACAGTAACACACAGCACCATCTAGTTGCATGGTAAGCTACGAGGCTTGTGTTATGGATACCAGATAGTTGATACACTACACATATATAACTTTAAATACATACATATTCTAAATATAAACACCCATGACTGGAGTACAAACATTCGTGTTCATCATACAAATGAATGCCCCCAGCGGGACGCGAACCCGCGACCAGTGGCACAGCTAATAGGGTCACTACAAACCGAGCCAAACGTGTCGTCAGACATACTTTCTTAGAAGTACGAAATCTTGGTAATTATATTATTATTATTATTAGGCCTTTGAGACTTGTAAAACCTTGTCTCTCCCTTGACCATGTTGGTAAAGCATTCGAAACGTCGGGAACCAAAGATCAAAATAAATACGCAAAAAATCCGAAAAGATATTTTTATTTATAACAAATTTTATTATAACAAACAATTATATCTTTTCTTTTTATAGTATTGCTGTAATAAATAAGAAAGATAAGTTTAACCTTATTTTTTTATGTTTGCAGAAAATCCTGTTAATGTTGCAAGTTGTGTGCAAGTGAGGAACAGAAAGGAAAATACAACGCAAGAAAATGAATCATTCCCAAACAAGATCATAAATAATGTTGCCAGCTCTAAAAATCCGATAAAACCTGCCATTCAATACGTTTTACAGTATTATCTGTGAAATAATAAATGCTTTTTAAATATAATATTTTCGACTGGCGACACTAAGCAGTACAGAGTGGCTCATGTAGATAGCTTCGTGTAATTATTGATATATATTTAGTGTCGGAACTATTAAAGTTGAAGCTCTCACTTGTGTTATGGTACTAAGACTTATAAATGCCGTCTGTTTTAATTTTTTTTTCTATTTTAAATGATTTCTAAATTATAATTATTTCGGTGAATAATAAGCGTTGTGTTTTATCACTTTTAAAACTAAATATGGAATTAATTTAGTTAAATTAAATATTTATTTATATTTTAAAAAATTAAATTCTTTCTTTTTAAATTCAAACTGTTTTTTTTTTAATATTGGATAAAGATAATGAGTTCTTACTACCGTAACACAAATGGGCACTAATTATATTGTAAGGGCAAATTATCACGTAGTACGATAAAAACGCACTCGATTTCATTTGGCGCTTAATAGACGTACACCCGTGTAATTTACTCATTGGAAAAGTTATATGTTACTGTGTCTATGAACAAATTGACAAGCCGATTTTTATATATAGATTCATCTTGGTGACTAAAATTTAGATGTACACAGCGTTTCGTTGTCAACTGAAGATTGTACATTATTTATATATATGTAAAATTGAATACTTATATGAAATGATTCATTCATTCATTTTAGTTCATTCATTTGATTGATATCACGTGTGAAGTTAAATGCTTATATCTATATAATATGTTGTAACGTGTATATTAATTTTGTAGTGGATATTTCTCGTGTATATAGAGAATGGGATTCAAAATGGTTGCTCATTACTATGGCATATAATCGATAATTATCTATTTCTATAATAGCTTTGTAACAGTATAGATATAATGTTACTGATAAATGTATGTATGTATTTTTATTATTAAAAAAAATTGCATTTCTAATCATTTTGAAAATAAATGTAAAATATTAATAAGAGCGTGACTTACTTCCTAAAATGCAATAATAAATATAAATTAATCTTGAAAGTTTATGGTAAAATAAATAATGTTAGTAATAAATATTATTATTTTGTTTGTGGCCTTCAGCGGATGTGAGTAAAGAAGATGCTAGTTTGTAAGCGGGAAGTGGATAGAAGTGACGCCATTTATAATACCATTTTTTATCTACGCCAGTTATAACTAAAATGTCGTTATAATCGATCGACTTGTCAAGTTGTTGGCGAGACACGCTTATTTTGTTTCGACTTAGTGAATAATTCATATTTCTATTTATTTAGTTAATAAAACAATATCTAGCCAGTCCCCTTAGAAAAATTGACTTTCTACAATCTATTATTGATACCTATTAGCAACAATAGAAAAGTAAAAATGTATGGCAATGACATTTATGTCGTTTATATTTTGTTTTCTATTAGCGATATCGATTGTAGAAAGTCAAATTGTCTCAGGGGACAGTTCTTTGATTTGTATCGGCGCAAGTGACGTCATCGTTCAAATAAATTCAAAATAATAAAAGAAAATTTTATTTTATATAATATAGCAACCCTTGATTTATAGTTTAAAATAAAAATATATGAATATATTGGTTTTGATTTCATTTTGATGGTACTGGGTTCGAATCCCGCGGTAAGCAATATTAATCGGTCGTCGCATTCGAGATTCATTAGCTGGTAGTTTGGATAAGTGGAAATAGCTTTTTTAAATAATTTGTTCATGATATTACGTGCCTTCTGCCTGAAAACATGTACGGTGCATTGAGCTTTCGATTTTTTATTTTTGCCCATGTTCAAGTTGAAAATCTATTCTATTTGGTGGAATCGATAACATAAATAAAATTATACTGTTCGTGCATACGTGTAGGTTTGTATTTAACCGACTTTAAATATGATGAGTAATATGCCAATGTAAATCAAAAGATTCTTATAGTTTTATTTGGGTTATTGATTTTTAATGTGATGATGGAACTAGCAAATTGCGATATCGCTCTTCAAAAGTATGGTGGTTTTGCACCAGTCGTAGCTATTTAAGCTTATTCGTACGCGTTCATGAAATCTATTCAATCAACCCTTTAAAGGTTTTTAGAGGTTTTCCTAAAATCCTCTAGATCTTTATATCAAATTGGAATTCAAATCTTGGGCTGTACCTTAGATATTTCTATAAAGTTATATATTATTTAAAATTGGCTGTATCATAGATGGTAGATAAACTGTGGATAGTCTAAAGATACATATAATAACTGCCGTCTTATACAAGTTAACTTTCTACTATCGATATATATCGCTATTAGAAATTACAAAATTTATGGAAATAACACATTTAAAGCACAAAATTTTGTGTTTTTGTTTCATTCCCATATTTTATTGTATTCTATTAGCGTTAGCGATTATAGATAGCGTCTTGTCTAAGATCTCAATAGTTTTCTTAGTCGTTGACCTTTACATACAAAACCTACTATTCACTCAAATATATCATAGTGTTAAAATATAAATTAGAAGGAAATTGTTTTTTTTTTTGCATTTTGAATGCTTAAATAGCTATGATATGGAGTATAAATACCATGGAGTTTAAATTTTGAAGTTATTCAATACTCAGTTAACTCCATATAAAGTCTGCGGTGTTCGTTGTAAGAAATATATTATTGTATTATGGTCTTATAATGCATGGTTATTTTTAGTGCCTATCTGTAATTACTTTATTAAAGACAAAGATAATAAAATATTATGTAAATTTCCAGGTGTTTTTATTCCGTTTCTATATATTGATACAGCTTAGAAATAGTTTTGTAAGAACTTTTCGATCTTTGGATTTATTTTTTATAGTTCCGTTCATCTATACATATAATAAAATTCTAATTGAGTTGAATCTGTACATTAAATATTTTTTTGGAAAATCTTATTGAAATATTATCGATACAGATGCCGAATCTATAGTTTTTAGAATATCTGTCTGTCTGTCTGGGAACGCATCACGAGAAATTCACTGAATAGATTTTGATGAAATTTGGAATGATGGTAGCTGGTTATCCGGATCAACATATAGGATACTTTTTACTGCGGGAAAATATCTCATCTCTGAGAAATCTATACGAAACGTTAAAACGTAACTAGGGACGAAACCGAGCGGAGCGAGGGTGAGTAGCTACTTGATCTATAAAAACGTACGCATTTCTTATATAACAAATATCTCTTTCGACATGTAATGTTAAGTCAAACCAAAGAATAAAATTAAAAAATCGAAAGTTCTAATTGTCTAAACACAAATTCCAACTTACGCCCACCTCATAGAATACTTTTTTAAACGAAACAACTTCCCAACTCCGGGCTACCACTGAGAATATCTTAAGAGAAAGACTCAATAACTAAACTTGACCCGACCCGGGACTCGAACCCAGGACGTCCAGATCTGCAGCCGTACATGCTAACCACTACACCACCGAGGCAGTTAAAATTATTAATATTATATTACTTGGTGAGAGGAAAAATAATGATGAAATTGCCAAAAAAATTTTTATTAAACATTATAATGACTGGAACCTAAACTAATTAAATATGGTGCCATTTTGTATTGTGTAGTTAGATCATGTTAAATATAAATAATACAAAAATTTATAGTTAGAATTTCAGTTCAGTTTATTGTGCCTTAGTTCTACCTTAACTTAGAATCACAAGTCAAATAGCAAGCAGTGTTGGGCTTATATAGTGAGTAGTTGAGACTTGAGTGCAACACGGAGTTACTTCTTGAGGAGACTGTTCACAAGCGCCTTGAAAGCATCTAGACCCTTCTCATTGGCTTCTTGGTAACCAGGAGCTGTGGACTTCACGGTTTCGTACCATCTGAAAATGTATATAGTTTTGGTTATTATGTACTAACAATGTCCTCGTGTCGGAATTCGGCCACGGCGACAATCTCACTGAGATTAGCCATCTGGCTGATCTCACTGAGATTGTGTTGTGAATGTAAAATGGATGAATGTGAATGAAACATGTGAATTGTGCACTATAATATCTTCTGTGCATCTGCGCAGGAGATATTATAGTGCACAAGTGTACGCGCAGACACAACGTGCACTCTCTATTCCTCTCAAAGTCCGATGGAACGATACTTCGATACGATCGACGAGAGTTAAGGCGCAGGACCGACGGCTTTACGTGCTTTCCGAGGCACGGGGATGAAACACCGCAAACTTCCCAACTCTGGGCTACTACTGATAACATCTTAACAGAAAAACTCAGTAATTACACTTGGCCCGATCCGGGATTCGAACCCAGGAGCTCCGGATTTGCAATCGTACATGCGAGCCACTAGACCAACGAGCCAGTTTATATGTAGTATACGCTCGATTGGCCGGGAGGCTCTTAGTCAGTAAAACATTCGGTAACAAAGGGATTGAGTGTTTGTTTTATTTTTTCAACAAATTACAACGAAAAACAGTTTTTAGGCATTACCGATTAATTAACATAAACTAGGTTTTTTACTTATATCGATTAGTAACTAGTAAGTAATAATAAATGTATGAAGGTATAACACAAAGGAATATTGAACATATATGGTATGGTAATGTTGATTGGATTCCCACGCAATAATTACATAATTTGCTTTGTACTTTTCATAATGCTTGAAATCAAGTAACTGCCCTTTTTGTATCGATTTTGCTATTACCGTATTCTATTACAGTTAAACATAACAATGAATTCATCTATACTAATATTATAAAGAGGATAGATTTGTTTTTTTTGTACCGAATATGCTCCGAAACTACTAAACTGATTTAGATGAAATTTGGTAAAAAAATAGTTTTAGTTGTAATATTAATTCTTGTGCTTGATGTGAAATATACTTATGTTATGATAAAACAGTTTTCAAATTTATCTTAGAAATGTTCCATTGAAAGTGTTTTTAGAATCGATTGATCTGTTTATACTTAATATTATAACAGATGATTATATATTATTATACATATATGAGCGTAGTTAAGTTGACCTAGTGTTTGATTAAAATAAAAATTTGTATAATGAGTTAATTGGTACAATAAAAACTTTTTGCATTATTTTATGTTTATAAAACTAATAAATTATAATGGAAACTTGAAACATGTACAAACATAACCCTTTACGACCGATTAAATATGAGCGTGACATTTGGTAAAAAAAATTCTAATTCAAAATGTATTTGTTTTTGTGAACGCAATCGGCCTCACACGATAATGTTGATACATACGCTTTATTCAAAAATTAAAAGGACACGTTGTAACGTATCCAGTGGTCGAAGGACCGTCGACAAAGATGGCAGCGCATTTTGGACATGGGTCTCGATCACATAAGTACATTTTTTTACTATATTTTTCATAGCTTGACATATTTTTTTGTTATTAAAGTTTAATGTAGATAATAATTAACACAAAGCCGTAATTTTTGTTTTGATAGCATAGTTGTTCTTTTGTTTGTGATCTCTCAAACTTATATCGTCACGATCGTGACAATCCGGGTTTCAATTCATTAATAATTACGAAAAACGTATTTTTTCTAAAGCTGCTTTTTGACAGTACATGTAAAGTTTTATAATTTTATACTAATTTTAGGCGCAGTTTTGAGGGATGAAGAGGTTTTAGACCTCTTGCAAAATAGATATGCTCTATGATATTGAGGTGCTGCACGACGAAGGTGAGGAATTTGATCGTTTCCTTTTTCAACAATTTAGAATATCATCCAGAAGGTTCCTCCAGCACATTGGGAACTGTCTTCTGATGAGGTAATTACTGAGAATATGTCTGTTCGTTATTTGGTACGTGAAGGCAATCATCCTTTACTGATAAAGATCTTAATTACCCAAGTCCATCCTCAGGACCTGTCAAGACATCTAGTGAGTATATTTATGACTATTTTGATAAGGAATTCATCGAACTGGCTGCTGGTTGCTCCAATATTTACTACCTACGTAAAAACGGAAGATAATAAAGCTATATTAATGGCGTCCAATTGTACTGGTGCTAAACATCAAGACTTCGTTAAACGATGGGACAAACAAACAAACAAAATCTTACAAGGATAATATTATTCCCAGGGTAGTTAGCAATTATATTAGATACATGGGTGGAGTGGATGTTTTAGATCAAATAATGGATTAATAGCGTACCTTCATGAAAACGAAAAAGTGGAATCTGAAGGTAATCGTTCATATTTTGGATTTAGCTATAATTAATGCATGGCGGAAGTAAAAAATAGATTGTGAAGCTAATAAACTTCCGAAAAAATATATTAGATCTTCTGAACTTTAAAATGGAAGTAGCAGATGTTTGGTTGAGTACTCCAGACCCCAAACGCCGATTGAGTCAAGACACAGATACTGAAGATGAGGCACCACCTTTCAAGTATATGCCAGCAAGATATTGGAGAGTATGCGAGCAAAGCGACATGATGGGTATGATCATCTGCCAACCTTTGCACAGTTGTCAGCTCAACGTTCCTAAAGATTAGAGATATGCACAAATAGAAGCAAAATTCGTTGTGTAAATACGATGTTTACTTGTGCATGTCGCAGGGACAAGATTATTTCCGATTATACCATGCGAACTGAAATATCTAATAATTTTATTTGTAACATACCAATAAAATTATTAGATATTGCAGTTGATCTCAAAATGGTTCCTATTATGTTAGTTATTTTTATGTTTTCAAAGATTTAATCTAATTTATATACTGAAGTTGTTTACATTATATAATAAATACAAATATAGATAAGTTTAATACATATAAGTATAATTAAACCAAAAATATATGCTGAATTATAAAGACTTATGTATAGATTACCAAATTATTTAATCACGGATATAAATAAAGTTGATTATACTAGATTTTTATTTCATTAACCCAGCTGCTTCCTAAAAAATCACCATCGTGCGGAAGTCAATTTAATCCTGATCGTCACGATCGTGAGGGTACTTTTTTTAAAAAATGGGGGGTACACAATTTTTTTTAATATTTTTTTTAGGTTGTTTGAAGCCTAAATAACTAGAATACATAAGTCATACACGAAAAAATAAAAAAAAAGTTCGCCGGTTGTAAAGGGATAACAGAACTATCAATTATTATAGCATCATTGTGACAAGGCAGTTTAGTCGCGTGACGCCTTTATCGTTTATCTGCACGATAATTAATATATATTAGCTGGAAAATATATCCACTGAACAAATGAATGTTTAATGCTTTGGCGTATTTTCTATATTGTTAATACTTGACTTACGTTATTTTAAAAACTGTTCTAAATTATCTATGGAAATATTGAGCATTTCTTTTAAATACCTAGGTACTTATTTTTACAATGATTTAAAAAAATTAAATACGAGTAAGTGCGAGTCTGTCTCGCAAACTCAGGGTTCGGTAGTATGAAAATACGTCTGTCTGTCTGACGGACAGACGGACGGACAACGAAGTCATCTTATAAGGGTTTCATTTTTCTTTTCGAGGTACGAAACCTTTAAAATTGCTGTAATAGCTTACAAGAAATCACTAAAAATCACATAAAAATTATAATTAACACCTCCAGATAAATTTCTAAGAAATTAATTACAATTCTAAGAAATCTATTGTTAACTAAAACGCCGGCGTGTCCGCGCTCGTGGAGAGATTAAGATATAAATTTTTAAGCACATCTAACCTTTTAACATTAGGATATTTCTTGAAGTCCACATCAGACGCCTCAAAGCTAGAGACGCCAGCGACGATGCTCAGGTCGGCCACAGTGAGGTTGGGGCCCGCCACGTACTTCTGGCCCTCGAGGAACGTATCCAAGAGCTTGAGAGCATCCTCAACTTTGGCCAGCTTGTCCTTATCTGCAGGAGCACCTCCGAAGATTTGTGGGTACTGGAAGTGAAATTTTAGATATATATTGATTAATTTTGTATTTCAATGGAATATGCTGCTGAGTCTCTTCCATGATCATAGTTGCTGTAAAGCATTCGAACGTCAATAAAAATAAACCACGAGTATAAAGCGTTATGGAATATGGCAATTTTAGTTGTTAGTTGCTAGTGGAGGTCCTATCACTGCACGTTTTCATATATTTATCCAGCTAAAAATGAAATACAATCTATTCTTAAAACAAAATTTTTATGAAGTCAAATTGATATGTTAAATTATGTAGTAGGCATGGCTTAATACTGCTAAATTCTAAAGTTTAAAGCATTTCATATTTAAAGAAGAAATGTTTGTTTTATCTGAATTGGTTTATGATATCTGTAATACATAATCGAACTACTATTATATATGCGAAAGTTTATATGTGTCTGTTTGTTACTCTTTTACACTATAGCAGCTGGACGGATTTAAAATTAGGTCAGAAATAGACTACGATCTGAAGTAAAACATCGGCTAATGTTATTTATCTAGAGATATATCCGAGTGCAGCCAGGGTGAGGCGCTAGTTATATAAAAATAAAATAAAAAAATCAAATATCTTACAAAGTAATCGCCAAATCTCTGATACAGAGTGCCGATGTCAAAGTACAGGCGCTGGTCGACGAGCGCGCGAGCTTTGGGCTCTTCAGGGTATAGCGCGCTTCCTTTACCGTACTTGTTCACCAGGTACGTGATGATAGCACGGGATTCGTAGATCGGGTAGCCATCGTCTACGAGGGTCGGGACTGTGTGTTGGGGGTTTATCTGTTGGGAAGATACATGTTATTAAGTCATGTTCATTAGCAGCTCTGTATATTTTTCTACTGGATGTAGACAAAAATAATTTAGTAATAAACTTTTTAAATAAAATTATCTTTTCTGATTTTTTCGCGGATTTATTTTATTTTTGGTTCAAAAATCTGAAAAGATAATTTTATTTAAAATGTCAAATATTCGCGTAAATGTAAGAAAGTATCAGTAATAACACTGCATAAGAGGTGTTTAATCTAGTTATTATAAGTGTAAAGGAAATATATCAATTTATTACATTAGTGGTAAGAACTTCAAATTGTTGTTAAATATGTTGGAACATTATTAACAGTAACACACCTCACTATCTAGTTCCATGGTAAGCTACGAGGCTTGTATTATGGATACCCGATAGTTGATACACTACACGTATATAACTTTAAGGTTTAAATACTCGTACATACATATTATAAATATAAACGCTCATGACTTGAGTACAAACATTCGTGCTCATCACACAAATGAATGCGCCCAACGGGACTCGAACCCGCGACCGCTGGCACAGCAAGTGGCATTACAAACTGACTCAAACGTGTCGTCAAATTGTGTTATTACTTTATTAAGTAAAAGAATTCTAAGAAATAAGCAACAAATATATGGTCCTTCGTGCCGAATTTCATTAACTTCTTGCTCTACACTAAGTTAAAAAAGTATATTAATTAAGATAGTTTTTAATCAGGAAATCGATACTTTTTAATTCGACTGTGACTGCACGATAGTCAATTATTATTTTGGTCAGTGCTTGTGGAGTGGATTGGAATGCTTCGTGACCGTAACCGGTTTCTGTCGGTATGTAGCTTAGAACTTAGATACACTTGTTTGTAACGTACATTTATGTATGTACTTACATATGTGTAAGAGCTTAGATTAAAAAAATCAAGAAGTATAATAAATAAATATATATCAATAACTATAATAAATCTTTCAATAGTAATCGATAGCAATAGGTGTTAAATATCTGGGCTATAATATTCTTTATTTGTCTTCTATATCAATGTTACTGGTAGTAGTCTTAAAATACCGATCTATGTGGTGGATCCCTCGTTCTTTTTACAGATAAAATATTTTTTTTAAATCATTAAACATATTCAAAAACACGACCCAAGGAGCATGGCACCAAAAATTTGCTCCAAGCTATTTTTTACTAAAAAACCCCTTAATCTAGAATGATTTTGTATGAAAACACTTTATCATTAAATTTATTATTTTATCTACATTTTGTTACTTGGTTCGTTTCGGGAAACGATACGAGCAATTAAGTAAGTACCTTTTTTTTTTTTTTTTTTTTTTTTTTTTTTTTTTTTTTTTTTTTTTTTTTTTTTTTTTTTTTTTTTTTTTTATAGTTGGGAAATCCTATTACGGATACCACCCGACTTCCCCCCAGGGTGGTTATGTGGAGACTCTCCGGCTAATGAGACCGGCATACCCACTAAAACCCAACTTTCCCCACAGCCGCCATGTGGGACGCCACGGGACCGCTTTCGCATACAACCGTGACGCCCCGACGGTTGGCCGAAGCCACCAACCATGAGGCCGCCCCAAGCGGGACGACCCCATTATGGGAAGACTTGCAACCCTGCGAAGTGAGGCTGCTCCCAAGTCCACTCTGCTGAACAGAGAAGTACCCGGAGCAGCCCCACACAACCAAACACCGCCCACCGAAGTGGGCAACCTGCAAAAACAAAACCTTCCCGCCCAAATTGGGCAAACCTCCACGGCGTCCGAAACCGAACCACCCCAAACGGCTGCAGGAGTAGAGGATGCGACAACGCCGACACTCCCCTTCCCCTACAGCCCCACCGCGTCCACCATCAACGGTGGTGGCCCCGCTAGGCCGCGGGAGATAGGGACGAGCGGCGCATCGCTATACCGACACTCCTCTTCCCCCGCGGCCCCCCTACCGTCGGCCCACCTCCGGACCAAGATGGCTGCCGACACCCACGCCAGACGCAGGACCACCGAACTGGCCCCGCTCCAGCCGCCGCACCGACGGGCTAGCCCCGGCAGCACGGCCCGCGCAGCGCCTCCTACCGCGAAACGGCCGGAGACACCGCGCTACCTCCAAGAAGGAGACGGCGCCCTCCTGACACCGCTCCCCCTGCCCCTCCTGGCTGTTGGTCCGCGCCGGATTGCTCCGGTACCACAAGCTCCTGTCTGGGGGAACAGTCGCGAGTGGCTTCCCCTATCCGCCACCCGGGGGACGCGTCCGGTAGCAGTCAGCCTCTGCCCCGGAAATTAAGTAAGTACCTACTTCAATTTACTACCTATATATGTATAATTATGCAACATTTACAACAACCTGGTCCAACTGCTACTTCTGTATCGGTTGGTTTGACTTTTAAAACTGATGTCATAGCCAATTTTACACGTAATATTTTTATGCATGTATGGCGGCTTGATAGGCATCACTAGCCACCATAAATTGTCATTTAATGTAATTTAATTTTACACACACATACATATATTACGATTATAGTTTAGCAGATATTTTTGGTGCATAAGCCTTGTTAGTTACCAAACTTATTCGATAGATCCATTGGTCTAAATTAGACCGTCCAATTAAAAGAAAGTGCACGCAGGAGCTGTGACACAATGTAATATGTTCACTAGAATAAAGACTCAGTTTTCTCCCAAAAAGTATCTAATTGTAAGTGTAACAATTAAAAGCTATAATAATCACCAAAATGTATTAGGTTAATTTAAAAATATAAATTATTTTGTTCATATTATATTTTATGTTTAAATTAAAATGTTCTTTGGAGGTCTCAAAAAAATTCTACCCCATCATCAGTTCACAATTTGCGGCATTTATAGCTTAATAATATAGTAAATTAATTACTATTTGCATATACTTATATCAGCTTTGATATATCTATATATTTCAAGGTTTAAAAACCTGAATAAATGAATACGAAATACAATGTTCTCTTTAGAGTTCAATGACTTGCCGTTAAATTACATCACATATTATCGCTTGGCCTTCCAGTGCCGTTTAATGCAATATAACAGTTATTTACAGAGGCTTAAGGGCTAAAATCACATATCTAAGCCAAGAAAAAAGTTTTAATGAGTCCGAATTTTCGAAACAGTATAAATTCGATGGAGTCTTCTGAGTTGTAATGTAATGATATTTTGAGCTTGTTTTGTAAGGTATTTATATTTAGATCTAAACCTTATAATACCATACTAAATATATTTTTATAAAAAAAACAACATATTTTCATTTTTAGTCGATTATGCGAATTTTCCATCATACACTATCGAACTCAGTTCTAGACTCTAGATTATAAATTATTTTTACAACAATAAATTCATTATTAAAACATGTAAATAATAAATATATTTACCTTGAAACTGTTATCAACAAGTATTGCACTCAACACCTTTGTTAGATGTAGGACTTACTATCAACAATACGTTCTTAATTAATTTTATTTCAAGGATATGCGTGAATAATTGCATTTAGTTACTAGATGCAATATTTTATTGGACATTGTGTTGTATTCAATAGAACTTTAAAAAACTTACGAGAAAAATAAAACCTATACAAACAAGGCTGGTCCTTCGAGCCGTTAACATTTTTTTAAGTGAAAGGTATATTAAAAGATAAATAAGAGCACATTAATCGTGAGAAGCATATTAATTACTAATATTTTTAAATGTTAAAAATTATCTAAAAAATCGGACGGAAGTAGTTTGCTTCATATACAAATTTATAAAAAAAAATTATACGAACGAATATTTTTGCTAAAAAGTAAAAATGATTATGATGACAAAAAAATCTAATTTAACGAAAATTGTATTTCTTATTCGTTATTTTTACTTGTGAAGCTATAGAGCTTAAAACTTAAACATAAGCGTAAAACGTAAACAACACTAACACAATAAATACCAACACTTCTAAGTAAATGAGAGAGTGAATGTTACTTCATCACGATGAAATGGCTAAACGAACTTGAATGCAATTCGGAATTGAGATAGCTTATATTCTGGACTACTAATACATACATTTTAGCCATCATACATAGATTACATAGACTTTATAATTCTTTATTTTTTGTAAAATGATATCTTTTTAGATAAAACTATCTTTTCCTCTAAAAAGATATTTTAAGAGAGATTCTCCCGCGACCATGATCGCTGTAAATCATTCGAAACGTCAGTAACCAAAAATCTAAATAAATCCGCGAAAAAATCCAAAAAAATCGTTTTATTTAAAATGTCAAATATTCGCTTAAATGTAAGAAAGTATTTCTTTTATCTTACCTTAAGATATTCAGGTTTGAGATGTTCCCCATGATGCAAGTCCACGAGCTTCAAGTTGAGGTTGAGGTTGAGAGCACGCGCGGTGAGCAGCACCGCCCGGCACGGCGCGGAGCCAGGCACGTAGTACAGATCAACTGGCATTATGCTGTTACAGATATACCTTTGTTAATATGTTACATTGAAGAATTAAAAAAATATATGTCAAATATTCCTAATGTTCACTTCAATTCTTTGGTTTCGTGGCTACTAGGAGTGCCCATTTTACTTCGCCAATGTCGCGTAGAATGGAGAAGGCACATTATATGTAGAACTAGCATTACCCGCGGCTCCGCCCGCGTTCAGATGACCAAAAACCAAATTCTTAGGCTTTACATATTAGTTATACTCTCACAATGAAGTTTTTGTATTTTTTCTCAGAAAACAGATATTTTCCCGCGGTAAAAAGTATCCTATATGTTGACCCGGATTACCAGCTCTTATCATACCAAATTTCATCAAAATCTGTCCAGTGGGTTTCTCGTGATGCGGTAACAGACAGACAGACAGACAGAAAGACAGACAAAAATTCTAAAAACTATAGATTCGGACTCTGCATCGATAATAATGTCTATTTCAATTAGATTTTCCAAAAAATACATGTAATGTACAGATTCGACTTTGTTACAATGTACAGATTCGACTTTGTTACAATTTTATTATATGTAGGTATAGATGACCGGTAAAAAGGAGAAAAAAAAAACACTAATCTGATTACATGTAAAATCTTACTATGGACTTTCAACAGAACACAATATTGACAAAATCAGTGAGATAAAACAAAAATTACAATTGTTAGTACTAATACTAAGTTAATGTTACCTTGATGGAAAAAAAATATTGTCAAATATTCATTCGTTAATATATTAGCTTGATGGATAAAAAAGTAAAAAATAAAAAAATGAAATATTCCTATGGCAATTCAAAGATTCTGGCAACACTATGAAGCTTTACCCATTTTGGTTGTGTTAGTTTTAATTATTTTACTAAGTTTACATAATGCTTGTATTGCTATAATTATGTACATATTAAGCTTTCATAAACAATTATTATTTATTATTATTATTTTTTGTCGAATATTTAGTTTTTTTGTATTTTTGATATTTTGAAAATCTGTTATTTTTTGTTTTTATTTGAATTGATACAATAATTTAATTTTAGCATAATATACAATATACATACAGCTGTAGCCAGTTGCTAGAGGTGAGTAGAGGAGAGGAGAGGGCGTTAAAAACTGCGACTCAGTTGTATAACTACTACACTTTTTAACATTGAAACTGTTTATATTATTATAAGCTTAAATAAGTTCTTAGAGCAAATAAATAAATAAAAATTAAGTAAAAAAAAACAATTCGACCTTCGTTTCCCCGAAGTAATAACATAAGATTATTATTTAACGACTACATCGAGGTAGCTTCTAAAAACCGGTCCATGATAAAAACAAGTTATAATTTAATACATTACAATACTACTAACTGAAATTATTTATATAAAAATAATAAATATAAAAAGAAAAAAAAGTACCTAAGTAAGTAGGTACTTATCGTAAAATGTGATATATACTGTATCATGGATTGAAATTTATGTATTAAAAATCTTTGTCGCTAAGTGTCAAAAGGTATGCCAAAGCTCATAAAACCAAAAAATATCCGTTTGTTTGTATGAGTTAATCGCCGTAACGGTTGAAATGATTTTAATGCGAAATTCACTGATACATTTACATTATGTATATTATTTTATTTATTTAACTTGATATTTTTTCCATTTGCATTACCTTATTTCATAGATATTTTGGTCAATGTATAAATTGTATTTGTAAATTACACAGAATATAATATACAGTTTGCTGGAACTTGTTCATATTTATTTCCTTGCAATTCTTTCCTTGCTATTATTTTAACATGGATATAAAAATAATTGTATCACGTTTCGTATTTCCTCGTACAAACAAAACACCTAATAAATAATATAGGTCTGTTCAATGTTGCTTACTGAAAGGCCGACCATTCGTTTGATCAACAAAATTTCTAAAGTTCGTCACAAACTTTCAGATTAATAAGACTAGGATCGAACATTTGAGAAACGTAAATAAATCTATTATATATATAGGTATATTGAGCTTATATTATTTACATGATATCAAAGCCATTAATAAGTAATAATTTTTAAAAATATTTTGTCTGTCTGTTTATCACTGAATTTAGGGAATGGTTGAAACTGTTTATCAGATCTTCAACCGCTACGTGAGCGAGAATCGAACCCACGACTGCCGCTGGTGAAGTAAGAATATAGTCTAATTCAGGAAATGGCAAACAGTATTTTAGTGTTTTTGCATGCTTAATGTTGTCAATAAGATTTTTCAATGTCTAAATGCAAGGCCAACTGTTTGTGTCGATACTAACAAAAAGTAGATAAAGCTATTACGAGTATAGTGATTAGAACATAAGGCCGTATGACTTTGCACTTTATAGTATACTAGCATTGCCCGTGGCTTCGCCCGCGTTCAGATTTTTTTTTTTTTTTAACGTTGGGAAATGCATTTACGCACGACGTGTGGGACTCACCGGCGTAATACAGCCAGTACTACCCACTAAAACCCAACAAAACCTTCCCCCGTCTTAATGGGGCGTCGCAGGATCGCTTACGCATTCAACTACGACGCCCCGACGGCAGGTCTGCCGAAGCAGACCACCACAACCATGGGGTTGCTCCAAGGTCCACTCTGCTATCAGAGAAGTACCAGGAGCAACCCGCATGGTACACCGCCCCCCGAAGAGGGCCACCTTCCACCGCCCACCGAAGTGGGCAACCTCCCTGTGCGTTTCTTAGCTTCGCGCCCGGTTGGATTGCCGGGCACTACTGAGCCCCCCCACCACGACAAGGTGAACGCACGTTGGGGGGGGGCGTTCAGATGACCTAACAGCAAATTCTTAGGTTTTATATATTAGTAATACTCTTACAATGCAGTTTTTGCATTTTTTCCCGCGGTAAAAAGTATCCTATATGTTGACCGGGATAACCAGCTACCACCATACCAAATTTCATCGAAATCCCGCCAGTGGTTTTTCTGTGATGCGCTAACAGACAGACAGACAGACGAAAATTCTAAAAACCATAGATTCGGCCTCTGTATTGATAATAATGTTTATTTCAATAAGATTTTCCAAAAAATACTTAATGTACAGATTCGGCTTAGTTACAATTTTATTATATGTATAGATATACATTGTACACATTACACACGTATATGTTGTAGTGTCATCTTCTGCATTATGATTTGCAATATAAATAACTATGGGATGTTAATTATTTATTATTTGAAAAACGATTACCTACTGAATATATAATCATTAATCTCATACATAATCGTTATTATATTATTATAAATATCATAGTTTGTCAGTTTGTTGATCCCTTTTTGCATCGAAAAAATGATATATGAATAAAAATTGATAGAAAATGATAGGTCGGGGATAGATAATTTTTATTCTGGTTTACCAAATGGTAGTAAAGTAAACCTAATTTTCAAAGGCCACTTGGTGTTGAGAGTATTTTAAAAATCTATGTAGTTGCTGTTATTTCGTAGTTTCACGTCAGTTATATGGGACTGAATTAATAGAAATCGATATTTTTCATCACACCAAACTCTATACGACATACCAAGCGTTGAGACTCTGATGCCCGATTTCACCAACAACCCATAAGCTACCTACGTATGGGATCCCTAGCATAAAAGTCCCCTAAACTAGCCCTTAATTAAATTTCGTTTTACGATCGTCTTTAAGCCCATATTTCGAGCACCTAAATTTAGGGGGCCTTTTAATATTTAGGTGACCCCTAACTGTCGGTGAAACAGAAACTGTCCCCTAACAGCCCCCTAACTATGCTTAGGGGATCCCTTAAACTTAGGTGACGTTGGTGAAATCGGGCATCAAAACGCTGAAATTAAAAAGCGCTCTGTAGCTAATAAATACATTCAATTAATTTCCCATTTATCTAATAAAATAATGTGAATATATCCTAATAAAAAATACGAATTTCGATTAATGCAATGATATGTACATGTTTTATAATAGCTGCGTGTGTGTATGTCTTCGACTGCATAATACCACAGATGACAATACTCGTATTATATTACTTGTATACAGGCCTTTAAACGTCCCACGGCTGGGCACGGGCCTCCCTTCGGAACGGAACTATACTACTTACTAGGTATTAATAATACTATGTTTCTTCGTCAACTTGTTTTCATCTTTTTAGTTCGGTTTTTAGGCAGTCGGGTTTTTTAGATTTGTAATTTTATTTTTTATTTGTTGTATCTTAGCATTTTTAATTTCAAATTAGGTATATTAAAATATAATAGTTGTATATATTTTGTAAGCCATTTATTACCCTTTATTATGATACCCCACTCAATTTATCACTTAAAATCAAAGGTTTTGAAACAACAAAAATCGCCTATTTTAATTTTTGTAATTTTGATATAGCTACCTAACTACATCTCACAATTAATACGATTCTAACGACACCTCTGAAGCTAAAATTCATCAAACCGCTTAGGCTATAACAGAGAGTGCCAAAAAAATATACATGTACATACATACACTATAAAAACATAACCCTTCTTCTAGCGCAATTGGGTAATAAACAAGTCTTTCCCTAATTTCATTTATTTTGTCGAAACATTTACTATGTCAAGAATCACAATATTAGCTATAAAAACCAAAGGAAACAAACACAACGTTCATCGTTACGGTTCGAGTCCCATTACATGGATCGATAGTCACATAAAATCTTTGCAATGTTACCTACACCTTCAAAACTTAATTTGACCGTTTCACACGCTTTTATGAACTTCACCTCTATACATATATTTAATAAAATTGTAACTAAGTCGAATCTCTACATTAAATATTTTTTGAGAAATCTAATTGAAATAGACATAATTATCGATACAGATGCCGAATCTATAGTTTTTAGAATTTTTGTCTGTCTGTCTGTCTGTCTGTTACGCATCACGAGAAAACCAGTGGACAGATTTTAATGAAATTTGGTATGATGATAGCTGGTTATCCGAGTCAACATATAGGATACTTTTTACCGCGGGAAAATATCACATTTCTGAGAAAAAATACAAAAACTGCATTGTAAGAGTATACTAATATGTAAAACCTAAGAATTTGGTTTTTGGTCATTTGAACACGGGCGGAGCCGCGGGCAATGCTAGTCTATAATATGTAGGAGAGATATACAATATACATTACTACATACGTAGACGTACTTTATCTTTTATATGTGTGAACGTATGCGTGCGCATGTGTTTGTGTGTATGTTTTTATTTATCTATATTCCATACTAATATTATAAAGAGGTAAAGTTTGTGAGTTAATGAGTTCGTGAGGTTATAGGGAGTAATCTCTGGATCTATTGAACCGATTTAGATGAAATTTGGTAAGAAGATAGTTTAAGACCCTGGGAAGGACATAGGATACTTTTTATTCCGGAAATCATCCCTTAAGGGGGTGAAAATGGGGATGAACGTTTGTATTGAGAAACAAGCTAAACGAAATGAGGATAAGTCGCTAGTAGGAAAATAATATGTTAGGTATTAACAATAGCATAAATATTTCACCATTAGGTATCACTCTTTATAATAAAATACCTTTTTCCACATTAAAAAAGTATAATTAAAATCGGTTTACATTTATGTAAAAAAAAAACAACAATTAAGAAGTCGGGTCTAAAGAATAATTTATATTATGGGAACCAAATTTGCGGTCTTTAGCCTAGTTCTATTCAAATATATTTTTGCCTACATGGAAATTATAATTTTTTTTTTCAACATAATTGAACGCGTGCGAACCACAAGGTCAGTGGTATTGTTAAAGGTAGCTAGGTTCTAAGTACTGGCTCTCCTTTCACTTTGCCGTTTTAAGTATTATAAACATTGTTATTTTTCACTAATCAATAATTCATTGAAGCTTACCTTATTATTACCTTATTTTTACCAAATTTCTACTATATATAAATAAAATAATAAATATATAATAAAAATTCTTTACTGGTTTGGTTTGTATTTTATTTTATAAAAATATACGAGGACTTATACTATGATGGCTTAGTTGTAAAAATAAATAAACAGATTCTTATCGAACTTTATGATGGTGTAAATAAATTATGAATTAATCGTGCACAATGTATTATTATTACAAAGTATGCCATCGAGTTGAGACTTCATATTTTTTTCACTAATAGATCTCTCCATTAGAAGCCTATATATTAAATTTGAGACCGCGGAAAGAAGTAGTTTTGTCAAAAAATGTTTAAAGTTTAATTAGACTTTTTATGTCATTCTGCCGCATACAAACACGCACTTATCGATGTTTTTCACAAAGTTCATTACAATATTCTATGTTCTGAGTTATTTTCAATTATTATTGTAGTTAAATATTCATTTTAATAGTTAAAATTATGATTTATTCGTATGTAATATCAATTTTATCAGTAATACTGGTACATAGTATATTGGTTATGTCAATGTCAGAATTAACATTGAAAATCGACGCCATTTTGACATGTCAGTTTTAGTGTCAGTTGCAATTTGATCACCTCACAGTTGAGAGCGTTTACGTACTCCTGTTCGAGATCGTGCAAGTTAGTGACTACCACAGCATTTCCGAAGCCCAAGCCTCGTGTTTTACTACTTTTTACGAATAAGTCATGGCGTCTCCGAAGTCGCAGTTGGCGTCTTCCGTCTTGCCGTCGACGTCCACGCATCCTACTAGTGCTGACATCGACAATCAACCTTGTGATTCTTTAACCAAGAGAGTAAACCCCTATGTTGAAGAAATTAGGTTACAATGGAACATGAACAAAGTAATTCAAAGACTAGATACTCGTGAACAGTGTCTACAGTTTGCCGAAGACAGGCAATTAATACCTAGAGAGAAGCAGTGTTCGTACCATAGACGGCCAATGTCATTGATAATCCAAAATGGCTTAGTGGGCACTTTTCGTTGCCGCAAAAGCAACTGCCGCACTAAAAGCATAAGCCGAGCTACTGGTACATGGTTTGAAAATGTCCACATTTCATTGACATTACTTTTTAAATTAATGTATATGTTTAGTCGCAATTATAGTTATGATTTGGCACAAATTGAAGGAGCTACAGATGACAGAGCATCGGTATTATCAACAAAAACTATAGCTGATTGGTACAGCTACTGCAGAGAAGCTATAGTTATTTATGAATTGGAACATAATGAGGAGCGAACAAAAATTGGTGGACCTAATAAAGTTGTACAAATCGATGAATCTAAATTTGGTAAAAGGAAATACAATAGAGATAGACATATAGAAGGACATTGGGTCCTAGGAATGATAGAAGACGGTAGTGACGATTTAAGGTTAGAAATATGTCCCGACAATGAACAATCCGCTGATATACTGGTACCACTAGTTAAGAAACATGTTCAGGAAGGCTCCATTATCCATACAAATTCCTGGAAAGCATACGAATGCCTTCCTGAACATGGTTATATACATAAAAAGTCCAACCATTCAGATCATGATAAAAAATTTGTGGCACCAAACACGACACACACACAATGGATAGAAAGCCATTGGAGAGGGCTGAAAAAAGTTTTTCACATGAACCAATTTAAAGGAAATTTTACAGAATGGTTGGTGGAGTTCGCATGGCGAAGAAAAATTAAAATTAATCATTTAGATCCATTCGAAGAGTTGTTAAAAGTTATAAACTATGTGTACAAATTAGAAAAATAAACCTTATAGGCTTATAATAAAACTATAAAAGTATATTTATATACAAAATAGGTTTAGATTATTTTTTGGCAGAACCTTTTTTTTCTAGGTTGATAAGTTTAGAACAGTGAACACAGCCAGAACGACTAGAACTTTTAGAACATTTTTCTTAATCCGTAGGCACTTTTTCCGGTACAAATTATTACACATTAGTTCATTTAATGTAAACATAACCTCAAAATTCGAAATTTTCCAAATTGAATATCTCGAAAACTACTAGCCTCCGCGGGTTTTCCTTTTATAGGGGAGTTCCTCTCAACCCTCCACTCCTCCCCCACCCTCTCTCCCCCCTTAAATCGATGGCATCTATTGTACAGTTCAACCCAGATTATTATGTATAGAAAACCTACCAAAAAAAAATCATTAAATTCTAAATTGGTCTATCAATTACGTCTTACTGAGTGAAACGCGACACACAAACAGATAAAAGCTCCAGAATAATCCCAGTTGTTAAGAAGACGGAGCTTTTTAAATGTCAAATATATATGAAAAATGACTCATTTTAATTTTTAAATCAGGTTTTACAATGAATAATCAAATTTTATTCATGTTACGCTTTATCGATTAGTTAACTTTACATTTATAGTGAAGAAAATTACGCATAATTGGCCCGAACAATTAATCGTTGCCTATAATTAATATTAATCACTTTTGAAAAGGATCAAAGAGGTACACACCGCCTTTAAAACACTTATAAGTCATTCCACCTTCAAAAGTCGAATTTAGAACCTATCGGATAAAGAAGATCATAAAAATCGATTCACAAATGGCGAAAATGTTGCCTAACGTACAGACAAAATAAATATCATTAAAGATGATACATCCGAATTAAGTACTTCCTTCACCTTGGTTTTTAAGTCGGTAAAAAAAAACGTGTTAAAATTATTTAATATTTTATAATTATAATAAATGTTAAAAAAGGGATGTATGTATGTGTGCACATGCTAAGTGTTAAACATCCGTATAAATAAATATTGAGTTGTTTACTTACAAAATAGATAACTAAAATTAGAATGGTAAATATTATGTTGTCGCTTTTAGTGATTTTTTTCTTTTCACGTGTAGAGCCGGCAATATTATTTAAAACCTCCAAAAAGGTCTTTGTGTATTAAAAAAGTTAACATCAAAAATTAAAAATAACTTTTTAAAGGAAACCGTAAAGGAAAAATCGGCCGTAATACAGTTATTTATAATTTTATATACTCTATTTAAAAAACAGATTTCACTTTTAGTTGAACTAGTTATCCAATTTATTTAGTTTCTACTTACCAGTTTATGTTAAAACTAACTACTATATAAATCACAACACTAGGTTTAAGGAACTTACTTTTATAAATGTATAGAATGAGACGTCAGCACAAGATGCGGTTTGGCCGAGAGTAAACGCTAGTGGGGGGCGACCGGGTGTTTTATATCTACTACACTAGGTGACCAGTTTTCCCTGTGTATTTAATGTTAAACGGTCTACGCGTTTCGTATTTATTGTATCATTTATATAAGAATGAAATAGAACGTTTAAATTTTGGGACAGAGAATAGTGATCCATCTTTTGCTTTTCCAATAGCTATATAGAAAACGGTGTTTAGGTTATTTTGTTGATGTATTTAATTAGTTTTGGCCTTAATTTAATTTGCTATCTTCAGTTTTAATATACAATAAATAATTAATATAATCAATACATTATCTGTACTTATCATATCGTATTTGCAGTATTATCGTAAAAAAATACTAACTTGTTAGTTTTGTTTTACATAATCAAACTGTTTCGTACTCACTCCCATAAACATTCACTGTTTTTAAGTTATAAAAACAAGTTTGTGGTCTATTAAAACCTTTCATTATTTTTATATATATGCCAAATAATTTTAATTCTTACTATACAAGGTTTCAGATTCATTGTTCGTTTTTCTTCCCTCTCTTTCGCACATTCATTCCAATCTTTAGCCATGAGGCGACCGTACTACCAACGCGATAATACATTTGAGTGGTATTACCTACTTAATTGCTCTGAAACTGAAACTCTATAATTTACTTAAATTTGATTGCTTTTAGAAGATAATAATCTAAAATCTAAATTGAAGCAATGTAATACATAGAACTTTTATTTAGAATCAGTGTTCAATGGCAAGTTCGTTAGGTATTATGTATTTTTATGTAATTTTTGAGTCTTATGTACGTACATACATGCATGGTTAAAATCTTGTAGATTCATTGCATTGTATTGAACTAATTAATATAACAAAGAGAGACATTTAACTACGACATATTAATATTTACATTAACCATTGGTTTTCATCAAGAGAGTTAATTCTTTAAATTAGAAGTAAACATTTTAGCTGTCACTTCGTGCTTCAAACAAACACCAGAGCAGGCATAGATTAGTATTAATATAGACTCACAGCCGCTACAATATATAGAGAACGTGGAATATTTAGTAATTAGTAGCAAACTAGCTTTGACTCATTCTAATACTTATATGAAAGGTAATTGTGACGTATGCCAGTCGAGACAAGGTTAATGAATCAAGACGTATTTCCCTAGTCTTGATCTAAATATAAACTTCTGAAAAATCTATTTTTCTTTATATCTGAAATAAAAAAGTCTATCTTTCGTTTTTAGCTGATTTTCTAGTTTTAAGTACTGCTCAAAATCGACTTTTCTTGATAGCCATGTCTTGAGGGATTATTAGGTAGGTACAAAATTACACTCAACTGCATATTTGAAAGTATTATTGGTGTTTGGGTTGTTTTTCTTTTATGAAGCTATGGACCATCGACCTAACGTGGTTTTATATATTGATATATTTTATGAGTTAAAAATAAAGTGTTACAAAGCTGATAGCTTCGCCATGTGCTATTCTGTCATGAGCAAGAGCAGGCTGCAGGCCACTAACTACTAAATTTATATGAGATGAATATTTTATTGATTTATTATTAATATTATATCATCTACGCTGGTATAGAGTAGCAAAAAGGCTGACAGAAAAAAAAACATTAAATAAGCGTTAAAAGAAATGCTCACCACGAAGTGATCTTGAGACGTTACTATTGTCCCGTAGGCATTGTTTTGACGCCATCGTCATTTCTTAAAGTTTATTTGGTTTTATTTTCGTGTAATTTAATGAGCCTTAAGACATCTTTCCTTGCTTTGGTTTGCAATTAACCATGCATTTAATGTACTTCTACCGACGTTCAGTCTCTGTGTGTAAATAAAAGGTAGGTGGTTAAAAATATGCTTTTTTTCTTTTTGGAAATTATTTGAAGACAATAGCTTTGTTTTTATGTAGGTAAAGGGTACAAGGATATAATTAAAACGATGAGGATTATGATACTGATTTAGATACCTTGTATAATACGAGTGTATTTTAAATTTATCTGTAAGTACTTCATAAAAGTTATAATGTTGCTCTATATGCCCATTTCGGGACTATGTAGAGTCGACTTTGCTAATAGAGCTAAGCTGTATGCTGAAACTTGCATATATACGCTACATACATATAGATTATAGTTTTTTTTATTAACAAAAAAGCGATAGCCCGACATATGAAGCCTATTATAGGTCTTGCTGTAAAGTCTTTTTAAATTGGGAATTTAATAAGCATAAAAATTTTACACTTTCACATTTATAATACATGTATGGATATGGAAGTATGGATAGAAATCTTAGAAATAAAGCTTTATATTTATACGTAAAAGGGAAGAAAAAACTGTCTACTTAAAAAAAAAAAACAAGTAAGTATTGGTAGTTTCAACATAGTATTATATGTTTATCTCTACATATAATAAAATACAAGCTGAGTCGAATCTGTGCATTAAATATTTTTTGAAAAATCTTATTGTGCGTACAGTAATCATTATTATCGATACAGAGGTGAAATCTATAGTTTTAGAATTTTTGTCTGTCGGTCTGTGTGTATGTCTGGGAACACATCACGAGAAAACCACTCGACAGATTTTGATGAAATTTGGTATGTTGATAGCCGATAGATAGGAACGAACCCTAGTGGAGCGAGGATCAGTCGCTAGTTAATATGTATAGTAAATTATTAATTTACAAGATTTTCGCCCGTCGAAACATGAGGTCATTGATACATCTCAGGTGTCACAGGAACTCAGGCGCACAGCCTGGTTCTAAATCCTCGAATCGTCAAGCGTGTCACATTAGAACAATAGATATCACTAGCGTATCTACTCTAGCCCTTATTACAAACGTAGCACTGCTGTATACGATACGGAAGTTTCAGAAAAAATAGCTTTGTTTAGTGTTAGATTGAAACACGTTTGAGAGTTAGTTTCCCACACATTAAACAACATTTAAAATGTTGTATAATAAAACTATACTTAATTATAATATTTATATTTTATACATATGTATATTTAACTAAAAAACATAGGTACATATGTGTCTGTTATAACTATATAGCAATGAATCGAATGTAATGAATCTATTTCCTGTTTCCTTTTAAAATATATTTCATAATATAAATAATGCACAATTAATTTCCTTATATAAGTCTCGAATATAATATATATTTAATACGCACTTTCCAATAAGAAATAACATTCAGCTAGAAATAGATTTCTTTAGGTTGTGTATGAGTTAGGGTTAAAATGGGTTAAAATTAAAATAACATAAATAATAGATCTTTAAAATTATGTATATATATAAAATATGAGCAAATCCATATTAAGATCACTGACAGGAAGAATCGATGATACTTATATATATATATATATATATATATATATATATATATATATATATATATATATATATATATATATATAAGTATATGGTACTTTTTTCTAGGTATTTAAATGTTTAGAAATACATTTACGCATACCACCTGTATACATACAGGTGGTTATGTGGGACTCGCCGGCTAGAAAAGCCAGTACTACCCACTAAAACCCAACGGAACGTTTTAATGGGACGCCACAGGATCGCACTCAACAACGGCGCCATGACGGCAGGCCTGCCTAAACAGACCAACAATCAAGAGGTCCACTCTGCTGTCAGAGAAGTACCAGGAGCAACCTACATGGTACACCACCCTCCTAGGTGGGCCGTCTCCCAGTGTGTCTCTTGGCGATAGGCCTGGCTGGATTGCCTTAAGCTAATGAGTTCCCATCACGACAAGGTAAACACACGTTAAGTATTATGCAGTTGGAGACATACACGTTTCATCATTACCGCGAGATGTACATACTCGTATGTTTACCTTAATTAAAGAAATCCATCGAGTGGTTTGGAAGATATGAGGGATATAAAGAATATAATAAATAAACCTACAAAGATAGGCGTGGAAAACGTAACCCCCTAAAAAATGTAGAGTAGTTTGTAGATTATTAACAACTTTTCAGTTAATGATTGTTCTAAAATAAGTACTAAAGTCATTAACATAATCTTTAATTTTAATTCGCAATACGGTAAAAGTATTTATTGTATTATAAAAGATATATTTTTAAACATCCTAAATCCTAACACATAAATATATTCAGGATACCATGATTAAAATATCAATTAAGTTAATTTAGATAATAATTTAGCGTTTCAACATAGACGAAAAGCAAAAAAAAAGTACTAGGTATTATTATAGAAAATCTCTGAGCGAAAGACACTTCGTGAAGAAAATCTTTCTAATTTTTTTTTGATTGAGAACACTAATCTTCATGACAGATGAAATCTGACAGTGACAGCTACAAAGTCGAAGATGGTTGTACGATTTATAACAACTTTCGCTAATTTTTAGAAAATAAACGATGAACTAGACAATTTTTACTTATATTTTTGTTTAGTGTTTAACTACACGCTTATATTTTTAATAAAATGGGTGACAGTAGTGATTCAGAAGAATTTTTCGACGCTGAAGAGTTCACGCCCGTGAAGGGATCAAAGTGAGTAATTATCTTTCGATATATTGATGAATACACGTTTATTATGTTGTATAGTAAATATGAATTGCAAGAATTTTTCACCTGGCTTCCTTCAACACCAAGTTTGAATTGTTTATATAATGTTTGGAGTTAAAAAACTAGTTTTGCTAGACTATCTAGTTTAACAGATGTTTTGGTACCTGTACGTCCTTGTACGTATCGCCAGGTGATTACTTGTCGTTAGTGGCGCGAGACTGATTAGTATTAGTAACTATTAAGTAAAGTTAAACACATTTCAAGTAAGACTTTGTGGTTCAGTTGTATTCCAAAAGTTGTACAATGTCTAAGTCTGTCATGTTATTGTGTTTGCCCATGAAGTAAGTACTATAAGTTAGATAATAATTCAAGTAACAGTTTACTATACAATATTACTAGTTCTTAAATGATAATTTTTTTTTGAAATGAAATATTTAGAACGATTTTTCTAAAATAATATTTGTTTTCAATATATTTTGTAAACCATTTAAAAAAATGTATTTTAAATTGTTGGTAAGCATATATGTATTTATATTTTTTGTGATTTTATAGATAATTAAACATAATATTTTATATATTACAGAAGATCATCAATATGTAAGAATATAAATGTGACAGAAACCCCTAATGGTGTGGAAACAGAGAAGGATAAAACACCCAGTAAACCTGATGGTACCATAACAGCTACAAGTACTCCAATAGAAACTGTAGTGCAAGATGATAGGAATACTGTAAAAAATGTAAGTCTCATCTATTAAGGCTTTTTTTACATTGTTTTGACCTTGATGTAATAATCTAAAGTGTAATTTTAGTCATTTATATGCAGAAGGTAATTGGCATGTAAAACTGTACAATTTTGTAAAAAAGAAGCCAAAATGTTGAAAAAGACCGAGGATATCATTACTAATATTTTAAATAATAATCTAAATGCATTGTTTGTTTGTCTTTTTTTATCCGATACCAGTATTGTTGTAATATTTTGCTAATAGTTTAAACGCCTGAGTTTGATTTAAATTTTATGATTGCTAATTTGTCTAGTGGAGTTCTATATTAAAACATTAACGAAGGCTGTATGCTTTCACTCTCGTGCCATAAAGATAATCTAATGAGACATTGACAGTGAAGTGTCAATATATTATACTAATTAGTAACAGGGAAACTAATAATACCTTATCTACACCATGTCTTCTCCATTCTACACAACATTGACAAAGTTTGGCACATCTGAAAGCCAAATAACAAAGAATTGAATTGAACAGAGACACAAAAATAAAAACTAACATTTAATTGTATAATAATATTAGGTACTTTTAATTACAAGATATTTTAGGATTATAAATTATCTTTACAATAATATTGCCAGCAAAAATGACCTAAGTATGTAGGTCATATGTAATATCTTAGTATATATTGTTGTACTTCATTGTGGCACCAAACTCATAAAAAAATGCAAATAATTTTTGTAGACATTATTTTATACATTCTTTAAGCACAATTGTGCAAAAAAAGATAAAGCAACAGCATAGCAAATATTATATTAATGTTTAGTATAGATTTCTGAGAGATGAGATATTTTCCCGCAGTAAAAATTATCCTATATGTTAATGAAACGCATAACCAACTATAATTATACCAAATTTCATCAAAACCTGTCCAGTGGTTTTCTCATGATGTGTTTTCAGACAGACAGACAGACAAAAAAATCTAAAAAGTATAGATTCGGCCTCTGTATCGATAATAATGACTATTTTAATAAGATTTTCCAAATAAATATTTAATGTACAGGATCTTTTTGTTGAATCATTTTCTTAATATTGTACACAGTTTCATTCAATAATGGTTCTGTTTATATAACATGTAAACACTTTTTCATATTTAACAAATCATATGAACGATTCACGGATGTATGTGAGAAGTTGCCGGAATGTAATTTGTTAGTAATTTGATATAAATTTAGTCAGAGTACTACAATAAATGCAAAAGTTTGTATGCTTATACACATTTATATAGTGACTTGTTTATGCTGAGATGGCTTTCAATGGAATTTTTGAAATGAACAGATTTGGTTTAAATTAAGTACACAATACACATATAGACTATGATCAGCAGTAACACATAATGTACTATTACGCATACGTATGCAATGTTGCTACTAAATATCAGTTGTGTAGTCACAGAGTGGGATAAACTGCCAGAACACTTCGTGTCAGCCCAAACGTAAACCATACCAACCATTAAAACCATTTAAAAATAGGATACAGGCATTATCAGTTTCTCAACTGCCTGTCTGATAATCTGTATCTGTATAAATATTATAAATGTGAAAGTTTGTGAGTATGTATGTTTGTTACTCTTTCACGCCAAAACGGCTGAATGAATCTGGATGAAATTTGGCACAGAGATAGATTAGTCTGGAATAACACATAGACTACTTTTTATCCCGCAAAAATATACGGTTCCCGAGGGATAGATTTTTTTTATTATTATATTATAATATTATTTTATAATAATAAAATATATTCTTCATATAGGTTGTGCAAGGTCGTAGACGGTTTCAAGAGCTACGACGATGTATGCAGACTGAAGAAGAGGATGAGCCTGATGCTGGTGCTCCAATGTCTGCGCCTATGGAACATCCCTTCAAGTAAGTTGGAAAATAAAACAAGTTATGTTTTTAAATTACTCAATATCTATGTATAAATGGAAATATTTTGGCCCTTGTAATGTTATTGTTACGATGTAATTCAATTTTTGACCTTGTGTTTCTCAATTTTATTAAAATTTTAAAAAAAGAACATTTGAGAACATAATTAAAGAAAGTTTTTATATTTGCATTTTTAAAGAAGACAGCTGTACGAAATACGGTAAAATGAGTTAAATAGAAAGTTTAGAATAGAAAGTATCAGCTAATTTTGATATTTGCTAAACATATTTAAAGCATAATGTAAATCAAATGAAGAATTTCGTGCAATTATAAAGAAAACCTTTTAGTATAGGATCCCAAATTAGTTTTAAATGAGGTAGGTATTTAATTGATTGTCGCTATGAATTGGTACACGATTTTCGGTCTAAATAAGTGAGTCAGGATGGCCGAGCGGTCTAAGGCGCTGCGTTCAGGTCGCAGTCCACTTCTGTGGGCGTGGGTTCGAATCCCACTTCTGACATAACTTTTTATTCTATATTTTGTTGTTTTAAAACTATATGTCTAGTATAGTAAATAAAAAATTATGTTTTCCCGAAACGTTACAATTTGAGATAGTAAGAACATAAATGTATTGCTGTGCTGATATGATAATAAATGTTTATGCCAACTTTTTAAATTGTGCGTGTCTTTGACAGTATATTCAAAGTAAATCGAATTAAAATAAACGTTGGAGTAGAATACCTAGGTGTTTAAGCAAAAACACTTTTTAAAATAAAATTAGCTATGAAAAACACGAACACCCCTAAAAAAAGCGCAGTATATAATAACTACTGTGGCTAACTGCCAAGACATAAAATAATAGCTCGAGAGTATACACAATGTAAATTAATCATTGAAATCGTAAAATGCAAAAAATTTAGACTGATTAAGATTATACACATACTACTTCATAAAGTCTGATAAAAACTAAATGTTAGATGAGTACCTTAGAATATGCTTTAGTTTTTTAGGGAAAGACTCTGTAAACACATTTAAACTAATGACGACGCAATACAATTTAATTATAATGCACCTACAAGGCAAGGGTCCACCCGTGTCTGTTTTTTCGGAACTAAAAAAATCTGGAATCTGCACTCTTTTTGTCTTATTTTGATGTCGTCTACTGTGATTATATTAGCGCTAACTGTTTAGGGGTGACACTAGATTACACAAATGATACATTGATATTTTTTACAAATATTATAGAACATCGATATAGGAGGATTTTTTAAGGAGTGTCATCCTTAATATGGCAATGGATAGAAGAAAAACGTATTCAGGTCTTTTTAACGTGTCACTGCTGGGCACTGGCCTTCCTTCAATACGGTGGGGATCATGCCATTAGTCCACCACGCTGGCCAAGTATGGGTTAGCGGTCTTCAAATGTCTTTCGAGACATGCAAGTTTCTTCACGATGTGTTCCTTCACCGTAAGATAATGTGTGTGCTAATCATGTTGGAAATGATTCGCACATGAAAATATCAGAAGTGCGAGACCCGGATTTTGAACCCACTTTACTTCGTTTCTCAAGCGCGCGTGTTAACACTGGGCTACTACTGCCTTTATGTATTATTTTTTTAATAAAAATAACTATCTGACATTTAGAAAATTCATTTCAGGATAATATCCCACGATACCATGAGCCTGCAAAGTATGACGTCACTCGGCAGAATCGGAAGGATATTAAGCGGTGCAGCAGATTCACATCGTGAGTACTTTTACTAGCTATTGAATGCGGTTTTGCTTGATCAAATAAGATCTATAATATGTATCAATTAATTAATATAATAAAAATTATCATTGAAATTGTCACAGCCATTCTCGGATAAGGATTTTTGGAAAGGGCCAATTAAAAAAAAACAGAGAGATGTTAACACAACAGATTTTTTTTAAGCTCAATCAAAAGTTTCATTAAATTATCCCAGACTAGCGACTTACCCTCGTTTCGCTAGCGTTCGCCCCTAGATTGCTTCTCCATACAAACTTTAATCCCAAATTTTCACCCACTTATGGGACGATTTCTGGGATATAAACTATCCTCTGTTCTTCCCAGGATCTAAAACTATCTTTTTAACAAATTTCATCTAAATCGGTTCAGTAGTTTCGGAGCTTATTCGGTACAAACAAACAAAATGATCTTTCCGGTTTATAATATTATAGTATAGATTAACTCTCAGTATTAATGTTATATACATTAATATGAGCACTTTAGTACCAACTTACGTGTTAACATCTCACTACTCAAATCCAAAAGAAGCCGCGAGGATCTTTTCATCGATAGCCTTCTTTATGCCGATGACGCGGCTTTCGTTGCTAATTCCGAACGTGAGCTCCAGTATATGGTGAATCAATTCTCACGGGCTTGTTCCCTGTTCGCCATGTCCATAAACGCAAAGAAGACAGTTGTGTTAGCACAAGGCACTTCTAAGGCCCCAGCAATTTCGCTCAATGGTACGCTGCTAGAGGTAGTTGACAGATTTTGTTACCTAGGGTCAACCGTAACGAACAATCTGTCGCTGGATGCAGAGGTTGACATTCGCATCGGTAAAGCAGCGACCATGTTCGGGAAGCTTAGTACTAGAGTATGGCAAAACAAATATCTAACCACCAAGACCAAAGTGTTAGTCTTTCAAGCCTCCATTATAAGCATACTCTTGTACGGAGCTGAAACCTGGACAACGTATGCAAAGGTCGAACGTCGAATAAACTCTTTTTACATGCGTTGCCTTCGTAAAATCTTGGACATCTCATGGCAAGACAGGGTGACAAACGAGAGAGTTCTAGAAATTGCACAACTACCTAGTTTGACCGCGCTTCTAAAACAGAAACGTTTGCGCTGACTCGGGCATGTGCACAGAATGGAACAGTCTCGATTACCACGACGTGTACTTCTTGGTGCGATTGCGAACGCAAAAAGAAACGTAGGGAGGCCACTGCTTCGCTTTAAAGACTGCGCCAAGAGAGACATGGTTACTTTTAAAATTGACCACCGAAACTGGGAAAGACTTGCAGAAAATCGAACGGAGTGGCGCAAAAGTATTATGGAGGGTCGCAAGTTCTGCGATGAGACCGGGTTCGCGACACTTGCTAAAAAGAGACAAAGACGACAAGGCGACTCAGTACCATCCGTCGCAAACTTCTCCTGTCAGGTCTGCGGTAGGACATGTAGCTCTCGCATCGGTCTATACAGCCACCAAAAGAGGTGTATCTCCAACATTGCACCATAAATCGTCTGGAATAGACGCAAAGGCCTAGTAGTACCAACTAGAAGAATCGTCCATTCAACATCCTAGGAAACTGGATGTAACTGAAAATGAACGCTGCTGGAGATTTTGTTTTAAGCGTCAGCTCAGTTACTACCCTTTGTCATAGATTAAGTTAAGTTTTTACCCGATAGCGCGACGCAAATGAGGGTAATGTATTTATTTATCAGTCTATGACATTGACTGATAAACATAGACTCTATGTATCTATGTATGTTTGTTTCTATGTGGCGTTCTAGACGCCAAACGCGTGGGCCGATTTAGATGATTGAGTGTCATAGGCTATATAAAAATAGTTAAAATTAAAATAACTGATTTCAGGCGCCAATTTGTGTGTCTTAAAAAAAATTCTGTGGGATATCAAAGATTCGAGTGGGATATCAAAATAATGACTTTTCTTAATCACAAACATACAACATACAACTTATATGTTTAAAAGTAATTTAGGATAAAAAATTGCTAAATATCACTTCAAATCTCTAATTAGCAAAACTCAAAAGCTGTAAATAAAAAAATCTATACTCATCACATTATAAAGAGATAAAGTTTGTGAGTTTGTGACGTTGTGGGGGGTAATCTTTGGCTCTACTGAACCGATTTAGCTGAAATTTGGTAAGAAGATAGTTTGAGACCCTGGCAAGGACATATGATACTTTTTATCCCGGAAATCATTCCTTAAGGGAGTGAAAATGGGGATGAAAGTTTGTATAGGGACGAACCCGAGCGAAGCGAGGGTGAGTCGTTAGTTTATTATAAAAATAAAAAAACCCGACTGCATAACAGCTAACTAAAATGATGAAAACAAGTTGACGAAGTAATATAGTATTATACAGACAGAGGCATACACATTTCATCCTTACCACAAGATGTAATTATTATGTTGCTTTTTCAATTTTTTTATGGCAATAAATGTTTTTTTATAAGTATATTTTATCGTTGTAGTTCTATTGTCTCCTTTATAGAAAATATCAGAGAATCAACGCTGGCACCGTCCGTGTCTTCTAGAGAGCCTTCGACTATATCCGATGACCCTATGTCGGTAGATAGAAATCAAACAGTCGGTATGTATTTAATAATGTTTTAGTTTTTTTTTAATAATTTGTCATATTAGTACTTGCATATGGCAATATAAAAGGTAAGGGAAAGGGTATGCTAACACAAAAGAAAAAAAATATATATTTATATAATAATTATAATAGTGACAACCCTATTACAATTTAATTTGTTTTTAGTCAAAGATTAACAAATTCCAAGAAGTTACAGATGCTTGTATGTTAATAAAAAAATATATTTCATGCTATAGCTTTTATTATTTTTCATATAGATTTTATAAGTAAAAATAATCGAACCCATGAGTATAATTTTAATTTATAAATTTCTATAATTTAACATTGGCACTGTAATAGTACCGATATGATTTAAAATTTACATTTAGCGAAAATTTACATTGTTATTATTGCAAGTAAGCTATTTGCTTATTTTATGGCTTCAAAGTTGTAAGACTATAAAAACTTTAATATATTTAATAAATTATAAATGCCTCATGTCTAAATGTGATTGCTATGAACGGTAGGGCTGCTTTTCGTGTACATTTTTAATGCATTTGATGTTACTTTCTTAGATTTCCGCGAATATTTGATATTTAAAAAAAAACTATTTTTTCGGGTTTTTTTCCCGGATTTATTTTGATATTTGGTTCCCGACGTTTCGAATGCTTTGCAGCAATCATGGTCACGGGAGTGACTAAGGTTTTAGACGTCTCAAAGAACATTAGTATGGTATATAGTTGTTACAGACAGTACCTTTGTACCAAAAATCAATATATGTATCATTGCAAAAAAATTCGAAAAGATAATTTTATTTTAAATGCATTTGAGCTTGGGAATAATAGTTAGTTATATGTGTAATATGTATAGGTGTCTTAATTTTTTATTGTATTTTATCTATATTTAGTTTGTCATAACGCTATTTGTATAATGACTGCGTTTTTTTTTATATGAATGTTTCACAAATTGTAACGGTCCCCTTTAAATGATAGCAACTTTTTAAGTTATTTTTTCTGTGTTTATATTTTATGATGTGGTAGAAAAGTATAAATATTTTCAATCATCAAACTCAATTTTAGCAAAGGCAGAGTGTTAAATGATTGTCATCCAATATAAAAAAAACTCACTTAAATGAACGATATATTTATACTCTTGTACCCAACTACCAATATTTACATTATAAAAAGCAGTGATGAGGACTGCCCAATAAAACAATAGCATTCCAAAAGAGGGTTGACGTCAGGCAGGCGGCCGGTCGTAAAACTTTTGCCAAATCCTATCAGCAGTACAGAAGATGTACTGCGCCGACACCAAGTGATTGGGAAATGGGCAGAGAGAAGAAGAAGAAGTCATGAGGACTGCCGACAGAAGTGAAAGCTTAAAACTATAAACAATCAGTTGTTATTTTTGGATACTCAAATTTTGTTTCAGTTTTGACCTTAAATTAAAATTTGTAAATTAAAACTGTTCACATTTATCTGGTTTTGACATCTATCGGCACTCTTGAGTGTTAGCGTTAACACGTCACGTGACCACGTCGATGACGACTTACATGAATTTACTCCCCATCCAAACCTGCCCATGAAAGTTTTCACTTCAAAAATATAAAAAAAATAATACTTTCTTAGATTTACGCGAATATTTGACATTTTAAATAAAACTATCTGTTCGGACTCTTTCGGAATCACGGTCACGGGAGAGACTTTAGTCCGTATGACCATGATTGCGTAAAGCATTCGAGGCGTCGGGAACCAAAAATCAAAATAAATTCGCGAAAGAGTCCGAAAAGATAGTTTTATTTAAAATATAAAAAAAAATATGTAAACGATCGCAGTGTTAGCAATGGCCGAACCCGACGTGATAGCGAGTACTAAAGCTAACAGCCTAAAGCAAAGCCGGGGTTCCCCCGTCGCCACCGTGGCGGTGTCCGGCGCCCGCCCGGAGCCGCGCCCGGCCAGCGTGTCCGGGCCGGTCGCGCCGCCGCGCAAGAAGAAACGAAGTTAGTGTACTGTTTTTTGGTTCTAGATTGTTCTCATTTGTTTTGCCATATTTTGTCCTTGAGTAACTTTTTGTTATAGCGAATTAATGTTGGGAATTAAAAAAGTAACCTATGTCACTCACTATCTTAACTGTATCTATCTATACGTTTTGAATTTTATAATTGTCATACACATAAAGAGGTAAAATTTAGAATTTTTGATTGAAAATTGAGTTTGAAAATTCTGGAACCTCTAGCTAGCTTCTAGGTATTATTGTTTTTTTTTTGACTTTATTTTGATTTAACCAATCGCATTTAACCGCGCCCTAGTAGCTGAGAGGCGAAAGGTGGGAGCGGGGATATCCCTTCACTCTATTAGATTTTATACGTTCTACAGATAAAATATTTCTAAGTCATCTCAAAGCCCTTTAATATTTATTATTGTAATGTGGCCGAATATTTTCGTAATATTACCATATTTAAATCTTTTTGATTCTTTACGTTAATACGGCTGGTTGGATGAAGTTCACGGATAGGCTATGACCTAGAGTAATATATAGCACTAGCGGACCCGACAGACGTCCTGTCTACACGTCTTTAATTTGAAAATTGCAAACTTTTTTTAATAATTTTTTTGATGAAAATTATTATTCAAATTGTGAATCTAAACCATTCCCAGATCCCCTTGAACACACACAAAAAATTTCATCAAAATCGGTCCAGTCGTTTGAGAGAAGTTCAGTGACATACACACTCACAGAAGAATTATATATATAAAGATAGGCTACTGATATCTTCGCTAGGGTCGCCCAAGAGCGAAGCGATTTCGCTTATAGTAAATAAATTTAATTTTTCCTTTTTAATTTTTCTCTTTTTGACCCTTCCGCGGAACCCTACGGTGCCGTTAAAGGTTTCGAGTTCCGTTCGAGATTTAAAACGTTGTCAGACATGAAGCGTAGTTTTAGTGCTGTTATAAATAAATATGTGAAAAAATTCATTCATCACATTAAAAAGGTTATATTTTTGATACAATAAATGTTATTAAAAGTATTAATATTTTTCATATAAAAGTTGTTTTTTCAAGTTAAACAAGAAAATATTCGAACTGCACAACACAATAAGTTTAGTTATTATCAAAATGGGGATCTGTTAAATAATCATGATCAATTAGGGTTCCGTTGCCAAAAAAAATTGGGAACCGCTGATCTATGGAATTATTCTGCAGTATAATGTGTCTGTCAGCTACAATTCAGAGCGCAGTATAGCTTGAGCGGCTGGACTATAGAATGCTAATTTATCTGTTAATGACATTGGTTACTTTTTATCCCGGTGCATTATTATGCAAAAAAGTTATCCTATTAATTAAATCCCACGGGATAGTAGTATTATGTGCAAAAAATTACTAAAGGACTCGTGAGGTATAATTATAATCCGACCGAAATGAGATTGTACCTATAAATGTATGAGCAAGCAGAAATATGTATACGATTTCTAATTCGCTTGTGCTAATTAAATGTAATAGTTTTTATGTGTTTGCATAAATATATTTTTTCATGCCTAAAGGATATGTACGTAGACATTTTATTTTGTTACGAAAACAAAGCGATCTGTAAAATCTCAACTCGGGTTCTGTACAATAAATAAGTTGATTAAACAGACAGGCAAACAAAAATCCAAAATAAAATATATATTTCGCTATTGCACATATTTTTCAAATACATTAAAACACTCATTATTATATAGAATTTATAGATAAATATCACATAAACAACGTTTTTTATTAACTGAGCTTAAAAATTTAATTTATGATGTTACCATAAAAAAAAGTCTTATCCAAAAATAGAAACTACTGAGCTATATTTTATGAAACTTTTTCCACCTGTCCAGACAAACTGCACGGCTCCCAGTCCCTCTCGACCACGGACGGGGATAATCTCAGTGTGTGCACGGACACGGATGAACTGAGATATGGACGGGATAAACCCCATGTTGAGACGTTATTGGTTGAGGTGAGAACCCATGGTTTATGGACTAGTTACACAATCTGCGTCAAACACTGTCCTCACAATGAGCGCTCACTTGAAAATTTGAGCGCGCTTTTATTTATTTTTTGTGAAAACAACTTTAAGCATTGCATTTAAGGTTCAATTTACATTGTTGTATATTTATTTCAACTAGAATAATTACCTAAACACAATTGGTGACAGTTTTAAGAGAACTTTAGCGTGGGGTTGTGTATTTTGTGCTTTTATGATCGATGGTTTAGGTATTGCTTTTTGTTTTTTTTTGTCGAATCAATACTTGTAAAAGCCTATTTGAATAAAGTATATTTTGATTTAATTTGTGATGATGCATGCAATAGTAGGTGGGAGTGTATTTATAAATGGCTAACTCGAATTTGGGCTTATTTGAGTCAACTTGACCAGTTTCATTTATTACAATTGGTCAAAAGTTTGCTTTTTTGAAGTTATACTTCTTTTGACACGTTTGGAAAAAAATATGAGAGTAAAATATTTACGATGCGCGCGCACACCGACAGCCAAAAAGCGACATGAAGAAGCTAGCTGAAAGCAACGTGTTGAAGTTAGCTGCATTCCTTTTACATACATATAGTTGTGACATACGGGATGAAATCTATAGCTATTTTTGTTCTGTTACGCTAAAGAAGTATAACTTCTTACGTGCGTACATAAATACACCCAAACCGTTTTTTAACTATATATTTTTTTAATATTTCAGCAATCGTTATCAAACACAACAGCGAGTCAAACAATGGCGTTGCCGAGTCCAGCCAGTACGATCGAGTCTTTGACAAGGGAATTTCAGGATTCCCTCGAATTATCACAGTCTAAATATGGTAATGAAATGTAAAGTGCTTATAGTTCATACTAATATTATAAATGTGAGTGTTTGTTTGTCCTTCTTTCATGTCGAACATAGAGCGACCGATTGGCTTTTTATGTGATTTTAAGTTCGAGGGCTGGAGAGTGATATAGGCTACTTTGTACCGCGGGAGGGGTTATCTCATTCCCACGGGAAGTAGTAGAAATCCAAAAAGATAGTGTAATTTAAAATGTTAAATATTCGCGTAATGTAAGAAATAAATACTATTATATATAACAACTAGCGACTTTTATCCTCGCTTCGCTCGGGTTCGTCTCTAGGTACGTTTTCATTTTTTTGAACGGGATCCTAATTCTTATTCTAAAATAAAAGTAGCCTAAGTTACTCCTTATCAGTCAAAAATCAGCCAAAATCAGTCCAGCAGTTTCGGAAATTAGCCGGAACAAACAGACGGACAGACAAAAATTTTAAAAATTTGTTTTTTTTTTCTATAAAAAAATACGAATGGCCTAACCAGTTTATGATATGATGATCAGCGGAGCTGACGTCGCTGGGCGCGCGCGAGCCCCGCGACCGCCCGCACCACTCCACATTGGATATAAAGGAAGCTGTCAAAGGTACTTTGTTTTATTATATATTATATATATTTATAGGAATTTGATACTAAATAAATAAATTTCATTTCATTTATATTATGTTAATAATAATAATAATTCGTCTATCAATTTCAATAATATCCATACTGATATTAAAAATGTAAAAGAAACTCTCTGTGTTTGTTTGTTTGTTTGTTTGTTTGTTTGTTTGTTTGTTTGTTTGTTTGTTACCATGTAGATGTGGTATGGAGATAGCTTGAGACCCTAGAAAGGACAGAGGATAGTTCTTGTCCCGGAAGGAAATTATTCCATAAGGGGATGTAATAAGTGGTTGTATGGGGAATCGATCATTTCTCAAGTAAGGATTATATATTTTTTTATTTTTTGAAGTATTTAGCTGCTTTTCTATATTTATGAATATATAATCCATCTATTTCAAATTAACCATTAAAAATTAACCATTAAAAAAAAATAAAGAGTGCGTGTATGAATGTGTACACAGGCAAGAAGTAAAACTTCTGTACGTTATCAGTACTCTTTATGAGATTTAATTTATGTTTTAAATAATTAGGGTAGGTGAGATACTAAAAATAACACATACTAGGCATATTACAATCATATATTTATAGAATATTATTTAAGGAAAGAATATAATATTACTAGCAGGACCCGCGGCTTCGCTCACGCTAAAATTACAAAAAAAAACTCTAAAAGAGTAGGTTTCATACAAACTTTCATCCCCTATTTTACCTCCCCCCTTACGGGATGAATTTTGAAAAATACTAAAACACGTATTTAATTAATTGTATTGAAGAGCCTTAATACCAATTGTTTCATGTAATTCTGATCATGATTATTTTTTTGCATTGTTTTATAACGTGTTTTCCCGTGGGAATGAGATGATCTCCTTCGATAAATAGTAGCTTATGTCACTCTCCAGCTCTCCGACTATCTCCATACCAAAAATCACGCCAATCCGTCACCCCGTTTTGACGTGAAAGAAAGACAAACAACAAACACACTTTCACATTTATGATATTAGTATCTCACCGGTCGTGTCTCGTGTCGTCCCACCGGAGTATGAGAGTGACAGGAATAGACAGTGCACTTGTGTCTGCGCTCTCTCTCACACGCGCTGCACTATAATATCTCTTGTGCAGTTGGCTATTCTCATTTAGATTGGCCGCCGTAGCCGGAATCCGGCCAGGAGAATATCATCATCATCATCATTTGTCAGACAATAACAACGGTTACCATGGCAACAAAATTTCGCCTCGCCCGTTTACATTTTTCGCACGCATTCACCAGCCTACTCCCTCTAGTCAAGCGTGCGTAAAGAAGTTTTACTTCAAAAAGTGTAATGATAAAATAAATCAAGTAATAATTAGAAAAAAATAAAAAAGTATAAGTAGAAAAAATAATTAAAATGTAAATTCTCTCATCGCCCAGGTGATTACGTAGTGCGTCCCACGGACGAGGAGAGGGCGCGCGGCGCGGGCGGCGCGGGGGCGGGCGCGGGGGCGGGCGGCGCGCGCACGCACAGCGAGAGCCGCGCGCCCACCGGCACCGCCAGCCTCGGCTCCGCCACCAGGTGTGTATGTGTGCGCGTGTGTACCTGTGGTACGTATGTACGATGGCACGGTTGGACGGAATAGATATAGCTTATCTACTGATTACAGACTAGCATCACATATAAATATGTGACTAAGTGAAGTGTACATTCATTTAATTTATTAAATATATATTGTATATCTACTATCGGTGTATTCCCACTTCGCTTAAGCGATATATTAGCTTGTAGTTTTAGTTAGATAAAAAAGTAATTTTAGCTCTGATTTTCTAGCCAATTTTTCTCAGATCTAAAAATATTTTTCCGAACTGGCAGTACAACCGGCGGCATTTATTACCTAATAAAACATTTTGAATTCGAATTAGAGGTGCGAGCACTCGGTTCTCAAACCAGCTGTCACTGCCTTAGGTAACCTAAAACATCTAATATATAAAATTCTCGTGTCACATTGTTTGTAACAAAACTGCTCTGAAACGGCTTGACCGATTCTTATAAAATTTGATGCGTATACTCAGTAGTTTTGAGAATAGGTCGTAAACTATTTTTCATACCCCCTGAGTGAGAAGAGTGATCCTGAAAAATTTTTGGACAATTTTTTAAGCTATTGCATAGCTTCTATCGCGGGCCTTGAGCGTGGGGACCGAATCCAGAAATTCCGTAACGAAAAAAACCTGACACCCCCCACTCCGACCGGCACAGCGGTGATACTTTTTAGTTTTTCCATCTATCGATAAATACCAGAACTTTTAATGACTTTTTGAAATATCACGCTTGTCTCTTTAGTTCAGCAACCCCCCTTTAGGTGGCATTTGTTGTATTGGAAAACTACCGTAATCAGCTGTTTGTGAGAAAGTATATAGGTGTATAGGTATTTATCATCTATGTACAACAGTGAATATCTGTACTCATATAATTTGTGTACAAAGTGTTTTAAATATTGTTAAGTGCATTTATTAATGAAGAAAGTCACGAAAAAATAGTGAAAGAAAATGAGTTAGTACTCTATATACATTCATTTTATTATTATTATCACAAATGCAGTATTATTTTTTGTTTTGTTAATTTATATATAATACTGCTATAAAGATAACCAAAATTTTTGATATTAAAATAAGCTTGCATAAGTTGATAAAAAATGCTATGCAATAGCTTTACCGCGGCAGTCTCCGAGTGCCACATTTAATTTTTTATTTTCATGTGTTTATGATTCGGCATTAAAAATACATACAAACGTAAATTTTCACCAGTTATTATATATAAAATATATGTACCGCAGCCGGCGCTCGGACGGCAGCCGCGCGCGGCGGCGCTCGGCCGGCGACTCCCCGCGCGGCGCGCCGCTCTCCGACATCGAGATCCTGGAGCAGGTCACCGTGCTCAACCTCGACACGGGTGAGTTCACACTTGGCTCGAACGGCAGTCTATTCCACGGGAACTGGGATAAAAAGTTACCTATGTGCTATTTCAGACTAATCTATCTCTGTGTCAAATTTCATCCAGATCCGTTCAGCCGTTCTAGCGCGATTGAGTAACAAACATCCATCTAAACTTTCCCATTTACAATATTTATATTGGACTAGCGACTCACGCTCGCTACGCTCGGTTTAGTCCGTGGGTGATTTCCCCATACAAAGTTTCACAACCGTTTTTACCCCCTTAAGGGATAATTTCCGAGATAGATCCTATGTCTCCAAGGTCTCAAACTATCTTACCAAATTTCATCTAAACCGGTACAGCAGTTTCAAAGCCTATTCGATACAAATAAATAAACAAAAAAAAAATTTTCCTCTTTATAATATTAGAATAGATAAATTATCTAGGTAATGTCAGAGTTAAGCAACACCACCAGTGACGTGGTTTAGGATTTTTGACTGATGTGTTTGTCAGTTTTGTCGTGATGGAATAAAAAATGGAACAGGTGGCTTGTTTTATAAAAATTATAGCCCTATCATAAAACGCCTTATAATTTTTACCAATTAAAAACAAAAAAGTAAAATATATCCTTTGGTATAAAATAATTTCTATTAAAATAAAGAAAGTATCCTCCGTTAAAGTTAAGCTATCCCACTGAATGGTTAACTTATATGTACTTCTATCTTTTACATTTGTAACTGTATTTACGTTAAATTTAATACAATCAATTCCCAGAGAATAAAATCCCTGAAAGTCTGCGGATAAAAACGCTCGTTATTCAAAACATGATCATAAAGCAAAAGCTAGTTATGCAAAACAAAGCGATCTCCAAACATGATATACATTAGGAATTATGACCATAGACCAAACGCAAAAATCACCAAAAAAAAACATGTCCACTAACCAAAAGCAAAGCCAATAAAGCAAAGTGTAATTAAATGTACATCAGCGCGGCTGTCCTCAGGCGAGCGCATGCCGCTGTCCGTGGCCGAGCACAAGCTGCCGCAGTGCATCAACCCGCTCAGCCTGCACATCATGCGCCTCACCTCCGAGTACATCGGCCGCGCGCACGACGACGAACACACCAGGTGCGTGCGCGCCCACTCTCACCTGACATCTGTCATCTGTCAGTTGTCACTTGTCAGCTGTCATGTTGTACACTGCGATATGAATTAGGGCCGCTCCACACTATAGTGACGTTCACAGTCCGTTCTCGGTCCGAAGTATTGTTATACAAGAAACAATGAGTGCATTCACACTATCAGTAAGACTCACGTTCCGGTCGGATCGCGCTCCAGCAACGTTTCTTGTATATAAATAATTTACCAGACTGATATTGGACCGAGAACGGAAGTGATCGGCTTTATAGTGTGGAGCGGCCCTTAGCGTCGTTAGTACGAGTTTGTTTGGCCAACGTTGTACATTATACTGTTTTGGAATTTGTACTGTTGATTTTACAATAGCTTCACAATATGCGCTAGAGATTAGGCGCTACTAGAATATCATTCTTCTTAGATGTCATTGATACTCGTACTTTAGGACGAAGAATGGGAACATAAATAACCTTGACAAATTATTGTGTATGACAATTTGTTTTTGTGTATACTTTAGAAAAATACACAAATTATAAAGGATACACTTAAATAACTTTTCCATTTTATCTTTATAGTTTGGAAAGGTCATTTACCGTTCCTGTTCATATATAGATCGCATTGTATTATATATGTAACGACTCGCTATCTGTGGCATGGATTTAATGCATTGGGTTTGAATTCGATGTGGTGTAAAGGAATGGACGAAACTGTAGACATATAAAATTAAAGTGTTCTTTCTATATGAGATGAGTGAGATATTAATTTATAAAAAAAAACTTTTTTATCTTTCTTTTCACTAAGAAATATGCCTGAGCTAAAACCTAGACATTAGACAGATTTTGACATTAAAATAAATTTATGTCATTAGGTATTCACAGTTAAAATTTTATAACCGATTTTATTTAAAAATTAAATTAAATTGTATTTTGTACAATTTGATTTTAATATATAATTTAATAAAGTAATGTAATTTCCCTATTAGTAGACCAATCAGAATTTGAGAAAGAGATATTTTTCGCATAATTACTTTGTCTCACTCGCGCTTTTCGTCTGTTATTTGACGGCTTTACAATTTTGAAACAGTCTATTCCTCTGTTTTCACAACCGAATCGAAATCATTTCATATTCCTAGATGGGAACTCACAGTTATATTTATGATGCATTCATTCATTATCTGTGACACAGATTGCTAATGGAGGTAAACGAGCTGTCCAATTTGCCGCGCTTTTTGACAAATGATGTATATTTTTATTTTTTGAATAATTCATATTGTTTTAATAATTTTTTTACGGTTTAAACTGAATCCACGAATTTTAATAAACACCAGCAACTTTGCATTACAGTTCGTTTGTTTCTACTAATAAATTTAGTGTTTGTTAATAATAATGAACTATTTGCATGATTATTCAATGTTATTTGTCAAACTTTATAGCATTTATAGTGAATAACTATCGCTATTTCTAAATCTTCTAACATTTATATTGTATTTAATAATAATTTTCAGGATTTTGTTAATGTCTAATGAATGCAAGAGTGTCTGGATTTTTCAAATGCACGCTAAGCTACTACAGTGTATGTTAATGATCGCATGCCGATTTGTAGACTAAAAATAAAAAAAATAATGATATTAGTAAAATAGATTATAAATAACTATAGGTAAATTAGAATATTATCTTTTTCTTACCTTCCAGTATTTTATTGCCTTTTATTAAAACAATACATTAAAATAAAAATATTTCACAATAATCACAGACATGCGAAAGTTTTTCTTAATTTCTTAAATCTAATATATTATAATTTACACTTAGTATTTAAAAAAGTATAATTCTAACTTTATATTTTATAATATAAAGTATATTTATACCTTAAGTAATGCTAGGTGACAAATTGCTACTTCAAACAATTACACAAATTATGAAAATAAAAAACAAATCGAAATCGAACTAACAATCTTCGGCTTCGTTCTCACGGAATGACGATTACAATTAATAACCTATCTTTGGATTGTTTCATTCATCTGACATATAAAATGATTCAATTCTCTTGTTAATGGCTTCAAAGCGTGCCAGTTGAGCACAGATTACTTCGCCAACGTCATGTAGAACAATAAAATAACGTAACTACTGTGGATCTTCTGTCAAAGTATCCAAAGGACGGAAAACAATGAAAACACACTAGAAGCCATTGAACATAAGAATTGAATTGAATTGAACAATCAAAACATAGGTTATTTATTTTGTCAGTATATCACTTTAAATAGATAATAATTGGCAATAAAAACGAACACCTTTCCAGTCCGAAGAGCAAACAAAAGAGTTTATGGAGGAAGCGAGCCTCGATCAGTTACTACACAAGCTCTTTCAGCCTTCTGAAGCGATCTCCGTCCACGCCCATACAACCTGCCATATCGACCCTCAGCATAGACACTAGGTTCACTTTTTGTCTATGCCATATTAAGCCTATGTCCGCTTTACGTTGTCTATGCCTCATTTCGTCTATGGGTTATTGTCAAGCGATGTTTTTTTTTTGCTTTAAATTTGTTCTGATAAAGGTTTCTTTAAGAATTGCAGAACTGATTTTGTTTTATCATTTTTAACATAACTAATAACATAAAGAGTGATGATAATACTCTTCCTAGTTGAATCTGTTTCTAATGTTGGAGTCTATTTAAAAAATAGAGAAGTCTATGGACTTTTTATTAAGAGTACAATAAATTTAAAGAGCATTAAACGTTTTGTTTGTTCTATTTTTTATTTTTCCTCGGAAAAGTCTAAAAATGACGATATAAGCATAGTTTTATTTTAACTTAATTTTCATTGCAGTTGGTATCCAAAGTTATGACTTTGTTTTATTATATTTTGTATGAAGTTTATTGTAATACGCGGCCTCTTATAAAACGATAATCGAATAGTTATATGTATTAAAATAGATAGAATTTCGTAAATATATATTATATTTTAAATGATTAGATTATTTATCTTCATTATTACATAAATATAATCGATATATTTTATTGTTAGATGTGGTATTAAGTTTTCTACTAAAAAAAATCGTACATATGACGAAAGACAGTTAAAAAGTTTGCTTTAAATTGTCCACATAATACAAATTCACTCCATGATAACCTTACAGTGTGTTTCAGCGGTTTTGGTATCATATTCTCTTAATATCTATGGAGTGGATATTTTTATTTTTGATTTTAACATTTATTCATATTAATCGTATTGCACTTTATTTGTATAGTTTCGCTTTTTTGCATGTCTTGCAGCTTATTAGCTTTGTTTGTGTGTGTACGTTTACTGAACAAGTAACTCGACTTTTACTAACATAATTTAATGTTTCATTATCTATAATAATGTTGGCATTATTAAATTATATATTTGTTTTTCTTTTTTGGTTTTTTTATCATTAAATGAAAATAGTATTTAAATATATTTTTTAATTATATTTACAATAACTGTAGAGAGACTGACGAAGAAAGCGAGAGTGTTTGTGTCGGCGGCGTTGAAGACGAAACTAAAGAGACGAAAAAAGAAGGCACCGACAGACAGACTACAGCTATTAAGAGAAAAACTGAGAAGTAAGTTTTAAAAAAATATTTTTTTTAGGTTGATGAAAATATAAAGTGGTACCCAACGTGGGGCTATTATGGTAATTTTCAAACTATACTAAAAATTGTAGACTACCGTGCTTTTTTTGAGCAGTTAACCTTTAAAATACTATTGTGCCGATTTCAATAAAATTATAATCTTGATTACTTCAAATAATTTAAATTTTGGATGTTTCAAATATCGATTCCAAATTGTTACTTTATTTATGTGTTTAGCATTAGGTCTGGAAGACGATGACTTAGACACATTATAATATTGTATGTATGTGTTATTCGCTTTTGTTTCATAAAACCTTGTCTCGGGAACGTAGAAATATTAACATTGATATTTATATAAATATATGAAGAAAGTATACACTTCATTATCTTATAACGGAATGGAGTCTAATTGATTTAAAATTCATTTGATACCTGGATTTACAATTTGAAATTTAAAAAGTAAAGAATTTCTAACATTATACGTGTTGTAATCTAGACTGATGCGCGCTGATCTAGTGAAGTGTCATTCTCAAGACAACATAAACATCAGGTGACGGCGACGCTACAGCCTACAGCTTGCATTTACTTTGCCCTTGTTCCTAAGCCTTATACAGTTCCGTTACAACTTACAACAATACCCCAAAAACTTAACGTTTGAAACCTTTGAGTGATCTTTCACGCTTATATGATTATTAATTATAAAATTGTGTTTCTTTTTCATGGATTTTTACTAAATATGCGATACTGATTTGAGCCTAGTCGTCATCAAAGAGAAGTTATTTTTATTTATATGCAATTAGCGACTTAGCCGTGCTTTACATTTTTGAGTGGAACCCCGATTCTTTTTATAAAATAAAAATAGCCTAAGTATTCCTTTTAACATCAGCTATCTGCTAGTGAAAGTCCCGTCAAAATCAGTCTAGCCGTTTCGGAGATTAGCAACAAATCGGTACAAACAGACAGACATTTTTTTTTTAAAGTTGTGTTTTTCTTATAAGTACCGTATGTAATTAATTTCATGTGCATTAAGTAAAAAGCTGTTATTTCGATACTACAAAAAGACACTTCAATTTTTTTTATCTGTTAATAGATATAACGAAATATATAATTGTCTACAAAAATTATTTCGTATTTATTATGCGTAGTACAATATGAGAGAACAAACGTTAATTTTATATTCTTTTTGATGACGGCTCAATAATATTAAACATAATCTACAATACGTTGCTACTTTAATGCTTACACAATTGTTTTATTTGATTTGTGATACTAACTTTTGAGTTTTTCCTTTTAATTAAATATAATTTTACTTTACATTTTGAATGTTACTTATAGATTAAAAAGATTTTTCGGGAGTACTGTCAAAAAGACCGTGGACGCGGCTAAGTCTTTGGCTCAAGAAGTGTCTCACGCGCGGCACAAAGAAGACGTGGCAGATATAGTGGATGATGTTCGAGGTGAACATAATATTAAACTGAAAGCCTCAAATTCGCACAAAGGGCCCTATGACTTCGATGGATGTGTTAGATATGTACAGGTATGTTTTTTGGCGTCCACTGTGGGGCACTATTTAATACATAAATATTTTCTACATATATAAAAATGAACCACCGAAATGTAGGTACGCGCATAACTTCGGATCGACTGCACCAAATTGGATAATTCTTTTTTTTTTAATCTATTGTATTTGTTATTGTCAGGAAGTTTTGCATAGAAGAAAATTAAAAGATTTTTTTTTTCTAATTTTTTTTTTAAATCTCATGACATGAAAAGTGAATGCTTATATACAATGAGAGACAAAAACAAGAGAACTAATTTTAGCACCGACTTCGACAATATTTAATTATGTATATATAGTAAATGAGAACTGAAAATCAGTTATTTTTTACTTTTTAGTGTTTTGAAGTTGGTTTTTATTATATTTCAAAGTTTTTATAGATTTGTGTAAATCGTATTTTGTAATTAATTTTTTATAACGAAATTATTTCCCTACTAAATGATGAATGAATGAACTAAAATTTATTCAATTAGACTTATAACAAGCACTTTTGAATCGCCAATTTAATTTGAGCGTCAGTGTAGTCAGTCCGTGAGGAAGCTACCACCGGCTCAGAGACCAGTTCTGCTGAGAAGAGCCGGCCAAAAAACTCTGAAAAGAAATGATTTTGTATAGGAAATGGGGTCGGCTCACTCCGGCGCGGTGTGGTGCTGCAAGTTCAGCGTGTGCGGCCGCCTGCTGGCCACCGCCGGGCAGGACAAGCTGCTCAGGATTTGGGTCACCAGGGACGCTTATGAAATGTTCCAAGTGAGTTATATTTGTTGGATTCATCGATCAAAGTAATAAAGTCTGATTTTTAATTCGACGGAATTCTGACATTTCAGAAGTGTTGTCAACTTTGAAACATTGTCACTAAAAACGGAAAGCATTTTAGCAAAATAAAAATTAAATGTGGCACTCGGAGACTGCCGCGGTAAAGCTATTGCATAGCATTTTTTATCAACTTATGCAATTATAATTATTTATTTATTTTATTAATGCAGTATTTTTTTCCTTGACTTTCTTCATTAATAAATGCACTTTGTTTATTCATATTTAAAACACTTTGTACACAAATTATACGAGTACAGATATTCACTGTTGTACATAGATGATAAATACCTATACACCTATATACTTTCTCACAAACAGCTGATTACGGTAGTTTTCCAATACAACCAATGCCACCTAAAGGCGGGTTGCTGAACTAAAGAGACAAGCGTGATAATTCAAAAAGTCATTAAAAGTTCTGGTATTTATCGATAGATGGAAAAACTAAAAAGTATCACCGCTGTGCCGGTCGGAGTGGGGGGTGTCAGGTTTTTTTCGTTACGGAATTTCTGGATTCGGTCCCCACGCTCAAGGCCCGCGTTAAAAGCTATGCAATAGCTTAAAAATTAGGTTTTAATTAGAAAAACTAAGACTTAAAAAATTATTGATAACTCTAAAATGGTAATTTTTTTTATTATCATATTATTGACGTTACAATAATTATTAAGGAAATTATTTTTGTATTACAGGAATCCTTGTCCAATAATCCATAGGTTGCAAGCCTTTTTTAATAAAACCCCTTTGTTCGTAGAATATTTTGTTTTACTCTGTTTTATTCATTTAACCATTAAAAATTTAAATTATAGTTAGCGTGCATTGATTGCACAAAACAAATACTATTCACAATGTCATACATATAGTTTACTAGATCTAATTCTGTTTCAAATTTTTGTTATTTTATATTAAAAAAATACAAAACAGAAAAGGTTTATGATATCTGAATTGACAAAGAATGATAGCTGTCATATTTCCGTGGAATTAAAAATCAGACTTTAGATACACAATCAGCAACAAAAAATGTTCTCACCGAACGAGCGGCCATTTGATCATAAAATAATAATCTCTTAAATGATATTTACAGGACATGCGCACAAAGTACAACGCCAAACAGAAATCCTCCCCAACTCCCTCTCAGGAGTCCCTATCTTCCCTCGCACCCCCTCCCTCCCCTGAAGACCCTCCTCTCACTCCCTCTGCTCCCTTCTGTCCTAAACCTTTCTGTATCTATTCTGGACATACATCAGACCTTTTAGACGTATCATGGTCGAAAAATAACTTCATTTTATCAAGTTCCATGGACAAAACGGTCAGGCTATGGCATATCTCAAGAGGGGAATGTTTATGTTGCTTCCAACATATAGACTTTGTTACGGCGATAGTCTTTCATCCGAGGGATGATAGGTACTTCTTGTCCGGGAGTCTCGATGGGAAGCTGAGGCTATGGGATATTCCAGACAAAAAGGTAATAATAACTGGATATCATTAAAATTGTCTTTTTTTATTTAAGTATAGTGTTTTTTTTAAATAAAATTTTATTTGTTTTAATTTTAATTTTTTAGAATAATTAGATTTCTTTTTGAAACAATCAGCTTTATTTGTATATTGTTGTGCTTATATGATTATTGGTAGTTTTTCCTTTTAAATAAAATTCTTTCTTATTTCTGTCTAACTACAAAAACTGACGTAACAGTTTTCGTCAGAAAATTACAAAAAAAGGCTTGTCTTTTATATAAAATCAACGTACAATTCTTATAGGTAGCAGTATGGAACGAAGTGGACGGCAAAACGAAACTAATAACCGCAGCGAACTTCTGCCAAAACGGCAAATTCGCAGTCGTCGGTACATACGATGGTCGATGCATATTCTATACAACCGACCAACTAAAGTACCACACACAGATAGACGTCAGATCTACCCGCGGAAAAAACTCTACAGGACGAAAAATTAGCGGGATAGAACCGATGCCTAATGATGATAAAATACTAGTGACGTCCAACGACAGTCGTATCCGCTTGTACGATCTCCGAGACTTGAATCTATCCTGCAAATACAAGGGATACGTGAACGTGTCAAGTCAAATCAAAGCGTCATTTTCCCATGATGGCAAATATATTGTTAGTGGGTCAGAAAATCAGTGTATATATATTTGGAAGACGTGTCACGATTATTCTAAGTTCACTTCCGTTAGACGGGATAGAAATGATTTTTGGGAAGGCATTAAGGCCCATAATGCTGTGGTCACCTGTGCGGTGTTCGCTCCCAACCCAGACCATATGATACGTATGATTACAGAGAGAGAAGAGAAGATGAATGTCAATAGAGATGATAGAGATGATGTTGTAAGTATTGTTTTGGTCTATTATTTCGGGTGTAATAATTATTTTCTAAGTAATAGGTACGGTATTTTGTAAATGGCTTTTTAAATAATATAAGTGTGAAAGGGTTTGGAAAAATCTTGAAATGTGCTGTTGTAAAATTTGCTAAACATATTTAATTAAGGTGTTTAACACAAAAGTAAAAGATTTTTTTTCCTTTAAGGATTTACTTTTGATGTTTAATTTTTTAATTAAAAAAAAAATAGTTAAAGTGGTAAAGATCGCGTAACATACAATCATACAGCTAAATCGAATATCTCCATTATGAACTTTCTCAAGAAATATGAGAAAATATAGCGACTTAACCTCGCTTCGCTTATGTTCTTAGCATTAGTGAATTATTTTGTAGTAGTAGGTACTAAATTTTATCCAAATCTGACCGTCCGGCCGTTATTTTTGAATAATTTATAAATTATTAACTTTGAAATGAATGTATGTTGTATCCATCATAAAAGGTTATGCATTTAGAAATAAGTTTTTTTAAATTTTGAAACTACTGTACTAATGTTATTACCACTGGTTGGTATAAATATATCTTAATATATATATTTTGTAGACAGGACAACGTCTGTCGGGTCCGCTAGTATACATATATATTGTTATTTCAATATCTGCGATCAGTTTGCATATAGATACAAATAATAAATAAAAAAAGACATATACAAACATTCGCATTTTATAAAAGTAATGAAATAAATTTTAATAATATTTCTTTATTATTTAAACCACAGAAAGCCGCAGACGCGGGCATGGTGTCGTCCTCGCAGACCGGCCACGTGCTGGTGAGCGCGGACTTCAACGGCTGCATCAAAGTGTTCGTCCACAAGGCCAAGCCCAAGCACAGCTCCCTGCCGGCCTCTGCTCTGGCTTAAGCTAGTGGACATCGGGCGATTTCCAAATGCAGCGCTAAAACACAATGCTCAACTTCGAATTTTTTGAAGAGAAAACTTCTAGAGGCAGGTTTGTTTGGATGGGGAGTAAATTCATGTAAGTCGTCATCGACGTGGTCACGTGGCGTGTTAACGCTAACACTCAAGAGTGCCGATAGATGTCAAAACGAGATAAATGTAAACAGTTCTAATTTACAAATTTTAATTTAAAATCAAACAATTAATTTGAATATCCAAAAATAACAACTGTTTGTTTATAGTTTTAAGTTTTCACTTCTGTCGGCAGTCCTCGTGACTGCTTTTTATTTCAACTACAACAACGCTCAGCACAATCGAGCACTTTGCAAAGTACTGCTTTGGCCTGATGCGAATAAGCAGTAGCAGAAAATATAAATAGTGTTTTTTCGCGTTATTCGTGTTTGTGCGTCAAAGTGTATAAAAAAAGTGCGGCATTATGCTCTGTAATTGGAAAACATGGACCATGTCTTAAAAACGCACCGACAAAATGATAATACGACGTCTATATTATATTGGATCGACTGAGAATTATTGTTTTGAATAAAGATTGAAAATCATGTCATATTTGCAATGAGATTCAAAAATGTATTTATAATAATATATTTTTATAATATAAATAATATATTTTTTCTGTTACTAAGGAATTTTATGGTAGCAAAGTTCGAAGCAGTAATAGAGCTAAAATGGATTGGGTATATAGAAAGCTTCTGCAATCTCAACTAAAAAGTATTTATTTCAAACACAAAAAAGTAGATATTTCTAGTTTAAAAAAATCTAGCGAAACTTCCATTTAAAATAAAATAAGTCGAATCAATGTCTGCATTAAAGTTACTATAATATAAAAAAAATATCACAATGTTAGAAGTAGGTTCCTTTTAAATAAACATAACAGTGAAATCTAACTTATGGTGGATTAATATTTGAAATAGTTTAGAAAGTAGAAGAAGAAAAGTCAACATTTCATTTAATATACATTTAATACTTTCTTAGATTTACTCGAATATTTGACATTGGACATTTTAAATAAAACTATCTTTAAGGATTTTTTCGCAGATTTATCTTAATTTTTTGTTCTCGATGTTTCAGTCCCTTCAGATTCTGTAAAATATTTTATTATCATGATAGCCGTTCGTTAAAAATCGTCAAAAATCAACTCACAGACAAATAACATACTTAAACAAGAATCATCAATCAGAAAAAGAAGAATTATAAAAGAAAAAAATCACAGACTTATAAAAAAGAAAGAATTAGAACAACAAGAATTCTTAGTGAAAATGTGCAATGGAATCTCTTATAATCTTAAATATTATGATATTGAATGTAATATAATAAATACTAATATATTTGTATATAAATAATTATATATAAGAATTTATTTAAGAAAATTATTTACTTAAACGATGATACAAACCAAAATCTATTTTGGTTCGAGATGAATCACAATAATATTCTAACTTTTATATAAACAAAAAGAAATACAAATAGAAAAGCGGAAAGCATAAATTAGTGATATATCAATACATTCCCTAAAGAGAAAGGGAAATATCATTTTAAATGTATATTTTGATAAACAAACATGTGTTGCGTGCCTCGTTTAACAATCGTACACTAGCAAGTACTGTCGTGTTTGTAACGTTAGTGTAAACGAGGCTTTGGCTAAGAAATAATTCACAGATAAAATATGACCAGACCAAAATGTATCAATCTGTCAAATGATGTATATAAGTAAAAACGAGAAGTCATCTATCAAAAAAGTACTAGATAGACAATTCCATGCAAAAGTTCTCTAAAAACTGTCACTAATTGTGTTTATGTAGTTATTATAGTTGAAATAAATATACAAAAATGTAAATTGAACCTTAAATGCAATGCTTAAAGTTGTTTGCGTAAAAAAAATTAAAAGCGCGCTCAAATGTTCAAATGAGCGCTCATTCGGTGAGGACATGAAAATTAATAAACTGCGCTCAACTGACAAAGCTAAAAGCCACATAATAAATGAAAAAATTAATGAATAGTATTTTTATAACATATTATATATTTAATTAAAAGCGGTGGAAACTAGAATCCTACGTATATTTTGGTTGAGTTGAGATAGTTGATTGGCGGTGATTTAATTTCTCTAGTGGCTACTTTCAGAACTAAGAAAAGCAACCGTTCTAATTATTTTAACGTCTATCTATGAATCTTTTTTGACAAGTATTTTTACAATCATTAGACACAAACAGTGCCGGATTTTTCCTTACCGCCGCCCCTGGGCCCAGTAAAAAATGCCGCCCTATTATCGAAATTTTGCATAAAATTGGTAAAGTTTTGATAAAGTTTCAATTTTGTTTTATTTATTTTTTTTTTGAAAAAAGAAAAAATATTATAATTGAGTTCAATTTTTCGAAAAATGATATAGTAATTTTTTTAACTAAAATTTTTTTGGAAAATAAAAAAACATTTTGGATAACGTGAAGAAAATTTTTCCCACCCTCAGAATTTTGCTGCCCCTAAAAATTTACCGCCCTGGGCACTAGCCCCGACTGCCCCTAGTGTAAATCCAGCGTTGGACACAAACTAAGTAGTGAACTTTTCGGTCGTAGTTAGTTCTACGAATTGCAGGAAAGCTGCTCATAAGTAATACTTAAAAAATTTAGAAACTGAGTTATATCTACAGCCTCTTACACACGTGATAAATGTGCGCAAATAAAAGAAGCTACGTTATATTTTTACTATCTACTTTTTAGTTTTACTTGATGGCTAGTTTTAAAAAAACATATTTTTGTTTGATTTACAATATTTATTCCAAAAAAAAACACTGTAAAAAGTATTTATTGATCATGTTATTACGGAAGAATGTTAAGAATATATTAAACTTCTGTAAAATTATTTCAAAAATATAATAATGCTTTACAAAAACTTTCTACTTGTATTTTTGTTATATTTTTTTATTAACATTATATATTAATTACGCTTTATTTCTTATGATATGATATTAATAATAATTTAGGCAATTATAACATAATTTTGTAAATGTATGGGATATGTTTGTATGCTTTAACTATTTTTTTTTAATAATTTAACAAAAGCCAATTGTTAATTAGAGCGCGTTGGATATTTATAAAGAAGCTAAATATAGAAGAAAAGACAAATTTCTTCAATATTTCTGTAATATTGTTTTTTTTAATTGTGACCTAAATTTTTTTATTTTTTGTTGGTTGAGATAACCTGTTCATTTCATTGTCTTAATTTAGTTTTAACATTTTCATACAAACTTGTTTGACAAAAAATATATATAAATATACTGTTTTTTGTTTTATAAATAAAAACACTTTTTTTAATAGTTACTAACTTTTTTTTAATTAAAATTGTTTTAATTCGCCAATTTTTCAACATCTCCAACGTGCTCTGACTGCAACAAGGTTCTGTGTATATTTGTAACTTCACTATTCCAAGTAAATCTTGCCTTTGATTGAACCATGTGATTATCGTAAGCGTAGCGTGTGTAGTTGAGTCGATGCCATGTATCTTGTAACTGTATTGTATATTTTTAATTTGCATTTACAGGTTAATAAAATCGTTATTTACTACGTTTGTTTTATTTTGTGTTTGTCTATGGATGGATGTCAAATTCTGCTTCATACTTTTTTAAACGACTTTCAAAAAAGTTTTATGTTTGTTCGTCTGTATGTGTTTTTGTTTCGAGTTTTTATCACACTTGTATTAATAAATATGAATATGAATGAATTTGAGTGAGATTCTACAGATAAAGGGCAAATTCATTAATAAAGTAAGGACAATTTTGGCCATTTTCGAGTCAGAGATCTCAGAGTTGTTTTTCCCAACGCTTAGCTCTCAAATATCCCTCACTCTATGTTAAAGTCGTTTCGACTTATAAAATATAACGTAAGAAGGGTTTTTACCCCCCTCCTCCTGAGATAAGAGCTCGTAGTTTTTGAGATCTCCCACTCCTCCGCTGGACCCTTACAGAATGAATAATAATATAAATAATATGATAGCCCCCTAATAGCTTATATCATTTAACATAGGCTTTTTATACCGCGAACGGAGCCGCGGGCAAAAACTAGTTGGCCGTATTGATTTTTGTAGCGTCTCTTATCATCATCATTATGATAGTCAATCTCATTATGAAAAAGCCAGATATTTTTTTAATTTATGATATAGGTTATTTTTATCCCGACATTTAGGTAGCTTAAGTAGTTTCCTTGAGATATGTCTGTTGGTCAGTTATATAGGCAGTGGTAACGCACTCGCTTGGGAAACCGAGTGAAATGAGTTCAAATCCCGGGTCTCGCACCTCTGATATTTTCATGTGCGAATCATTTCCAACATGATTACCACTTGTCTTAACCGATGTTGGAAACCAGCATGACTGAGAAAAACCTAGAAAGTTTTCAAAAGACATGTGAAGTCCGCCAACCCGCACTTGGTCAGCGTGGCGGACTATGGCCTGAACCCCCTCGTATTGAAGGGAGGCCCGTGCCCAGCAGTGGGACGTTAAAATGGGCTGAATACGACGATACGATGATATCTGTTGGTATTTGGGCTTGCTGGTATTTACACTACATCCAAAATGGAGTCCACAAACGTATAATTACATAGTATTATTGTATTATAGTCGTAGAAATAAAAGAAAATAAATTTTAGTAATATTTTTATTAATGGAATATATCTTAATAACAAATACATCAACTTTTACAACAAAGCTCGAGTTTTAAACTAAATAATAATATTTCATTCGATTTTAGAAGTTTGAGAGTTGCATTATGTTTTTGTTCACAATTCTAGGGAAATAGCGACTTGCCTTTAGGCCATAACTGCGTCCCGCGCTTCATTCAAAAATATGTATTTTAAAAAAATATGCCTTGAAAATCTATACATATAATAAAATTCTGGCTGAGTCGAATCTGTACATTAAATATTTTTCGAAAAATCTTATTGAAATAGTCATTATCTATACTAATATTATAAAGAGGTAAAGTTTGTGATGTTGTAGGGGGGTAATCTCTGGATCAACTGAACCGATTTATATGAAATTTGGTAAGAAAATAGTTTGAGACCATGGGAAGGACGAAGGATACTTTTTATCCCGGAATCATCCCTTAAAGGGGTGAAAATGGGGATGAAAGTTTGTTTGGAAAGCACGCTAGGAACTAACTAGCTAACTAGGTGAGTGACTAGTTATTAATACAGAGGCTGAATCTATAGTTTTTAGTATTTTTGTCTGACTGTCTTTCTGTCTAGGGCGTTGCTAGTTCCTATCACGAGAAAACCACTGGACAGATTTTGATGGTATGATGATAGCTGGTTATTCGGGTCAACATATAAGATACCTTTTACTGCGGGAAAATATCTCACCTCTGAGAAATTTATATTAAACGTTAAAACGTAATTAGAGACGAAACCGAGCAGAGCGAGGGTGAGTCGCTAGTATGTTACAAATTTTTTCCCCTACTTGTTTGTAAAGTAATAGTATAATTTCTTTTTCTTGAATCAGTCGTATAATTCAAAGATATTATTTGTTAATTAGTCAAGTATCGAAAAAAATGTAGATCTACACTAGATACATGTTTCCATACTTTCGAGACGATAAATACAAAATAAGAAAAAAATTAGCTTAAAAATTCAAGCAATGTAAATTTTAACGTTTACAGTAACACATACGGTATGATTTACATTACTCAACTTTCATAATTTATCGATTAGCGGGTTCAAATCCCGGGTCGCGCACCTCTGATGTTTTCATATGCGAATCATTTCCAACACGATTACTATTTGTCTTACGGTGAAAGAAAACATCATGAGGAAACATGCATGTCTGAGAGAACCTAGCAAGTTTTCGAAAGAAATGCTCAGTGCGCCCGCACTTGTCCAGCGTGGTGGACTATGGCCTGATCCTCCTCGTATTGAAGGGAGGCCCGTGTCCAGCAGTGGGACGTTAAAGACGACTGAGTACATATATATTAAGCTTTCCAAGGCGGTTTCTCGCTGGCCAGGGCGCGGCGCACTCGCTCCCGGCGCTCCGGCCGGTCGCTGGTGGGCTCTTCGTTCACTTCTTTAGGGTTCATCTCAGGCGACGTAGAGTCGAAGTGCGCTGGCTTTGCTAGTAACTGGAAAGTTTATTTAAATTAATAGTAAAAAACACTTTTTGACGAAACTTTTGATAACAAGTCTGGCTCAGTTTGCAGTGTGCCCTACCCTACCCTACTTGCTGTACCAGCGGTCGCGCGTTTGAGTCCCGCTAGGGGCATAAATTTGTGTGATGAGCATAAATGTTTGTACTCCAGTCATGAGTGTTTATATTTATAATATGTATGCATTTATAGTTATACAGATGTAGTGTATTAACTATCTGGCATTCATAACACACATAATGTCCCAACATATTTAAATTAAATCAAAACCATTAATTTATTACATTACACAATTTAAAGCTTGTCACGAGATTAACCTATTTTATAAAAAACATTACTTTTTAATATTTTGTTTCTCGTTTATTTGCAAAGGCATATCTATCTCCCGACGAGCTTTTATATTATGTAAACTAGCTGACCTGTGCCCACTCCGTTGGGCAGTAAACATTTTAACTTATGTCCTAATTATGAGTGTGGGTCGGTTAGTAATGAGTGCTAGAAGAAGAAGTGCTATGATTTATTTCCTGACTGCCACAAGGAGGGTTATATTTTTACTGCATATGTATGTATGTATTTGCATGCCAATTTGGCTATGTCACCGGGTTTTAATGAGTGAATGAAATGATTATAATTGAATAAATTAATTTTTCTAAAATTAATATTTTAATTTTTCAAAACTTCTCTGTAGGTATACTATATAAACAGACAGAGTTTGCCGAAAATCGCCCGCAATAACAAAAGTAACACCACCCATAACAGCATCAAGTTTCTGAGGTGATTGGGCGTTCGGTTTGCTCATGAGCTCTAGACTCATGGTACATTCTTCATTCATCAAATTAAAGATTTCTCTTGTAAAAATTTCCCGAGTGGTCCATTTTTACGTACGGAGCATACTTACTGTTGTTCCAATGATACTGTCAGTGGTAGCGTAAAGGTGGAGTGTGCTATTTTCCCATTATTTAATAGAGTTGCGGCAATCCCAGAAGAGGCAACAGCTAGCCCATTTTTCCCGCATTTTCTTACTTTTGCCAATAGCAATTTTGCGAGGAACGTCTTTCCTGTGGCTCCTGGGGCGTTTGAAAAAATATTTTACTCCTGTTATTTAGGACACTGTCAATAATTGCATCAAAAGCTTTTCTTTGGTCTCTAACTAATTTAGGTAAATTTTCATTAATAAAAACTGACAACTTATTGTTGTCGTACGAACGATACTGACAGTATTACATCCGAGGCATTGTTATGTGGCCGAATTAGAGAAGGTAAACCAAAATCACTAAAGGTTTTCTCATTTAGTTCTAAGAGTTTATTTTCTTTTTGTAATAAATATACCTTCATTGTAGATGTCATCATTATAGGGTAAAGTGAAGTCCTGATTTTGCTGTCGTATTTTATGTCTTATGTTGACACATAAATTGTCTTTGAAGTTTTCCCACAATTTGAGTGGTTCATATGGGTAACAAAATAATAATATCACCACAAACAACTCCTTCAGCTTCAAAGGATATTGAGAAATCGAAGCTTCTCTCAAAGTTTTCTTTTTTCCCATTGGTTATCGTTTTCTAACAAACTTCTCTCACGGCAAGCAGCTTGGTATGTTTCTTTGACAACTCCGTTCACAGTTTTTAAGTACCGGAATGAGGTGGGACCACGTAAGTGGTGAAGCAAAACTTCAAGATAGAAACACTCTGACTGAGAAGGATGGACAGTGTATACACTTCCCAAAGCAGGTTTTTATTTTATTCCGGGTTGCCCAGCGACATTTTCTCCGCGTTTCCTTCGGGAAAATTTGTTATTAGCCCAAGGGAACTTCGTGATAAAGTTATATTTTTTCAGAGCTGTTTTTTTGGTGGATTTTCCATTATTCTTTGCACATTTTCCGGTGAAAAGTATACCCTTTGGCCGTTTTATAAATTTACGGCTAACTGCAATACAGTAGGGTGTCTGCCATGTATAGGAAATTCCAACAATCTCCATACCGCTTCCGACGTACTTATGTACCGTCCGTTTAAATAAATTTCGACTTCATCTTGACCATTTCTTACACCAAATTTTGCCTGATCCGACCCTTTCTTTATATACTTACAAATGTATATTATAGCATGAACAGAATGACAGTATTCCACGTTTATGTGGGTGTTAAAAGTTCGACAGAGAATTGGAGAGTACGTGACGATCCATGTGTAGTCTATAGTAACAGTCCTTCCATGTAGCTCATAGTAGCTACCTGACCGCCGTAATCGACGTCTCGGAATCGATAAACAGGATCACCATATTCCCCGGTTTGGGTATCAGTGACAAAACGGCGTGGATATTCTTTTGAGCAAATACCATTTTCCATATACGGCGATGTTAGATTTTGTTCCCCACATGGAGGGTGTACCATGTTCTTAGTCACAATGTCAAACAAAGCTGGATCTTTATCGGGTAGCTCAGCAACTATAATCTTGTCAATTTTATCAGGTTGTATTTTATTTTCAACAAAACAACATGCGATAGTGTGGTAAACCCTATTTTTGCCACTCAACACTGGCCATATGACATTTGACTTTTCCGAAAATTTCTTCTTTTGTAAATAGTTTAATAAGTTTCTTTATTTTTAAATGAAAGACCCTTGCTATAATGTCATGTCGGTCAAAAGATCGTTGTGCAGAAAAAAGTTCTTGATTTATTTCTTCCCACTCGGGGTTGCAAGTGAAGGTAACAAATAAATTAGGCCTTCCGTAATTTCGCACGCATGTCATAGCGTGTTGCGTTTTTTCATGCATGTATCGCGGCGAGCCCGTAAAAGATGAGGGCAAGATTACGTGATGACGAGTATTTGCAGCATTTAGATTAGCATCCCTATTTAAAGCATCTCTTAAATGTATATAATCTTCAGCTCTTAACTGCTGTTGGATGTAAAACTTAATCTTTCCGATATCATTTTAGAAATCATGGCAAAGCAGTATTGACTGAATAAATCTCGGTAATGATGTAAAGTATTGATACATATATTATTATTATAATATATTATATATATTAGATTGCATACAGGAAACTTGTTTTGTGCTGAACCTTGTTGCTGTTTAGTCATATAATAGCCATATTCTCCTTTCACAAACATCAAAGGATACTGTAGGGGATCGTAAGCGCGATGAAATTCGGACACTCTTTTTAGCTGTCCAACTTTATAATTCAGTATTATATCTCTCGATCCTTTGTCTTCATCTACTAACAGAATGGCAACTTTGTTTGTTGAAGGGCAGTTATTTCTTTATGTTGAACCTTAACAATATCTTCCTCGATGTTGATTTTGTGGTGTGCTATTGGCGTGAATTATTAATTTTAAGTTGTCCAAGAAAGAGTTGCTTTCTAAATTGTATTTGAAACTGCGTATGTATACGTTATGGCTATTTAATACGGTCTGTAACTCATTGATCAAATCGGTTTTTAAAGTGGGGCCGATGTTTGATCGCAATGAAAGTTGGTCCGCATTAGAAATGAAATATATCTGTAAAAAATTCGGGCTTTAACCTGTTTTAGGAAAAAGACTACAAATTAAATGATAAATCTGACCTTCTATCTTAAAAGTAGGCATAAAGTTTCCTTCGCGAATTTCTTTGGCACCGAACGACGTCACTTGAGATAGTGTATAATATTTACGTATATTGTTTAAAAAATGCGTAGAATACGGATGATCACTTGTCAAGAGACTTTTTACAGGTTGTGGTGGCTCTTCAATATCAGGGATAATCACATTACCTGCAGCACAAAACATACCATTTGGTTCATCGCTCTATTTTTTTGCAAAACAGGATAGGACAGGTTTTAATGATTGCTCCAATTGTTACTGCGCTCTGTTTAGCATAATCGATGTTGGGATCATATTTGAAAGCTGATCTATTACTGTGAGGTGCACATCGATTGCATATTCTAGATGTTCGTTGTCTCTGTGCCGCAGCAGTAAGCCTCTGCGAACTTTCCGTGCTAGATTTCCCTATCACGTATTTCTGACATATTTTGCCTATGGTTAGCCAGTCGTTGAGACCTTTCGGTGACAGACTCTCTAGCAACCGCTTGCGATCTGTATTATCTTTTACTCGCAATGCGCTGTGCATGCTCAGATGAAGTCTCTCCCATACGACGTTCTATAGCCGCTGTTGTCTGGGATGTATGTCTATATATAGGTGTGATTTTTTTAGGCATACTGACATTTTTTAGACCAATCCGATTGTTTTGAACAATCAAACAGTAGTTCAAATAGAAAATTTGATGGAAATAGTTATGTAGAAAAGTAGTTATACGAAAAAGTAAGGTGGAAGTAGTTCATACGAACGTTTTATAGAAAAAAATTTATACCGGAAGTAGTTCGGGAAAAAAATTAAAAAAAATAATGAAGCAAAATAAATAAATAGAACTTTAATGGAAACAATAACACAGAAAGTAGTTCTGAAAAGAACTGTTTAAGGAAACAATAAAATAGAACGAAGTTCTGAAAAGAACTTATTATGAAAACTATAAAGAAAAAAGTAGTCCTGATAAGAACTTTTTATTAAAACAAAGTCGAAAGTGTGCGTATTACGTTTCGAAAATTTCAATAACATCAACGTCCACTGCGTAAGGAGGCCACCTCGGAGACGTAACAGGCCGCGCCCCTCCCCCCACAGCGACCGACGCCATCGCGCGCGCCGCGTTGGCCGAACATTCATAAAATTTTCTCGCGTATTTGATATTTTAAATTATGTCTTAAGCTATGCAACCAAAAACCATACTGTAAAAAACGAATTTTATCTAAATAAAATTTCCTTGGTGATACAGCAATTTATTTCTACATAGATTGACGTGTTGTATATGAAAAAAAAACCATCTTATAGAAATATCACTCAATAGATTACGACACGGTCGCGGTTGCAAACCTACGTGTATGTCGTATTATCTCTTTAATCATTTGTCCAAATTATATGCAGTAAAGAGAAAAGTCTTTTGTTTTAAACATTTTAGACGATAAATTTACTTATTTTGATAAGAATTCATAATTATTGATAATATGACCAATAAACATGACCCACCGATTTAAATTATTTTTTTAATATAAAAAACTACTTTTTGTGACTTAAATATAAAAGTTAGACATATGCTGTCGCTGACTTTTTTGTAGACATTATTAAGCTCTACAACTTTTCTCTAGAACATAATCATATACCTCTCATCGTCAAGGCAGCGTTTTCGTTCGAATGTTTTTTCTCCGACTTACTTTGCAAATCCGACTACCAGGAAAAAGTCTTTTCATTCTTCGGGTTGATATATAGCCTATGACACTCAGAAATAACTTGGCTTTCTATTGGTAAAAGAATTTTCAAAATCGGTTAAATAGATCTAGAGATTACCCCCTACAACGTCACAAACTCACAAACTTTTGTCTCTTTATAATATTAGTATAGATTGTTTAATGTACTAAATTGTTGCATATAATTTAAAGTTTGTTTTTCTTTTTAAAGCATTTAAATAAAACTTGTTTTTGAATATTTTTTTTATATTAATTTTCTTACCGTTTTAATATATTGTTGTAGCTCGTGGTCATTTAGTTGGTCGAACTGCAGTTCCTTAGAGCGTAGGGCCTCTGTGGGCAGCGATAATGGAGGCGGCTTCGAGTACTCTGGTAGGGAAACCACTGGAAATATAATATCTATACATATAATAAAATTCTAATTGACTCGAATCTGTACATTAAATATATTTTGGAAAATCCTATTGAAATAGCCGTTATTGTCGATACAGAAGCCGAATCTATAGTTTTTAGAATTTTTGTATGTCTGTCTGTCTGGGAACGCATCACAAGAGAACCGCTGGACAGATTTTGATGAAATTTGGTATGATCATAGCTAGAATACATTAAATATAATTTTTTTTGTTGTCAATATAAACTATAAATCGACTTGCAAAAGATTTTTCTAGAAAGATAATAAATCAATACATATAACAAAAATGTTTGTTCGACGTGTCTGTACATTGCTTATATTTGTAAAAAAAAAAATATTCCGTCGACTGAGAATAAGTAATAAAAGCACATTTCTATTGTTTTTAGAATTTTTGTCTGTATGTTTGTCGGTTTGTCTGTATGTTTGAAATCACATCAAATGAAAACTACTGAATTGAATTGAAGGGATTAGAATTACATTCATAGTATGTAATCTCGAGGTAATATTTAGCCCATATTTCATTAAAATAAAACAATTATATCAAAAGCTATAATACAAGTTAGAGGGAATTTTACTAATAACTTATTACCTAAAATTATATAATAAAAATATAATTTGGTCAAGTGTGTGTTGGCGAACTTCACCAGTCTTTCGAAAACTTGCTAAGCTCTCTCAAACATGCAGGTTTCCTCACGATGTTCCTTACCGTAAGATAAATGGTAATCACGTTAAAAACGGTTCGCACATGAAAAGAGCTTTTTTCTTTCCCAAGCGAGCGTGTCACAACTGGGCTACCACTGCCTTTAATCAATATATTAAGAGGCATAAATAGAAACTCACCGGACTCTACCAGCGAGGTTTCCAGAACGCGCCCACCAGTAGCACCAGTTGCACAGCTACCAGTGGCACCAGTAGCGCCAGCACCCCCGCTGATGCCACTGGTGAGTATACGTAGCGCCTGCCGCCACTGGGCTTCCATCACTCCATGTAATTGCGACGCTATTTCGCCTCGACGGCGTCTGTACGACTCTAGTTTACTCTGTAACAATATATATCTATGTCTTTATATTGTATAAAACTATGGAGGTAATACCTCTACCCTCCATATTTAAAAAAAAATAAAGAGTGCGTGTATGAACACGGCACAATTATACACGGGCAAGAAGTAAAACTTCTGTAGGTTATCGATACTCTTTATGAAATTCAATTTATGTTTTAAATAATTAAGATAGGTGAGATACTAAAAATAACGCATATTAGGCATATTACAATCATATACCTATAGAATATCATTTAAAGAAAGAATATAATAAGTATATAATATTATATATTATTTGTCGGACAATAACAACGGTCACCATGGCAACAAACGTTCGCCTCACTCGATTTAGCTTAAACCCCAAGTCAAGCTTGCGTAAAGAAGTGGTACTTTAATAAAGTCTATCCGTATCTGTCTGTTTCACCGCTTACTTCTTCTAAGCCACGCAATGGATCAATAGATTTTGATACGGTTTTCACCAATAGAAAGAGCGATATTTGGTAACTAGCATTTGATTTCTTAAAATGTAAATAAAAAAAAAACTAAAGAGCACTCACCTCTAACAGCCCTATCTTCTCGCTGGCTTGCGCTAATTGTAGTCTGTACAGTTTTATTTCTTCCTTTTGCTTTTCCTCCAACACATTCACTTCTAACTTGTGTCTATAAAAATAAATTAAATTTTCACTATTAAGTGTTTACTATTCGCTGGTCTATACATAAAATAAAATAGTAGGAAAATGAAATCTTTATATGAGATATTATATAAAACAATAACTGTTACATGTTGTGTACAGAATATAAAACCCAAAACAGTAATTAAATAAATAAATAGTTTATGTTGAGTACGGCACTGTCGTAACTTTCAAATATGCTGAAGGTCGAAGGCTTTACAATTATTAATTGAAGTGTTCCACGATTCACCTCCTCTGGCTCCATCATCGGATACCCTCGACGGCGTCAAACAATCGTGCTATCCCGATTTTATATCTATACGAGAATTTTATAAAATACTAGCATTGCCCGCGGCTCCGCCCGCTTTCAGATGACCAAAAACCAAATTCTTAGGTTTTACATATTAGTATACTCTTACATGGCAGTTTTTGTATTTTTTTCTAGAAATGAGACATTTTCTCGCGGTAAAAAAAAAGTATTTTATATGTTGACCCGGATAACCAGCTATCGTTATACTAAATTTCATCAAAATCCCTCCAGTGGTTTTTCCGTGATGCGGTCACAGACAGACAGACAGACAAAAATTCTAAAAACTGTAGATTAGGCCTCTGTATCGATAATAAGGTCTATTTCAATAAGGTTTTCCAAAAATATATTTAATATACAGATTCGGCTTAGTTACAATTTTATTATACATACATATGTATAGATTAAGAAAATTTTAACTCACTGTTCCTCAATTCTCACGATTTGCTTATTAAATGTATCCACTATATGCAACTCTTTGTTTCTGGACGCCATCTCCATATCTCTCTCCGCAAGTTCCAACTGCTTCTGAAACTCCTGCAACTTGCCTAGAACTGCATCCTCTAGTTGCTGCTGGTAATGATTCTTGAGTTCCACCTTCTGCAGCTCCAGGTGCTTTTTGAGGATTTTTGTTTCGTTCTCGAAAGTGTCCTAGAAGAAATGTTTTAGGATACAAGTGATATACGAAATATTCCTACATAAAGAGAGCAGAAGTGTATAAAAAAAGATTAGAAGTGAGTGAGTAAACGCAAGGACCAGTTCTAAATATTTTTGCGATTTTTGAAACAGTTATACAAAAAGATTATATTATAAAAATGAAAAAATCGACTGTTACTTTTAAGCATATAAGTTGTACCTATATATTTTTGTGATCGCCTCTTAAAACCCTTTATTTTGATACCCCCACTCGATAGGTTTAGTAGAATTTTTATCTTTAAGACACAAATTGGCGCCTGAAATCCGCCATTTCAGTTTTTTACTATTTTTAAATAATACTCGCGTTATCAAGACGAACCTAACGAGGTATAAATCATCAAAATCGGTCCACGCGTTTGGTCTCTAGAACGCCACATACACAACAAACAAACATACAAACAAACAGACTGATAAACACATTACCCTCCTTTGCAACTTTTTGTTGAACAGATAATAAATACTAAAATAAAATTATAACTACATTTTATTTCCATTTGTCAAGTACTCCAATAAAAATAAAAAATCATAATTTATTACAATTAGGAACTAAATAATAATAAAAAAATGATGATATGTAGGTGCCATTTATGACAGTAACTCAAATAACGGTTTTCGTGGGCTGGATCCATTTCGTTTAACTACATCCAATTATATTATAAGTAAATTGTATAAAATATTCTGGGATAAGATGAGTATTTTGATTCCCGTGTACGAGGTCAGGATGGCCGAGCGGTCTAAGGCGCTGCGTTCAGGTCGCAGTCCACTTCTGTGGGCGTGGGTTCGAATCCCACTTCTGACAAGCTTTTTTTAAATTTACAATTATTAAGCTAGTTTTTGTTCGCGGCGATGTTTAAAAGGTAAATAAAGTTATAAATAAACCTATATATTAATGAAAAATATAGCTCTATACTTTTCTTTCCTATTCGTAAAGAAAAAAATACGAGCAAATGCGAATCTGGCTAACACATCGAGGGCTCCGTAGCATGAAACAATATAATAAATTGTAACAAATTCTTCATGATTCTATGTCAACGGGAAGTATCGTATAGATTTTGATTCCTTTTGAAGTATAAGAATATACGGCTTAAACAGTCGTGTTTTTGCGTTGACTTAGAAGTTTGATATTTTCTCAGCTCCGAGTGATTGTAGACCTGAGTTTTTGAAATTGATTTCAACTTGATACCTCCACACATTTTTGAGAAAAGGGGTTTAACAGACAGATGGACAACAAAGTGATCCTATAAGTACAGAACTCTAAAAAATCACAGACATACAAACCATCCAATTTTTAAAGTTACTAGATACATGTCAACATGACATACATTTAATTTAACTGCGTACATCGATTAAAAAAGTACTAGATACACAATCAGCGACAAAAGGTGTCCTCACCGAATGAGCGCTCATTTAATCATTTGAGCGCGCTTTAATATTTTTTTTTTTTGTGAAAACAACTTTAAGCATTGTATTTAAGGTTCAATGTACATTGTTATATATTTATTTCAATTAGAATAATTACCTAAACACAATTGGTGACAGTTTTAAGAGAACTTTTGCATGGCATTGTGTATCTAGTACTTTTTTGATCGATGAATGCATAATATAAAAAAAGTATGCAAATTTTTACTTACACATTTCTTCAATAACTCGCTAACTTGGTTCTGCGAATCACACAACTGATGTTCTAGTATATTACTTCTAGAACGTTCTTCATTCACTTTGTTCTTCAATATATCGCATTCTTGTTGTATTAATGACTTCTCTTCATTCACTGACTGTAATTTATTGTTTAGATCATTTGCTTTACATTTTGCTTGTTCGTGGTCTGAACGTTCCTGTAAGTAATTTTTTTATATATACATATAATTTTTTTTTTATATATACATATAAACTTCCAAAAAGGAGGAGATTCTGTAGAAGTGTAGATTTCAAAAATATACTAACCTTTTCTAATGCATCTTCCAAATTCTTAACACAATCCGTAGATTGTTTGTTTAATCTCATCACGGTTTCATAGTTTTCTTTTAACACCTCGATTTCTTTCTCCTTCAATTTTATAGCTTCATCTCTGTTTATTACAATTTTGTCTAAATTTTCTTGGAGTTCTTTCTTTTCATTTGTTAATTGCTTGCATTTTTCTTGATAGTCATGAGCGAGATCCAATGCCTTGTATAGTTCTGTTTCAAAATGACTAGTTTTCTGTAAAGTTTTTTTTTTTGTGTCAAATGTCAATATGTTTGTAACTGGTGATATAGTCATTTAAAAAATCATTAGTTTAAATAAAATATTAGCGAAACACAAAAGATAAAAGTAAAATAAAATTACTTGTTCAAAAATTTAAAAAAAGAAAAAAAATTTTTTTATGAGCATTAACACACAATTATTTCTTAGATTTACGCGAAAATTTGACATTTTAAATAAAACTATCTTTTTGGATATTTTGGCGGATTTATTTTCGACTCTTGTTTAGAGACTCCCGTGACCATGACTGCTGTGATGCATTCGAAACGTTGGGAACCAAAAATCAAAATAAATCCGCGAAGTAATCCGAAAAGATAGTTTTATTTAAAACATTAACATAGCTAAATAGGTCCGGCCATTGTCATTTTCTTTAATATATCTATAACGTGAGTAGGGCTGCAGGCTAAACTAATATTACAAAAAAAATATACCTTTTGAGCATCACCGGCAACCATTTTAAAGTTATCTACTTCACGACACATCTTATCCAGAGCTGTTCTATGTCTCTCTTCTGCTTTATCTAAGCTACCAGTAAGCCTTAACCATGCTTCCTTTAGTTTGTTAATCGCTGCGTCTTTAGCTCTGTCAACTTTAATAGCAACTGCCAACTTCTCTTGTTGTTCTAGAAGCTTCCTTTGTAGTTGTTGGATCATAGCCTCACAATGCTGTAATTTTTTATAAATAATGTTAAAAATAATTAACAAACATAATTTTCCTTACAACTATAAAAGAAAGTACTCAGTGACCATCTGTTTGTATGTATCCAGACACTACTATCAAAAACTACAGAAGAAATTTGGATGTAGTTCTCATAGTAATGATCTGCATTTTTGTAGGTGTGTGTTTCAAGATGTGGTGAATTTTAAATTACCCAAGTATTTATACACGCTGAGTATTACCAGTATTTGTGAATAAAATTGGCAGAAAAAGCATTGTTTTATCTATGTGCATTACGTAAATTATTTTATATAAATGACAACAATATATGGTACTTCACTAGTCCTTTTTAATAATCTTTTCCTTAGTAGATAGTGAAGACTGAAAACAAATTAAAACATGTATGTAAACTAATAATTAAATTTTTCGACTAAGACTTTTTTTTAATTCATAATCAATACATTGTCAAATTTATCATAGCCTAAATAAAATCTAGATTTAAGTAAATAAACACTAAACAAAATGTACGAAAATTACCTCTCTCTTTAATCTCTCTTCCTCCAATTTAATGCTATCTACTTTTTCTCCCCTGTCTGGTTTCTCACTCCAAAGTTCACTTAAACTTAATAAATCTGTATCTATAGAATCAATTTTATAAGCATCTCGGTCAAAGCCAAAAGGCCTTACTTGAGGCATTTTAAATTCTTCTTTCTTTAACGACATTATATCACTAGCATCAGTTATAGAGCTTTGAGTATTACGACTGTAATTTTGAGATTTGTAATGCTCTAAAACTTTTGATGCTCGATCCAAAATTTTATTTGAGGATGGTTTAAATGTATCTGAATAATTGGCCATTGGCTGATTATTTCGTTTTGGAGTTGATGTTGGCTGGACTTCTTTAGTTTCTGAGAAGTTAAGTTTTCTTATGTTTGGAGATTTTATATCTTGCTTAATATGTTGAGTTTGAGTATTATAACTTGTATCATTGTCAGGTCGTAAGTTTGTAGTAGATGTACTAGCTTGTGGAGATTGATTTGCACTATTCCTTACTAAATAGATATACTTATCTAGAACACTAGATGGCACTGTTCTCCCACTTGGTAACTGTATTTCACCTGAACTCTTCGGGTCCAATTTTTGAGATATATAATCGCCTGTTGCCTGGATAACATATTCTGGATTTATATCACTTTGCTCTTTTAGATTTAAATCAGGAGTTTCGTATGATTCTACTTTAGTTAAAAACTCATCTATTTCGTGTAGAAGAAGTTTGTCATTCTTCTTACTTGGAGTGGATACAATGCTGCTAATATCTCCATCCATGCTTTGTAAATCATTTAGTGGAAGTTCAATAGATTTTGTATTCAGTTGTTCAAATTTATTTATATTGAAACTTTTCTCTCGTGTATAAATGGAATCCAGGCTGGTCAAAGAGTTATCTCTACGTTTTTCTCTTCTGGTCTTACGGCGTCGTCTACGAGGAAATGTAAAGCTTTTGCGATCGTTACTACGGCTATTGACACTTTCTGAATCCCAACCCTTAACTTTAGAAGAACCAACCGTTGAGAAAGCGTTACTAGTATCAATTTCTAAGGTTTCCAAACGAGATTCCAATGAATGCACTTGATCAACTAGTTTTCCAAGAACTTGTGCAGTACAAGAAACCGGTTTTTGTACAACCGTTCTAGAAGACTCCAGGAAGGTATCCTCAGAGCTAGAACTTTCCACAAGAAAGAAGTTCGGAGGTATCAGCAAAAGAATATCGGTATCGTCGGTCTCACTCATCACAGGAACTGACCATTTTATCACAGCATGAAACAAAAGCCATCATATTTCTGTATCTATAATTACATGTTAATCATAATGTGATACTAATAACTGATTTACTTTGAAAATAAATAAAATATCACTTTTCATTTAACCACACGTAACAACCGTTTTAAATCGCGTTTGTTTGTGACACAAGTTTTGAATGTTGTCAATTTGACTTTGACATATTATGCCAATTAGCATCCCATTTAGACTTTGGCACTAAAAGTGATTTCATTGCCATATAGGCAGTACTATTCATTTTTCTATTTAATGAGGGAGATTTTGTGAAAGGGGAGCGCTACACGTATTATCTATTTACCTTATGAAATTCATCCTTTAATTAAGTGGGTAAAATAGGGAATTAAAGATTGTATGAAACTCTAACCAGTGTGAAATATACAGAAAGTTATGTTTAGCTTTAGGATAAAAAATAATATATATATTTATTTAATTTTTTTGAAATTCATCCCATATAGGGGTAATAAAGTTTATATGGGCAAAGAATTATTTATGATAAGAATTGCTTGAAACTTTATTAAAACCGTTAATACACAATTAAAATATACAAACATGTTTTAGCATTTTTCGAAATTCAATCCCGTAGGGGGGTTTGTATGAAACTATAATTAATATGTAAAAAAGTACAAAACTTAGGAGTTTTAAAATCACTTTCTGCAAAATGATGCCCACATAGCTTTAAATATAAAAATTGTGATTTCGCCAATTTTGGTCGTTTTATTGCTTTAGGCCAGAATTTCATCGGTTTTTGTCTTTTGCGAACAAATGATATCCCTTTTCTTAACATCTTGGCACTGCACAATTTGTCATTTTATTCAATTTTTAAATAAAATGAAAAAAAGTTCAACCATGCTATCAAGCTTTACAATCCCTGTTTTCCAATTACAGAGCATAATGCCGTACTTTGGCGCATTATGCCAAAGTGTATAAAATTAGTTTTCAAGTGTACTAGCAGAGAGCACTAGGTTCAGTGTTGAAAGAAAAAACTAATATGTATATAATATATAATAATAACTTATGTATAATACTTATATATAAAACTTATATATAATTACATAGATAAAATATTAACAAATATTACTAACGATAATTTTAAATAAAATTTTGATCAATGCCACCTTGAAGAAAAACACCTCTCATATTTTCTGCTACTGACTTGGTATCCTTGCGCGCATCACGCCAAAGCATTAATTTTCAAAATGCTCGATTGAGCGGAGCGTTGCTGTAGTTGATAGATACGAAGTTAGTATTATGCCGCATAATGCGCTTTAGTGATCTAATTAGAAAACGGGGAATATTCTGAAGATCATAGTAATCGCGACATCTGGCGGGAGCAAAAGGCAAAATTCTCCCTCATACAACAAAATAGAAATTACTATTTGAACTAATAAAAATAGATACCCATTTAAAATTGCATGACAATTTTATTTAATGAAGGTAATTCGAGAAATTTTTACAAACAAGAAAAACCGTTGCATAATCTTAGTTCTATTTTGTGTTCTAAATGTTGAAAAACTCCAATAGAATCCCATCAAAAGCGAAAGCGAAAAGAAACCAATAAACATATTGTTTTCTATGTGGCTTTTGTCGCTTTTGATGAGATCCTATTGGAGTTTTTAAATAGGGAAGAAAATCGGAAAAAGGGGCAGGAAAAATAATGAATTAAAAAAAAACTTATATTAACATCTTGCATTAATTATTACTTGAAATTATTTTTGTAAATAAAAAAATAAAATTATTATTAACAATAGAGTTATATTTTCTTAAAGGGAGAAACTAAGCTCTAAATACAGTTTTAAAATAAATCAATAACATCTATTTTATCATTTTGACCCATGATGACTATAATTAATTTATTTACCTATACAAGTTTTACATAGCCTATTTAGTATATGCTTTAAATAGTTTATAATACACATTTGAATAGATTTTATGATTTTGATGAAATATTATCAAGAATAGATTATCAAGAAGCCCTTACAGTATACAATGGCGCTTGTTTAATAAAGGTATCTAGTTTATTTTTAAATAATTCACTAGTAATGGGCTCCCCGATCCCACACATAGGGTTTCTTACAACATACTTCACATAAATCTCTCCATAAATTTTCTTCAATAATTCCCGTACACCTTGAGCTTGATTATCGGTATTCATAACAAATTTAATTCCAGATGGTGTTTCTAAGCAATGAAGAGTGTATTTTGATGTTTTATAATTTAAGAAACCATCTTTCGGGTCCAGAGGTGAAATCTTTGCAACAAATGATTTTATGGAAAATAACATTCCATACATAAGTTTGCCTTCCTGTGAACATTAATGTTTTTTTTATTATTTAATTAAAAAAAAAACTACAAATTATATCATAAATTTCGATATGTGTGATTATTTGTAAGTTATATATGATGTAATAGCTTAACAAATTTGGCAGAAATACAGAATAGAAATAGTGTATATCCTGGATTAACATGAATATAAGCACATTTTATACGAAAATATAGTCGTAAATAATATTTTAGTAATGAATTATAATGTAAACTTAAAATATATGATGTCAATTTTTGGAATGTTCTGTGTCTCATCATTGACTTTAATGTTATTAAATATATACCTATTTTATAACTAATTATAGTAAATATAACAACAGCTTTTGCGATGTAACAAGTTAATTTAAGGTAAAAAAATATTTTTTGTTATTAGTTGAGATATTATTTTTACTGCTAATATTACCTCCTCCCTGGACATTCCTGCTTGTTTTGTTCTGTTCCACTCTCCATAATAAAGTAAAGTCCCATATCGATCGAAAATATATAAATTATGAATTGTCATTATGAAAAATCAATGCAATTCTTAATTATTCTGAGTAATAAAATATTTATACAACTCACAACAGTTGGTAACAACAACAACACAGAAATCTTTATTTGTCAATTGTCATCCATGACAGGAAAGTCGGATTTCTTCCCATTTGACAGCTAAGGACATTTAATAAAACGTTTAAAAGTGAAATATTGAATTATATAATTATTAACCTTTCAATATTATATATAATGATTACATTGATTTAGTTCATTATTCGATTCTTATAAGAACATATGTTCAACAATTAAAATATTATTTAATCCGACTATAGTCTATTGTCATGTCTGTATATCTTTAAATTGTTAATATAACTTTAATCTGTCATTTGTATTTTGTCTTTGTGACCCTTGTCCTCGAACTCGATTAAAACGATGATGTTAAAGTAATATTTATGTATTAAAACATAGAAAAGACCGAAATAAATAAGCCTTAGTTAAAAATAACTTTAATACAATAGTGTATGTTCTGGTAAGTAATTTTGTCAACTAGAAAATTACAATCGTATGATTTTGAGGTTATGTTCTTACCTAACTTATATTCACAGAAATATTAAATCGATAAAATATGGACGAATACTCAAGAGAACCATGCCCTTGGCGTATATTGGATGATTCTGGTGGTGCGTTTTTAATGGGTGCCATTGGTGGCGGTATCTTTCATTCAATCAAAGGTTTTCGAAATGCACCAGTGGGATTCAGTAGGAAAATGGTATTTTTCTTTTATTATAAACATTTTTATAACAATATATTTTTATGACAATATAAGAAAATTATCTGTAAATGTATAAATATATATATTATTAGTATTATTATTATTGTTCACATTTGCTTATAATATGACTAAAAATGCTTATGGGATTTTTTTGCGATTGAATTAATTAATATTTATTTCTAGCTCGGCAGTTTAGCAGCTGTAAAAGAAAGGTCACCAATAGTTGGAGGTAATTTTGCTGTGTGGGGAGGCATGTTCTCCACTATTGATTGTTCATTAGTATATTTAAGACAAAAAGAAGATCCATGGAACTCGATCACAAGTGGAGCACTTACTGCAGGCATTCTTGCTGCAAGAAATGGTAACTTTTTTTTAATATTATTGGTCTTTTATTTAATCATTAGTATTATTTGAATTTTAAAGAGAAATTAAAAATATTTTAATGAGAAATTATCTTTTGTATATGAATTAAATGATGAAACCTAATATTTATTTTTAAACCAAATTTCTGTTTAAAAACTAAACAATAATGAAGGAGCGACTAATATGTATTAATTTTTATTTTCAGGTGTCAGAGCCATGGCTGGCAGTGCATTAGTCGGAGGCATTCTCTTAGCCCTAATAGAGGGTGTGGGTATAATGTTTACGAGATTATCATCAGAGCAGTTCAAACCTCAACAACCTATATTTGAAGACCCGTCAATTTTAGGGCAAAGTCAGGGTCAAGGGCAAAGTTTTCAGTAGAATTTATTAGTAAAACAAAATTGTGCAGTTAATATTAAAGATACTAATACAAGATCTTAGTGTAATTTTAGTAATGAAAAATTTTCTAGATATCAATCTTTTTTTTTTGTCATTGTTTTGTAAAATAAATTATTGGGCATCAACTTTAAGCCTAATATTTTATATATTGATTATTATTTTAATAAATGGCATTTGTCGGATGACAAATTTACCTATACTTTTGTATTTCTATTTTTATTTCACAAAATTATAATAAAATTTAAAGTAGGTATGTCAGAAAAGCTATAATGATGGGTTTTAAAATCGTTATATTTTATTCCTACTAGCTAAAGTAGATTGAACAATTTCATTTTAACTGTGCAATTTTGTTGTAATTGTGCCAATTGGCAAAACATATACAAACAAATCTCCCCCACCCTGGTTTGTGAGTGAATTATTTGCATCTGTGATATTTTCAGTTCCATACTGATTGCTTATAATTGCACTTGACAATGTTAAACAAATTGTTTTCAATATTATTGAAATAAAATTGTCTATATTTTTTTGAGGTCATAATTTATTTTAGCAGTTTTTCACATACAACATTGTTTATTTGTTCCCCATATTGTTGTTTTGTGAATTTTAGTTTGAAGTTGGTAAGTATTTATTATCATTTAGAAGATTTATTGACTCATTCTTCTATTTGGTAACTTAGCAATTTTTTCAACTTGTTGATAATTTTATTTAAGCTAAAATAAATTATGATATTCAATATGTAAAAATAGATAACAATAAATATTTGTAAAATGTGGTTTAATCTTTCATTTTAAAATTAATATTATTACACCTTAGTATTTACTTACACTTAAGTATTATTTATAGTACGGAAAATACATTATAATATGATTCGAAAAACTTGACAAAGTCAGTTACTAAGATTTACAGATTTTTTTCTCTCTTTATTTAAGGAGCTTTATCACTCAGTAATTATGTCACCCCTGTAATAAAAGTTACATATTTTATTAACACATTCTTAATTACAATTCACACTATAAACCTATTCATGACGTTGTATGGCAAATAGCAATGTACAAAGCATCCTTACTTGTTCCGATAAGGGACAAGCCAATATAAAGTTGCACGTTGCACAGACCTACCCCATAATTTTTAATAAGAATATGTTGATGTTCATCCGAGTTCCGTTCACGTTCCATCAAAACATGTTAAATATCATCCATGTTCCACATATTTCATAATTTAAACAGTTATTATAAAATGGGAATGAACTGCCAAATATAAATTGCCTTCAATGAAATAAGTGAGTTAGGTACCTTTAGTAATTTTGAGAAACTACACTATACAGTTATTATTAATAGTAGATATAATATAAAGAAAATAATGTTAAAACTGTGGATTAGGGGGTTTATTTTCAATGGCATTCTCCCCCATTTTTCTGATGTCTTTAATTATAAGAGCCAATGCTTCAGGTTCCACTCCTAATTCACAAAGTCGTATACATATTGTTAAAGTTTCTGCGTCTAGCCCCGTATTGAGAAGCTGGGAAATTTGGTACAACAACTGAAACGTTTCGCGCGCTTGTCCAATTTGTGCATTTTTCTCAGAAGTCATACCGATCACTGTAATTGAAAATGACAGTATTTTAATTTTAAACAACAAAAAAAATACTTTTATTAAAAAAGAGATGAATGATGATATACCTATTAACTCTTAATTTTGGCTAGATAGGTCTCTACTACAAAATTAAATTTATATAAATAATATCCCAATTGTTAATTTCAAACATGGATGAAAAATAAAAATTTCAAAATCTTCGCGATTTTATTCGGTAATTGTCAATGTCATATTAATATTTATTTTGTCTAAAATATAGATTATCAACCTAGGACGATGTATCACAATTCTCAATATACGGAGCGATGGGGCGTTGTAGTGATGTGCCAACTCGGAAAAAATATGACTCGATTTAACTCGAATTAAATTCACATAATTCGAGTTGAAATTCACGTAACTCGAGTTATCTGGATGAAAAATGAAGTGAATGATTTGTTTTGTTTCTACCAATTTAATGACTCGGCTTCGCAACAATATTAAAAAAATGGTAGAGATTCGTAATAAATATTTATTGGGACAATTATAATTATTTATATGTTTTTATAATTATTTATTTTATTACTAGCAGAACCCGCGGCTTCGCTCACGCTAAAACCACAAAAAAACACACTAAAAAGGTAGGTTTCATATAAACTTTCATCCTCTATTTTACCCCCTTACGGGATAAATTTTGGAGAATGCTAAAACATATATTTATTTATTTGTATTGAAGAGCGTTAATACAAAGTTTGAAGTAATTCTGATAATAAATATATTTTTTTGGGTTGTATTATAACGTGCTTTCGAGAGATAAGAGTCTTGAGAGATTTGCGAGATAATCTTCCGCGGTTATAAGTAGCCCATCACTCTCCAGCCCCCCCTACTATCTTTACCCAAAAAATTACCCCAATCCGTCATTCCGTTTCGACGTGAAAGAAGGACATGCAAACGAACACACTTTCACATTTATAATATTATTATGGATATTCTAACGCTGTCATTCGGTTGATACGCTATGGTGGGAGTACGGACGACAGTAATTTAAGTTAAACAGTGTGGCATCTTATTCGGTTGTAATAGAAGCGATTTTGCAACAAAAATGCATAGTCTGAAGTGCTGACGACTGTACGAAGCGTGCACACAACGAACGAATCGCCGCGCTTGCATAAGAATGAGAGCGCGTCAATCGCGCTTGATTCGTTGATTCACCACGCCAATCCAAATTCGAGTCAGAGAGAATTCAACTCGAGTTAAGCCCAACTCGAGTTAACTCGAGTTATGAAATCGAGTTGACACATCTTTGGAGCATTGCCACTCCGACGTTCACTCTGTCAATATACTATCTATCTTCTCTTTCTATTACACAGATCTTCATATAGAGTAAACGAGAAAGCTATGGTAAGATTGGCAACGCCTCGCTACGGGTCCTTTTTGACCGACTTGTAGGTCACAACATTGAGACGCATCATATTTAAAAGTTAAATTAAATGGAAATATCGCGGTAAAGACTGAATAACGTGTAACATAGTGAAATTATGTCGTGTTGTGCTGTGTTTTGTCCATCAAGAACAACTAAAGGAGGAGTAAAAGATCCAGAATTATCATTTCACACGTAAGTCTTTCTGGGCATTTATTATCTAAAATAATCATTTTAAAGCAAAATTTTCATTTCGCTTATGGAATATACATTTTTGTCGTCATATAACTTCCACGTGGTTATAAATAATTATGGTTTTAAAGCTTTAATTTAAGTATATTGAAAGCATTGTTTTACGCCTCGTGGCTTGTGTTGTGCAAAACTTTGTCGATAAATAATAATATGGTCGATATCCTTGCGTAAACGAGTACCTACATAAAAAAATATAATAAGTGAAACGTTAAACATAAAATGAAAAACATATTGAGAAATCTAAAGTTACTCTTCATAACTACAAATAACTGGAGGAGGCCTTCACCCTCAAATAAGTCATAAGAGGGCCCTCGGGCCACTTGAAAAAGAAATCATCAATAAACGAATACTTAAATTAATAAATCTATTAAGGTAACTAATAGAATAAATTAAATTAATAAAATTAATTAATTGCAATTAACCGATAATAATAGGTAATAATAATTAAATTAATGGTTAATAATAACAATAAACAATTATTAAAAATGAAAATAACTATTTACTAGCAGTTTACTAGTAAATAATTACATAAAATAATAAAATTATTTAAATAAATCTATAAATACAAATCTATATATTACTTTTATATACTATATAGAATTATTAAACACTGCATGTAACGATTGAATGTACCTCCAAGACATATTTTAAGATTAAATATGTAAAAAATTAACAATTCAGCAATTTCATGTAACTAAGCAAGTGAAATAAAAGGCTTTTTTATTTTTTTATTTTATTTTTATTTATTTTTAAATATATATATACTCGTATCTTATACTATATTTCATGAAAATAGTATAACAGTTTAGCATATTAATAAAAATAAATCATTTTATTGTAGGTTTCCGAAATGTCCGGAAATCAGAGATCAGTGGATAAAGGCCGTGAGGCGCAAAAATTGGGAGCCGACTAAATACTCCAGGTTATGTTCAAAACATTTTGAAGAATCCAGTTTTGTGACTGGTTTGTCAATCAAGAAACTTAAAACAGATGCTATACCAGTAATTTTTGAAGGATATCCAAGTTATTATCAGCCGATAGTAGCCAAAAAAAGAAAACAGAAAAGCGAAAACCTGGAACTGACACCAAGGAAACGAAAAAGAATAAAAGCTAGCAGTGTTAAGACAGAAGATCTTCCTACAACTCCTCGGCGAGCAATGAAGGTTTTGACATCTTTATCAAAAGCACGGACAACAGCTTTGCGGCATCTAAGACTCGTGAAAACTTTAAGAGTAAGTAAACGCAGAATTACTTAAAAAATGCTAAATTAGTGAGTATAATAAATGATTTAAAGAACAGAGAATTACTAAATACTAAATCTTTAGATGTGTTGTCAATTTTTTTTTTGTAAATAAAACTAACTATCTTTTCGGATTTTGTCGCGGATTTATTTAATATATCCGCGACAAAATCCGAAAAGATAGTTTTATTTAAAATGTCAAATATTCGCGTAAATCTAAGAAAGTATTATGTGTTGTCTAGTATAGGAGACAAAAATAAAGATTTGCTTTTAAGGTTACAGAAAAAACATACTATGGTATATGGTATAAAACGGGCTTGTTTCCGCAACTCGACGTCTGCGCGCCTATTTTGCGTAAAAACATACTAAAGCATCTCTTCTAAAAAAATATTCACCTGAACTAAGAAAATTTGCACTAACTTTACAATTTTTGTCACCACGTGCATATAAATACGTACGGAATTATTTTGATACTTGCTTACCCCATCCGAAAATCATAAACAAATGGTATCAAGGTGGTGATTGTGACCCAGGCTTTACTAAAGAGTCTATTGAGACACTAAAAGCCAAATCAAAGGATCAACCAATAATTGGAGCATTAGCTATGGATGAAATGGCCATTAGAAAATGTATCGAGTGGGATGGCCATAAATCTCACGGCTACGTAAATGTAGGAAACAATGTTGAAAATGAGTGTTACGGTAGCCACTGAAGCACTCAGGTTTATGGTGACCTGCTTAAATGGGTCGTTTAAAATGCCAGTTGGCTATTTTTTCGACTAGTTCACGACTTTTTGTCCTCTAGAGGGCGAGGGCCATATTAAATTTAATGTGACGTCACATAGCCTATTACCAGCGGATGATCAAGACGTTTACAACGATACCACATTTGTTAAATTATGATATGTAAGTAGTTTAGAAGTTAGGAGGGAACAGATGAACATACATACACACCGGTCAAAATCATAACCCTCCTTTTGCTTCGCCGTAGTCAGGTGAAAAGGCTACATTTGTGTTCTTTATAATCATTTCGGATGTTATATTTTTATTTCTTACGAGTTAGACTAAAAGTGAGTTCTTCAAACTGATTTCTTTGCAAGTGTGAATGGACTAATGACCGCTATAATATGAAAATATTTATTTTACTAATGTCACAATTATAAAGAAAAATTAATACACAATAAATTCACTGTTAGCATGCTTTGTAATTATATATATATATATATATATATATATATATATATATACCTAAGCATATATATGATATGAATGTGGCTTAACATAATCCATAAGTCATTTCCATATTTATTCCAGTTATCTGAAAAACTCTTCATATTTCTCATTTTTAATTGAGTGTAAAATTATAAACTTAAAAGCTAATTAGAAACAAAACACTTTGGTAAGTGTTTTGTTTCCATCTATAAAATATGTAGACATAATTTAGATGGAATAGGTGATGGACAATGCTAACATATCTTGTAAGCATAGTACTAAATTGTAAAAACTTATAGGTACATTGTTTTAGATAAAAAATAAATTTTTTGTCTATAACATTTCATGAAACAATGCAATGCAACAAGAATATGAATACAAAGGATACAAACTATAAACAAGCATATACAGCACTAGTATATTATTATATGATCTATGATACAGCTATTTCTGATAGCCTAAGTGACTAAGTAATAAGTCAAATAATTTGATACAATGAGGACTATCGTTTCTGGTGGCACCAGTTGGCGTATTAGTTGGCCATTATTTTTAGAATATTTATGTTTGTCTGTGTGTTTGTTCGAGCTAATCTCAGAAACGGCTTAACCGATTTGAGTACGGTTTTCACTAATGTATTGTGGTAAGCTTCACTTAACATTTAGCATTGTTTTATTTCAATCGATTCTAAAATAAAAAACTTATATCAATTTAAAGAATCATATGAAACATTTATTAGAATAAAAAATGCTACAAAATACTGTTGAGTTTATTTGGCTGTGAAACTTTGGTTAACTAACTATACCTATTATAGTTTGTAAAACGACGATGATTGAAAGTTTATATGAACACAACAAAGTTAAAAAAATTATAGTTTCTGAAATTTAAAAGCAATGTAAGTTGAGTTCACTCCTATGGTATATGGTCGGTGGTATGGTCTAGGCGCGCTTCGGTCAGACACCGACGCATCCTGGTAACGGCTAAACTCGGCTACTTTTTAAATAAAACTATCTTTTTTTAGAATGTCATGTAGTTTTATTTAAAATGTCAAGTATTCGTAAATCTAAAAAAGTATTATGTGAACCAGTTCGGCTACTTTTATTTAAAAAAATAATAAGGGCTCGGCGCAAAAAATTAAAACCCATGAAATAATGAACAAAATCAAGTAGCTACAAAAGTAAGTAGCTAGTTAGAAATATGCATGCTTATTGTATATCGCTTCGCATAGCTTATTTTATATTTTGATTCGATTTTTTTTCTAATATTTATCAACCTACCTATAATTATTATACTTATAGTATTTACTTATCTCTATCTTCTAAAAGAGCAAAGTGTGCGCGATAAATGGAATATTGCAAAGGAATCCTACGACGATCATTGATTATCAAAAAATCTCAGACGCTAAAAAAATATTTTGTTTAGTACCAGAGCGTACTTCAAAATTTTAGTAGCCGAATCTATATTCTATTTTTATGATAACTAAATATATTTCAAGCCTCAGACATGAAAGCCGAATAATATTTATTTAACCCTTAGCGATTTATTTTCATTCAACAACTTTTGCGCATCGAGCAATTTATTTATGAGAGAAATTATCCGCAAATTGAAAGTTACGCGGGAAAGTTGTGAGTTTCTGAGCGGTTTTAAACATTTTCTATTTTTAAATCCCCACGTCTGCACTCCTGAAATAGATAGTTGAAGTTTCGGGTGTTTTGTGCGTGGTTTGCTGCATAAAAAGTGAAACTAATATTACACGAACTAAAGCCAATTTACTGTTTATTTCCCATACTAAACATGGTGAGTGTATACCTTTATATATTTTTATATACCTATATCACCTTTGTGGATTAAAATGTAGTAATTCAAAGACTATATGAAATATAAAAATTAAAAATACATTTTGTCATGTCATGTCGGCGTAATTTTATCCACGTGCATTATGTAGGGTATTTAATGGAGGATAATAAAAATTTACTTAAAATTGAGGTTTCTAAGACTGTAGAAGATCTTCCTATAGATATGCGGTCTATTTGGACGAGAGTAATAGGATCCGGTTTTAGTAAGGTAACAAAGGATATTGAGAGAAATGTTAATTTTATTTTTAGACAAGTTAAATATAATTTATTATCTGTTGATTTAATTTTTCTGCAAAACAACCATTATCAAGTCTTGATAATCAAGAGTTAAATATAAAACATTAAATATCAAAATATGTAAATATTAGAAATATTTATGAATACACGTCGTCATACATAAATGCTAAACAAAAACACGTTCAAAAATCAAAAATATATCGTCACGAAACATCGACAAAACAACAGTGAACAAAAAACATTACGTTGTTATCGATATGGGGAACTCATCGACAAAAGTGTTCAATTTATGTAAATGGCTTTCACTTGGGTACATGATATGAATATTGTATTACGAACAAGATTTCGTTGAAAATTGAAGCTGTTCATCTAGCTATAGCTCATAATGATGCTATAAAACCTAAATAATAATATGTTCAAACTTTGAAAACATATCTAATTCTCGAACCTGACCTGTGAATGTTTCGCGGAGTAATTTCCGTCATCATATTAATATTTTACTTAGCTGTTAAACGTACTTTGTGCGTTTCTCAGCAACCTTTTGTAATAAGTCAAAAAGTATCTCACTGAAACTAGTCTAACCGTTGAAAACTACGGGGTAACCCTATGCTGTTCACCATTTCATGCACTAGTAAAAAAAACATTTGGAAAAAATATTAGTAACATATAATGTAGTATTTAGTGACTTAAGTCAATCTTTATGAACAATGGGTTCAGGAAAACTTTCTGGCGGATATAAGAATGTTTAGCAAATAGCGACGAGTAATAGGCGAGAGAGATGCTGTACGCATAACTTTACTACAGAGGACGAAAAGACCTTGTACTTGAAACGTGTGTACGCATCTTTTGTCGCAATTCTTAAAATCTTAAACGATTATAACCTACTGACAATTTAAACATAATAGGTACTTCGATCGTGTTCACTTTCTCTCGGTGATTGATACATACTTGTTTACAATAATAATCCAAGCAAAGGCTGAAATGATTTGAACAAAACTTTGGTAAAGCGATAGTTCGCGTTTTAAAGGGTATTTATTGTGTGCCATAACCGCATAAGAAATGGGATTTCTACGGCGTCTTATACTCGTACATATCACTGCTGGGCACGAGTCTTCTTCCCATTGAATTGAAGGAGGGAGAAGAAGCGAGGGGGATTAGGTCATCGTCAACCATCATGACCAAGTAGCGGACTCACATGTCTTTCACAAACTAGTTAGGTTCTCAGACATGCAGGTTTGATTACTCACGATGTTTTTTTTCATCGTAAGGCGAATGGTAAGCGTGTAGGAAAACACCACAGGGTATGGAACAGGAATTATACCATAACTTATATTATACAATTCTTGAATTTATTGGTTCAATTTGTCAATATCACTTTGCAATATTGCGATCGACTCTCAGAATATTGCATTCCAAGAAAATAATGTATACATGTGCAATAGAGAATAAAATTGAATTGTAAGAAAATTTCATTTCAATGTCCTCGTTTTTCATCACTTAACTGGGGAATAGGTTATAAGTAACTTGTATTATTATTATCATGCAAAATCCACAGCTAATAAAATCTTAAAAGAATTTAATTTTTCAAATATGAGAACCTACTAACAGACGTACAATTTGTTTAATATTCACGTTAAAAATGATTTTTACACAAGTTAGTTATTAATTTACATATGTTTAATGTGGTTTTTTAGTGATTTTATGTACAAAATTTTCATTTGATTGTAGGCCGATCCAGCGCAAGTTCAAGGAGCAGGAGGGGGTGAAGGGTCACCTCAGACGAAACCGGTTGAAAATGTACCACAACAGGCAAAACCAGTAACTATTCATTTCTTTCTGAATATTGTGTAAAATGTATTGTTTATATTTCAATTCAAAAGCTATTTTTAAAGTTCTCTCAATATGAGGGCTCAGGCCATAGTCCATCATGCTGGTCAGGTGCGGGATGGCAGACTTGAAAACTTGCTAGGTTCTCTCAAACATGCAAGCTTCCTAACGATGTTTTCCTTCACCGTAAGGCATGATTCGCATATGAAATGAAAACAGAGGTGCGAGACCCGGGATTTGAACCCGCTTCACTCGGTTTCCAATTAAGCGAGTGGGCTACCACTGCCTATTTGATTTGGCAATTGATATTATCAATTGTTAATAATTAATTATTGTCTAAAGGTACTCTAAGTAATATTACAAGCATTCTATTTTGATAGCGGATATATTACTATTTACGATTTTCTGCTTTCTTAAATATGTAATATATAATAAAAATGTTGTTCTATTATAATTAACATGTTTATTTCAATTGTAAAGGAAGAAGTTAAAGTAGAAGATAAGCCAGAAGAACAGATTAAACAAGAAGTGAATGAAGAAACTCCTACAGAGATTCAAACAAACGTATCTGACGCAGTACAAAAAGAAGAAGTGGTAGAGAATACAGAAACTACCTCAATAGATGCAGTGGCTAAAGAATCAGATAATGACGTTACTAAAGAAGAAGATAAGCCAAAAGAATCTGCTAGCGCAGTAAGTAAAGCTTTTTTAATACTTTCTTTAGATTTACGCGAATATTTGACATTTTAAATAAAACTATCTTTTCGGATTATTTCGCGGATTTATTTTGATTTGACGTTTCGAATGATTTACAGCAATCATGGTCACGGGAGAGACTCTCTCCGTTCAATCGTCATCTCAAATCAAAATAAATCCGTGAAATAATCCGAAAATATAGTTTTATTTAAAAGCCTTTTAATTTTATTAAATAAAACTATCTTTTCGGATTATTTCGCGGATTTATTTTGATTTTTGGTTCCCGACGTTTCGAATGCTTTACAGCATCCATGGTCACGGGAGAGACCTTTTAATTTAAAAAAAAATACTCTTATTGACTTTAAGATTACATTATAAACTAGTAGCAAGCGCCCCTGTACTACATATTACTGGGTGTTTCGCTCATCCACCAAGACTAGAAAGTCATTTTTAAAATAGTTATTATATTGTGGGACATAATAATGTAGATTTTTTTATTATAATAAATATTTTCAAGTTTTCTCCCTTATTTTTCGGGTAGTTCACTCAGTTTTTTAAATATTTGTTTTTTTTACTAGTACACAAAAATATTGCTAAAGTTAGTTTGTCAATTGAGACATTAGTGCTGTGTAAGATGTTGATAATTGATTATATTTGAAGTAAAAACTATGATTAGGTTATATATATATAAATGCATATATATATATATATATATATATATAAAGTTTCGTATTATACCAATTATAGGAAAATTGGGAACAAAGAGAACAAGAGCTTCTGAAGAAAATCGAAGAATTGGAAAAAGTAAAAAACGAAAGAAGTGAAGATGGCCTTAAGTTGGAATTGAAAGTGAGTGTTTTAAAATGATTGCACACATTTTTATTGCTTTAAATATTTAATATTTTCTCTAATTTGTTTTAATATGTTTGTTTATTCAATGTTAGAACTAAATATTTTCTTTAATAAATTTCTTTTTCATAAATTAATTTAAATGGGATCTATTTCATAGATAGATTTGTAATAGTGCTAAAAGTATGTGTTTTGTAAATCAAAATGATATTAACTAGAAAAAATAACCCACATTTTATAGGTACGTGAGGAAGAAATAGATTTACTTAAAGCTAGAGTGAAGAATTTGGAAACGGAGCTGCAGGCGGCTTTGTCTAAGCCGGGGGGAAAGAACCAAGAGTTGATTGATAAGATCAAACTCCAACACGAAGAGGTGAGATATGTGCACTAGCTTACACTTTGTCTTAGGTATATATGTTCATTACCTGACTGCGGCTAAACCCAAAGAAGGGTTATGTGTTTGATCTGTATGTATGTATGTATGAATTATCATTGTAATATTTTTGACTCTTAACGAATAATTTGAAATTTTTCATGATCGTAATCTCTTTAAATAGAAGTTTGATTCAAATGATTACATAAATCACAGATAACATAATAATTTCAGTTGCTGGGCAAAGCTCGCGGTATGATCTTTGACAAGACCAAAATGGTAAAGAACCAAGAGTTACAGATCGAGGCGCTCACGACGCAAGTGCAGTCTTTGAAAGACATTAACCAAATTACGAAAGACTTGCTCGAGATAAGGAACTCGGAAGTTAAAGCGATGGAAGTGAGTATTTATGATCTTTTAATGCCCAAAAATTGATTTCATACCATATTTTATTAATACTTTCTTAGATTTACGCGAATATTTGACATTTTAAATAAAACTATCTTTTCGGTTTATTTCGCGGATATATGTATTGTGATTATTTACCCTGACAGTCTATTTACTCTGGTATTCGAAACGTCGGGAACCAAAAATCAAAATAAATCCGCGAAATAATTCGAAAAGATAGTTTAATTTAACAAAAATTTTTGCCTTTCTTCAATGTGTACGTAGTGTTACAGCAGCTTATGTGTTACTTTAGGTCATAGTATATCTGTGTTCTTATCATACAAATCCGTCCAGCCGTTGCTGTGTGAATGGTGAAACCCGGGATGTGAACCCGTTTCACTCGGTTTGCGAGTGCGTTTAACATTTATAGCATTTAATTATATTTATTATTTAAATTCATTTAATTTTATATCGCCCTTGAAATAAAAATTTGAATAAATAAAACAAAAAACCTCACTGCTAAATACGTTTTTTAGTTTTTAGTTTAGTAAGTTTTTTAGTTAGATTTTTACACATTGGTATTTTTTTAGGGTTCCGCACCCGAAGGGTGCCAACGGAACCCTATTACTATGCCCCAGCTGTACGTCCGTCTGTCAAGGGCCTATAACTCATGTACCGTAATAGGTAGAGAGTTGAAATTTTCACAGAGTATGTATTTCTATTGTCTCTATAACAACAAATTATAAAAAAATAAAATAAAAAATAAATAAAAATACAATCATTATTGAACGTACATACATAAAGTAAAAGTCATATTAATAAAAAGTACATGTACGATGGTACGGAACCCTTCATGTGCGAATTCAACTCGCACTTGACCGATTTCTTGTTTTGTTTTTTTTTCTTATTTTTAAATAAATAAAATGTTTCCTTTCAGAGAAACTTGATATTTTCAATTTTTAAAGAATTAATGTTTTTTTCCTCCATTATTATTCCATTTGCTCGGGTATATGTATATGTATATATATATATATATATATATATATATATATATATATATATATATATGTAAGAGAACAGCAACAGCATTTTTGCACGGGATTGTGTGGTACAATAATTTACCTATTATCGATCAAAAAAGTACTAGATACACAATCCCATGCTAAAGTTCTCTTAAAACTGTCACCAATTGTGTTTAGGTAATTATTCTAGTTGAAATAAATATACAACAATATAAATTGAACCTTAAATGCAAGGCTTAAAGTTGTTTTCACAAAAAAATATTAAAAGCGCGCTCAAATGCTCAAATGAGCTCTCATTCGGATACTTTTTTGATCGATGTTACCTATAAATGAATCTTCACAATTTTTGCTTATACTGATGTATGTATGTATGTAAATAAATAGCGTGTTTTTTCACTAGCCCAAGAGATTTTTATACATTTTGGTTCCTTTCTGTCAGGGTTTTGACCTTTGACTCAAAGAAACTATCAAAAACCGCCCCAAACGTAGTCTTTGATAGATTTGGAAACTATATTACACAAAATTTAAAAAAAAATACAAGAGGCGGATTTATTACAAAAATTAGTGTTCTTTACAAGTCAACCTTTAAGTCATACAATTAAAATAAATAAATATATTGGGACAGTAACACACAGAACAAACCAGTTCCATTGTAAGCTACGAGGCCTGTGTTTTGGATACCAGATAGTTGATACACTACACATATATAACTTTAAATACATACATATTATAAATATAAACACCCACGACTGCAGTACAAACATTCGTGCTCATCACACAAATGTATGCTCTCAGCGGGATTCGAACCCGCGACCGCTGGCATAGCAAGTGGGGTCACTACAAACTGAGCCACACGTGTCGTTATTTGTCTATTCCAGGAACGTTTCCAAGCGATGGAGTCTCGATTCAAAGGGGAGAAGGAGAGATACGATCTGGTGTTGAAGCGCGCTCAGACCAGCACGAACATTAACGACGACCTCCGCAAGGAATATGAAACTCAACTTGCTATATTCAAGGTGAGTTTTCTCAATAATGGCCACCGCCGTGAGGGGCGCTAGTGTAGAGTGAGGTCTCTGGAAATGTCAAATGACACTGAATACTTACTGTTTGCGAGCTTTTCATTGTGGAATTTCACCAATTATTCATGATTATTGTAAAGATTGTGCCGTTCCTGATTAATTTTGGCGGACACGGTATGTCTTAACAAATGTTATTGCTTTAAAAGAAGATCTAATAAAAAGTCAATATTTTATCTATTTGATTATTATATATTAACTACTTATATTATTATTATATTAAATTTATGGCTCTGGCGTACTAACAAATAGTGTTTTAACCATAAATTTAGGACCTCACTCGCCAGTGGCGCCAACTGGTGATACTAGAAACGATAGCCCGCATTAATGTTAAGGATTTTTATTAATCTACACATATAATAAAATTGTAACTAAGTCGAATGTGTACATTAAATATTTTTTGGAAAATCTAATTGAAATAGACGTTATTATTGATACAGAGTCCGAATCTATAGTTTTTAGAATTTTTGTGTCTGTTTGTCTGTTACCGCATCACGAGAAAACCACTAGACAGATTTTGATGAAATTTGGTATGATGATAGCTGGTTATCCGGGTCAACACATAGGATACTTTTTACCGCGGGAAAATATCTCATTTTTGAGAAAATATACAAAAACTGCATTGTAAGAGTATACTAATATGTAAAACCCAAGAATTTGGTTTTTTGGTCTTCTGAACGCGGACGGAGTCGCGGGCAATGCTAGTTATATCATAATTTTTTTATAAGGGAGTACTTGTGTATAAGTTTCTCAGAAAGTGACGGTTTCTGTAGTTTTTGGACCTGAGCATCTGATGTTATTGGGCTTGGAGTATACTTTTCATTTATTCATTATATTTTGAACTTGTGACTCATCCTCGCTCCGCTCGGGTTCGTCTCTAGTTACGTTTTAACGTTTAGTATAGATAGTATAGAGTACGTATACGTAACATAAGGTTTTAATTAAAAAAAAAAGTAAAAACCTTGTTTTTACAAGTACAAAAAACTTGGTCTTTTTAGACCAAGTTTTTTTTTTAATTTAAACAACCTTAAATTAAAATAATCTTTATTCTAAATATACTTAGCTAAACATTATTTTAATTAATCTTAATCAAATCAAAAATTACCGGGGTAATTTAGTTGAATATTTATTAATAATATTACCTTATTTAACAACGATTTATATGTAAATATGTACGTAATAAGACTTTTTTTATGTAAAAGATAATAATATAAATTTTCGACTTTAATTCGGTTGGCTGCTTCGATTACGAAAAAATTCAAAAATAATATTTTAAAATAAATGCATAATGTGAGCATATTACTATATTTTTAGTTCCTGCCTCCAGTTTTCATTTGATTACAATTTTCTATTTTTTGGAGGTATGATATGATACCTTTCTGACTTCATTCTTTGAGGAAAATGTACAGACGGATGATAGATAAAAATATAAAAAATATTTTAAATTTTATTAAGTATCAAGAATCAAGAATCACGGGCGTATTTAATATACTTTACTCCACTTGCTTATGTATTCAATCTATTTTTAACGTCTCACTGCTGGACACGGACCTGCCTTCAATACGAGGGGGATCAGGCCATCACGAACCACCACCGAAAGACAAGTGGTAATCATGTTGGAAATGATTCGCACATGAAAATATCAGAGGTGCGTGACCCGGGATTTGAATCCGCGTCACTCGGTTTCCCAAGCGAGTGCATTACCACTGGGCTATCACTGCCCTACTTGCTAATGTTGTTGTCCTAAAAAATTTGATGTACCTATCTCTTAAGATTTAGCCAGCGTTAGACATGTTTTCTAGGAACGACTGGACAGAACAAGTTATGGTGTTTTCCCGGGGGAATGAAAGATTTTCCTGTAGTAAAAAATATCCTTAATGCTGACCCGAGTAATAAGTTATAACTAAACAAAATTTAATTAAAATGTGTTTAGTACTTTTTGCGTGAAACGTGCAGAACGACTTCGTTAAGTCACTGTTTTATTATACATATTATGTAGATAACTTTAAAGTCTAAAATAAATAAAAAAAATATAAAAATATAAAATATAAATATTTTGTTTAATTTAACTTAATACGTTCATACAAAAAAGTAAATAATAATATATGCAGCGTTATCGCATAGTATAGTCTAGGGTCTAGACGATATAATGTGCTGTTATGTTAATCGTCTTCCTTCAAAATGTAGTTCTTTTTAATTATTTAATGACGTCACTTTTATAAATATAAACACCCATGACTGGAGTACAAACATTCGTGACACTCAACACTCACTCATTACACAAATGAATGCCCCCAGCGGGACTCGAACCCGCGACCGCTGGCACAGCAAGTAGGGTAACTACAAAGTGAGTCAAACGTGTCGTCATAAATATGTAATACTATCAGCTTACCCTCGCTTCGCTCGGGTTCGCCTCTAGGAATACAAAACAAACCTATCCTACGGGAACCGTAAATTTTTTCCCGATTAAAAAGAAGCCTATGTGTTGTAGCTAATGTGCTATTCCAGACTATAATTTATCTCTGTGCCAAATTTCATCCGTATCCGTTCAGCCGTTCTGGCGTGAAAGAGTAACAAACATCCTATTCTCACAAACTTTCACGTTTATCTATCTGAACGCGGGCGGAGCCGCGGGCAATGCTAGTCTATACTTATTATAAAAATAAGTCCCCCGGCCGCGTCTTTCTGTCCTCCTGTCTGTCCTCCTGTCTGTCTGTACGCGATAAACTCGAAAACTACTGAACGGATTTTTATACGGTTTTCAACAATAGAAAGAGTAATTCTTGAGGAAGGTTTAGGTATATAATTTATTATGCTTTTATGTAAATTAGCTGAAATACGGCGACAAATGTTGAAGAGGTCACAAAAAATCTCGCCAAATGGGAACTTTCCACGCGAACGCCGCGTAAACTAGCAAAGATACAGTTAAGTAATGTACTAGAGAATTCAAAATCTATAAAAATGCTACAAAAAAGTCCGCGATAGCATATCTCTATCTCTTACGGTTGACTTACAATAACCACTTTTATGTTAACATTTTTAATTAAAAACATTACGTTATTTTCAAAGTTATTTTCTTTAGTTCGGTATTAATCCTTATCCAAATGAATATTTTAGTTAGCTTAGTCATTAATGCAGATTAAAATTGCTCTTTACACTAAATCAATCAGATGAATAGTTTTTGAGATATCGTTGTTAGAAGTAATTAGTAGCGAAACATTTTTAATGCTTGGCGAGCATTGAGATGCCTACGGCGAGTCCATCCCCTCTGCCCCGCATCGCTCGACCGCCTGCTCAAGCTATATAAACCGGGCGATGTAGCGCGCGATCCTAGGATACTTTTTACCGCGGGAAAATATCTTATTTCTGAGGAAAAATACAAAAACTGCAATGTAAGAGTATACTAATATGTAACACCTAAGAATTTAGTTTTTGGTCATACTTATTATAAAAATAAGTCCCCCGGCCGCGTCTTTCTGTCCTCCTGTCTGTCCTCCTGTCTGTCTGTACGCGATAAACTCGAAAACTACTGAACGGATTTTTATACGGTTTTCAACAATAGAAAGAGTAATTCTTGAGGAAGGTTTAGGTATATAATTTATTATGCTTTTATGTAAATTAGCTGAAATACGGCGACAAATGTTGAAGAGGTCGCAAAAAATCTCGCCAAATGGGAACTTTCCACGCGAACGCCGCGTAAACTAGCAAAGATACAGTTAAGTAATGTACTAGAGAATTCAAAATCTATAAAAATGCTACAAAAAAGTCCGCGATAGCATATCTCTATCTCTTACGGTTGACTTACAATAACCACTTTTATGTTAACATTTTTAATTAAAAACATTACGTTATTTTCAAAGTTATTTTCTTTAGTTCGGTATTAATCCTTATCCAAATGAATATTTTAGTTAGCTTAGTCATTTAATGCAGATTAAAATTGCTCTTTACACTAAATCAATCAGATGAATAGTTTTTGAGATATCGTTGTTAGAAGTAATTAGTAGCGAAACATTTTTAATGCTTGGCGAGCATTGAGATGCCTACGGCGAGTCCATCCCCTCTGCCCCGCATCGCTCGACCGCCTGCTCAAGCTATATAAACCGGGCGATGTAGCGCGCGATCCTAGGATACTTTTTACCGCGGGAAAATATCTTATTTCTGAGGAAAAATACAAAAACTGCAATGTAAGAGTATACTAATATGTAACACCTAAGAATTTAGTTTTTGGTCATACTTATTATAAAAATAAGTCCCCCGGCCGCGTCTTTCTGTCCTCCTGTCTGTCCTCCTGTCTGTCTGTACGCGATAAACTCGAAAACTACTGAACGGATTTTTATACGGTTTTCAACAATAGAAAGAGTAATTCTTGAGGAAGGTTTAGGTATATAATTTATTATGCTTTTATGTAAATTAGCTGAAATACGGCGACAAATGTTGAAGAGGTCGCAAAAAATCTCGCCAAATGGGAACTTTCCACGCGAACGCCGCGTAAACTAGCAAAGATACAGTTAAGTAATGTACTAGAGAATTCAAAATCTATAAAAATGCTACAAAAAAGTCCGCGATAGCATATCTCTATCTCTTACGGTTGACTTACAATAACCACTTTTATGTTAACATTTTTAATTAAAAACATTACGTTATTTTCAAAGTTATTTTCTTTAGTTCGGTATTAATCCTTATCCAAATGAATATTTTAGTTAGCTTAGTCATTTAATGCAGATTAAAATTGCTCTTTACACTAAATCAATCAGATGAATAGTTTTTGAGATATCGTTGTTAGAAGTAATTAGTAGCGAAACATTTTTAATGCTTGGCGAGCATTGAGATGCCTACGGCGAGTCCATCCCCTCTGCCCCGCATCGCTCGACCGCCTGCTCAAGCTATATAAACCGGGCGATGTAGCGCGCGATCCTAGGATACTTTTTACCGCGGGAAAATATCTTATTTCTGAGGAAAAATACAAAAACTGCAATGTAAGAGTATACTAATATGTAACACCTAAGAATTTAGTTTTTGGTCATACTTATTATAAAAATAAGTCCCCCGGCCGCGTCTTTCTGTCCTCCTGTCTGTCCTCCTGTCTGTCTGTACGCGATAAACTCGAAAACTACTGAACGGATTTTTATACGGTTTTCAACAATAGAAAGAGTAATTCTTGAGGAAGGTTTAGGTATATAATTTATTATGCTTTTATGTAAATTAGCTGAAATACGGCGACAAATGTTGAAGAGGTCGCAAAAAATCTCGCCAAATGGGAACTTTCCACGCGAACGCCGCGTAAACTAGCAAAGATACAGTTAAGTAATGTACTAGAGAATTCAAAATCTATAAAAATGCTACAAAAAAGTCCGCGATAGCATATCTCTATCTCTTACGGTTGACTTACAATAACCACTTTTATGTTAACATTTTTAATTAAAAACATTACGTTATTTTCAAAGTTATTTTCTTTAGTTCGGTATTAATCCTTATCCAAATGAATATTTTAGTTAGCTTAGTCATTTAATGCAGATTAAAATTGCTCTTTACACTAAATCAATCAGATGAATAGTTTTTGAGATATCGTTGTTAGAAGTAATTAGTAGCGAAACATTTTTAATGCTTGGCGAGCATTGAGATGCCTACGGCGAGTCCATCCCCTCTGCCCCGCATCGCTCGACCGCCTGCTCAAGCTATATAAACCGGGCGATGTAGCGCGCGATCTTAGGATACTTTTTACCGCGGGAAAATATCTTATTTCTGAGGAAAAATACAAAAACTGCAATGTAAGAGTATACTAATATGTAACACCTAAGAATTTAGTTTTTGGTCATCTGAACGCGGGCGGAGCCGCGGGCAATGCTAGTAATATTAAAAAAATAATAATACGTAATATCAAAAAAATAATAGTAGTATGTGAAATTAATTATTATATTAATTTATGTATACGATATTTAAGGAATTACGAGAAAAGTACGAGTTACGAGTCCAGGCGCTAGTGGCCGAGAACAACCGGCTCAAGGAGTCCATGCAAGGAGGAGCTCCCGCAGCTCCCTCCTCCACAGGATAATTTGTTTATAAGACTGCTGTTTTGTACAATAATCGTGATTTTTTAATAAATAATAATAAACAGTTTGATTTTGTGTTTTTTTTTATAATAGTAGATTTACAATTAGGGTTGAATACTTAATATCTTCTTAATATATATAATTCTTCTGTGCGTGTGTTTGTTAACCTACTCCTCCTAAAGGGCTAGACCGATTTGGATGAAATTTTGTGTGTACATTTCAATAGGCCCCTGGGTGGTTTGAAAATACAATTGAACCCGGTAGGTGGCGCTGCAGTCGTTGTGCCACTGATCATCTCCTAAACGGCAGGGACGATTTTAATGATATTTTTTGTGTATATTCGATTGGATCCCTGCAAGGTTTGTATTCACAATTGAATCCGGCAGGTGGCGCTCGGTGTGTCACTAAATTTTCATAAAAGACTCCATATTCCGAGCAATAAATAAATTTGAATTGTTGATTAAATAAAATAAAAATCGATGTGTGTATGTATGTTTCCTATGGACTCCAAAACGGTTGGAGCGATTTTGATGAAATTTTCAGGCAATCTTCAGATTAGCTCAGCGGGTGATCCTGTGAATTTCGTTAGCGATCGGAAGTTTGGACGCGGGCGAAGCCGCGGGTACTGCTAGTTATAATATAAATGTTTTTGATTGTACGGATTTATGAATATTATTTTTTTTTTGGCTCTTCGTAACGTAAAAATAACTGCGTTTAATTTTTTTTTAAGTTACCTGAACTGGTAATGGAATCAACTAAAATGCAAAAAAGTTAAAAAAATATAAATCAATGCAGAAATTATTATAAAAAAATGTTTCCTTAGAGAATAATATATATAACTTCAATATTTAAGTTACTTTTGTTCATGTCCCATCCATTTGTTCCATACAGGATGACGACTCAGGACAGACAGTTGTATATACAGGATATACTTGTATAATTCGGACGATTATTTCAACCTTTGATAAATAATTGTCATATTTTATGGTAGCCTACATTTGGACTTTCATGCAAAAAAATCCTGAAACTTCTCCATTGTGCACTATAATAATAACTCCTGCATACATGGTTATTGGTTAGTCATAACATTAGGTACCGTGACCGAAGTCGGTCTGCAGACCTATGGCTTCGCATAAGACTTTTTTGTCGTACTCATATTTTGTAAACTTTATTTACGTCTGGGAATTGCTTAAAACCAGTAAATTTGTTTGGCGATTTGCAGGTATTATTAAAATTACTCAATAAATATGTGATTAAAATTTCAAATTGACAAAAGTATATTTTTGGGAATTTTAATAAAATATTTTTGGGAAGGTCTGGTAATACTTTATAACCGACAAAAACGTCTGTTTTTTTTGAATTATATATAAACTACTGTTTTTTTTGAATTATATATAATCTAAATGAAAAGATTAAAATAATTAAGCTGCCAAAAATATATATATTTTTTGCAAATGTTATGTACTACGCAGTAACGAATTAGCCGCAAACGCTATCCCAGACTCGCGGAACTGGATTCGCCAATTGACGAAATTATATTTTTTCACAATTTGAACTTGCCAAAAGGACTTTAATAAAATTCGTCGCCAGCTCTCGGAATAAAAGCTCATATACTATATTATATATCGTGAATACGATAAAGAAGTTGTAATTTTATAAACGTTGTTGTGAGTTGTTTTTTCGTTCAATGAGTGTTTTTGTTTTCTAAACGTAACGTGATACTATATATAAGGTGAATTTTGAATTATGAACTGATTTTGGTTGAAATTGCAGTTAGTGTGCAGGACCAACCACTAACCAGGTAAATATTAATTATTTAAATTTTCAACCGCTTTGTCCTATATATACTATAATAAAACTGTAGACGTCGAATTTCCGTACATAGAAAAAAATGCTAAAAACCGAGTCAGGGGATGTAAGAAGACAAATAGAACAAATCCAGATTTTTATCATTTTTTTTTGTTTCTCTGTCTGTTTGTCTGTTTGTACGGGCTAATCTCCGAATCTATTGGATCGATTTAAATGAAATTTTGCATGGTGGTACCTTATATTCCCGGGCAACATCTTAAATACTTTTCATCCCGGCAAATTAGAGAGTTCCCGTGGGATAGTTAAAAAACTATAGTAACTTATACAGCTTAGTACACAACAACTTATGCATCTAATTTTGGCATGCTATACCTTATATTGTCAGTCAAACAACAGGTTACTTTTTATCCCGGAAAAATGAACGGTTCCCGTGGGATAAATCTGTATGTGATTTTCTAGAGGCGAACCCGAGCGAAGCGAGGGTGTGCGGCTAGTTTGATATATAATTTTTCTTGTAACAAAATACTTACGTTTTACATACAATTATATATTTGAACACCAGATATCCTCTAAAATATGAAAGCTATATTTTAAATAGTTGTTGTATAAGCACTGGATAACAATTCCAAATATCTATTGGTTTCTGAATAGTAATAGTTTTTTTTACGCTGCGTAGGAACTTTGTAAAGCAAATATTTCTGCAGTACATAAATTTCATGAGTCCATTTCAGTCAAATAAGTTTCAGATATAACGAAAAAGAATTACTCAAGATGACTGATAAAGGAGGTGTTTCGTGTCAAGCCAGACTTTTTTTATTGTCATGGACCGTTTCACATGTCTGTGCTGCTCTCACCACTCAACTGTACGACGCATACACGGGCAATATAATATCGCAAAAACAATTCGAGAAATATGAAAAGAAAAATATAACTTTGTAAGTAGAAGAAAAATAGTTCTATTATATAACAATCTATACATATAAGAAGAGAAATAGAACAAATCTAGATTTTCTCTTCATCTCCAAAACTGTTGGACCGATTTAAATGAAATTTTGCATGGTGGTACTTTATATCCCCGGTCAATATTTTAGATACTTTTTATCTCGGCAAATGAAAGAGTTCCCGTGGGATAGTTAAAAAACTATAGTAACTTATACTGCTAAGTAAATAAAAACTACTGATTGGATTTTAATGAAATTTTACCATAATATAGTTCATACATCAGAATAACAAATAGGTTACATTTTATCATCGGTTCCCGTGGAATAAATTTGATTTTGTATGCGATCCTTAGCGAAGCGAGGGTGAGCTGCTAGTTTTTGAATAAAACTATCTTTTCGGACTTTTTCGCACATTTATTTAGATTTTTGGTTTTCGACGTTTCAAATGCTTCACAGCAATCATGATCGCGGGAAAGACTGAGGTTTTAGACGTCTCAAAATACATTACATAGTTGTTTGATTATAAGTAGATACAATAATATGTTGTGAGTAGGTTGCAGACTCTACTTAACACAAATATAAAGAAAACCCGCCAGTTGATGCTTAATTACTTTTAGATTTTGTGCAACACCGGAAGGCTTATTAAAATTTGAATTTAAAGTGTATATTTTTACTTACTCTCGCTTCGCTCGGGTGCGTCCCTAGGTGCTAATAATTCCGTAATAGATTGTTTTTATAAAAACTCAGTGGAAATTTTTATGAAAGGTAAATTCGAATCTTGAGTATTTTTTAAGGATTTTTGCGATTTTTGCTCAGGAACCTTAATTAGTTCAGGAATATTTAGTGTAGCGAAAGATTTTGAATGGACGGAAATTCAATATTAAATAAAACAAATCTGACTTAGCGTTATCGCTAATTAACGATTTTTCCTTCCCTTCCTACCTTCGGGTAGGAAATGGAGGAAAAATAGAGTCAAATAGAGTACGTTTTCTTGTTCTTAAGGTGCCATTTTCTTTCAAAGTCCGGCTGTTATAAATGTAACTTCTACTTTGGATAGTGCGAATAATAGAAATATTTTTAAATATTACATATTAGTGACTTATTCTCACTTCGACTTTTGGGTGTCTTTTCAAAAAAATAACCGAAAATTAGCGGTTTCAAATAAAATTATTATAAGTTCTGACAAAACTGACTAAAACGTAGTTTGTTGGAATAAAAAATAGATTATAGCACTCGTTGGTAAAATAGTTTTCTATTAGTGAAAGAACTTTCAGAAATTACCCCTAAATCCAAGTTTACAAAGTACAAACTTACCGCTTAGCATTGCTCATGGCTTCGCCCGCGTTCAGATTACCAAAAATCCAAATTCTTAGGTTTTACATATTAGTATACTCTTACAATGCAGTTTTTGTATTTTTTCTCAGAAATTAGATATTTTCCCGCGGTAAAAAATATCCTATAGGTTGACCCATAACCAGCTATCACCATACGAAATTTCATCAAAATCCCTCCAGTGGTTTTTCCGTGATGCGGTAACAGACAGACAGACAGACAGTCAGACAAAAATTGTAAAAACTATAGATTCGGCCTCTATACCGATAATAATATCTATTTCAATAATATTATACAAAAATTATTTAATGTACAGATTCGGCTTAGTTACAATTTTATCATATGTATAAATAGACTATAGAGTATTTGCATAAATCTAAGGAAGTATGATGAATTATCTTAGTTGGTGTGTTAATGAAATCGAGCCTTGTGATGCCTTCGAAGGAAGACGTTTGGATGGGTCCTGTAATAATCTGAAGCAACCTAGCCAAGGTGCGCCTCATACGTTGCCGCATAGAGTACTACCAGCGGTTTTTGATGAAGGTATGTGTATATATATGAATATTTATTTATAATTATTATTTATAATAATAAAGCTCTTCAATAGTTATGTACTAAACAAAAAAAGACAATCGATTAAAAAACAGCGGAGAAAAAGGTACTAAACTGTTTTGTATTTGCTGTTTTAATAAATTCTACTACTGCAACACTTATGTATATTGCTACTTATTGTAGTTGATATTTATCTGTTTGTAATTGCAAATAAATAAATATTAAATTTGTAGAGTTCACGTCAAATACATTGCAAAAGCGCAAATCACGTCGAGGTCACCAATTTAGAGTTCTACTGCGTGTTCTTTATTATTTAGGGAAGTTCAAATCAAACCATGGAATAACTAACTAATATTAATCTTTTTCTACAACGTTTAGTTTAAATTAGGATTCTATTAACCCTTATTTCGAATTTGTCCGTACTATCGGACAAGTACTTAAAAGATTCTACCTTCGTATCCGTTTCTATTTTCAACGTCGAAATTATACAAAACAATAACTCATTGGACTATTTACATTACGTCCTTTATATTATATAGTTTCCGCCACTTATGGCTAAAGTCCGCAAGGGCGGACAAGTCATTTTATTCCCAGATGCGACAGTGTCCGGTGTGGCAGACACCGATTTCTTTTTAAACGGTAGAGGGTAGAAATTTTTTTGAGGACTCTAAATGATCAAGGAAACAAGATAATGAAATTAAATTTGTCTTATTTTATTACCAACTTCTCCGTCGAAATAAGGGTTATTTACTGTTATGAGTAGGGGACCGTTGCGTTCGGGGTACTCGCGAATCTAACCAATGTTCTAACAATGCGGCCATACTCAGGGCGCCGACGCAAATCTGCTGACTCCACTCCATACACTACGTCACTACAACCGAATCCGCTGACTTCCCTCGAAACTCTACGTCGTCACAAATTTAAAAATGATACGATTCATATTTTCAAATTTCCATAGCGACTGTCAAATAATTTAATTATTTTTTTCAGGTAATAAGCCTCGGAAGAGTAAAACTGGAGAAGAACTGCCTTTAAGTAGAAAAGTTCGGACCACATTGCTGTCTGAAGGTCGAGTTCCTGATCCATACTTCACGCATATTTTTACTTACTTCGCTGTGTTTATGTCCGCAGATGTTCTTTCATTTCATGACACCAGTAAGTATTCTTAAAATATTCGACATTTTTGATCTGTTTGCAGAAAATTAACTTAGTTTGCTTTATATTAATAACTAGCGATTTGCTCTCGCTTTGGGTGTGAGTGTACCTTAGCAGATAGACATATGTTATTGCGGACTTTTCTGTAGACGAGAAACCACATTTCGAGTATGGTTCGGGCTCAATAAATACGTGATTAAAATTTCAGATTGCCAAAAATATATTTTTGGGAATTTTAATAAAATATTTTTGGAGAGGTCTGGTAATACTTTAAAAGTGATAAAAAAGTCTGTTTTTTTTTAATTATATAAAAACGAAATTAAAAGATTAAAAACAAATGAAGTTGCCAAAATAATTTTTTTTTTGCAAATGTTATATAGTGCGCAGTAACGAAATAACCGCAAACGCTATCCCAGATCGCGGAACTGGATTCGCGAATTGAGAAAATTATATTTTTTCACAATTTCAACTTACCAAAATGACCTTCCCAAAATTCGTCGCCAGCTCTCGGACAAAGTGGTTTGATTCTGTAAATTGGGTGGCATATTATAAGTATTCAATATTCATTGAATAATATGTGAAATATATTGTCACGTTTTGTTGTTACGTTTGCCGATATGAGTTTATTTGCATTCTTTTTGTTTGGTGGTGGTTTAATTTTTAGCCCCGACGCAAAAAGAGGGAAGCTATGAGTTTAGCGTGTATATTCGTGTACCTGTTTGTGGCATCGTAGCGCCCAAACGGGTGAAACGATTTTAATTTAGCTTTCTTTATTTGAAAGGTGACTTGATCGAGAGCGCTTTTAGCTATAAATAAAAAAAAATCATTCAGCCGTTCGCAGGCTATCAGGTCTTTTCTAGAAAGTATGGAAATATAAACAACTTCCACATATCTAATCGATTCAAAACTTGGTATCTCTCTACTTTAATGACATTGCAATGATATGGTAATTGTTAACATATGCAGTAAATAAAGCAAATTAGCAATTTGGCACATCGGTTTGGATATGGTTCTTCTTCTATATTTGCTTCTTCTTCTAGGAAAAGGAAAGATTCACAAGAATAAATGTTACCTAGTATTCAAGTGTTGTGTACTTATTAGGAATTTATACTTAGGACAAAAATGAGGTATCAGTAGCCCAGTGGCTAACGTGCTGGCTTGGGAAACTGAGTGAAGCGGGTTCAAATCTCGGGTCTCGCACCTCTGATATTTTAATGTAAGAATCATTTCCAACATATTTACTTATTTGTACGGTGAAGGAAAACATCGTGAGGAAACTTGCATGTCTGAGAGAACCCAGCAAAGACATGTGCAGTCCGCCAACTCGTACTTGGCCAGTATGGTGGACAACGGCCTGATCCCCCTTCGTATTGAAGAGACGCCCGTGCCCAGCAATGGGACGTTATGAAAGGGCTGAATACAAAGCAAAAACAGAAAAATTAAGAAAAGATTGTAAATTCTTTTGTTTAAAATTGAATTTTTTTTTTAATTGTTTAGTTAACTATCTATTTTGGACCAAACACTGCTGTGAGGAGAAAGGCAAGACAGACCCGAAGTGTGCTGGCCAAGTAATACCCGATGATGATCCAGTACATCGGTTTTCCGACGTGCGCTGTCTGAATTTGACGCAACCCTACACCTTTCAAACAATCGGCTGTGCTGACAAGAATACCACTCCGGAAAGGGCAAGTTTCTAATTGTATATGCATCCATTGTCTTCCTTAATGTTGTTTCTTTTGGTAAAAATAAAGACTAGAATCTTTGTTAATGAAGATATTCAAATGATTTATTAACTTTCTTATAGAGAGTAATATAAGAGATTAAACCTATTCAATCTATTCAAGAGCCACAGTTTTGTCTTTATCTGGCTATACATACGAGTATCTAAAAAATTGGTAAATTAAATTGAAAAATTGATTTAAAGTCATTAATTGTTATTAGGAATTAGCAGAATCAATATAATATGTAAATTATATTAGGAAAATAATCTTACCCAATGTGCTGTAAAAAAGAGAGTACTATAAGTTTAAATATATTTTTTCTATAACAGCTTGTAACGGCAACGCCATTTTTTGATTTATCTCAAATATATAACGTAGACCGCAGCATTCAAAAAAGGAACAGAATGTTTAAAGACGGATTATTGAAGTATGAAGAGGAGAATGGACGGACTTGGCCACCCAGTCATCCTGAAAATTTAAGAAGACTCGTTTGTTCCACAAACAAAGAGCCAATCGAAACAAGATGTCACAGTATAGGTAAATGTTTTGTTGTTCGTTTGATTTCAATACTTTTTCTCCATATTTTTTTTAATATTTCTTTCTGTGGTTTGTTCTTTATTTTGGCTACTCTGTACGCTTTCACCAATATTACGAGTAAGTTATTTTGTTAGCACATAAAGTCATGTTAAGTCAAGTTAAACTTAAATTTATTATATTTACATTTTTAACTTATTAGACTATTTCAATAAGATTTTACATAAAAATATTTAATGTACAGATTCGACTCAGTTAGAATTTTATTATTTGTATAGATTACAGAGATATTGAAATACTTAGTGTATCGATTTTATAAAACTTTAACACTCACTGACTGATAGACAACACACAGCTGGGTGTTCACAAAATTAGACAGAAGAGTTTCTTATATAACAAAATATATGCACTAATTTTTACTCGACTGCATCGAAACCCAAAGGATTATGTGTTTGAACTGTGTGTATGTACTCGTATGTGTGAAATTTGTATGTCTGCTTGTTGTATGTCCGATCCTATTGCCTGGAACAGATTGCTCTTCCGATGTTGTGCTATTTCTTCTTTAATATGTATCTATAGGTCATGTAAATTTTTGGCGTGCAATAAGGAATACTACTAATAAGGAAACTTGTACGTCATTAGATTCGTCTTAAAAACGCGATTGTTATAGGTTATATGAATATAATTAAAAATCAAAAGATTTCAGATGTCAATTAGTGTCTTGAATTTTTTTTTAATTTAAACCCATCGATTGGGGTATCAAAATGAAAGTTCTTAATAGGTGATCACAAAAATACAACTCATATGTTAAAGCAATTTGGGATAAGATATTGTTAAATAAAATTCTGTAACTAAAAAGCTGTAAATAAAAAAATAATTATACAAATTGAAAAATCCGACTGCGTAAAAAGCGAAATAAAAGATGGGAAAAAGTTGACGATTTGTTTTTTGATATGTCCTTCGTGTGCTAGGTCTTCGTCTAAAGTCTAAACAGTTAATGTAACAAACTTATAATATCCAAATATCCTAACTGACTAACTGTGATACGACACGTTTAGCTTAGTGTGTAGTGACCCTACTTGCTGTGCCAGCGGTCCCGGGTTCGAGTCCCGCTGGGGGCATTCATTGAGTGATGAGCACGAATGTTTGTACTCCAGTCATGGGTGTTTATATTTATAATATGTATGTATTTAAAGTTTATATATGTGTAGTGTATCAACTATCTGGTATCCATAACACAAGCCTCATAGCTTACCATGGAACTAGATGGTGCTGTGTATTAATGTCCAATAATATTTATTATTATTTTAACTAACTTTCACACATATATGTTAATGTAAAACTAATTACAGGTGAAGAAAGCAATAACGGCGTTTTAGGAACAAATCTGTTCACAATCTGGACGTGGCGGCATCACAACCAAATTGCCTCAGAACTCTTGCGCATCAACCCTTGCTGGAACGATGAAGAGTTATACCGTACCGCGAGGGAGATCAACATCGCCATTTTAAGTCAAATATTTTTCTACGAGTTCAATTCTTTATTGCTAGGTACCTACCAGCTAGTTATGTGTATTATCTATAAGTTTATATAAGGATGTTTCAAATATCTCATCAAACTAGGTATTTCGTGTTATTACAATTTTTGCTTTTCATTAGTCTAGTTGATTATTTTGTTAAGTTACTATTTCAGTTAACGTAGTTTTGTTACTATTTTCATAACGTGTTTGTGTTTTGGTCTCGGAATAACACAAATATTATTATTAATTAATTTCTCCTAATGTAATCCTGATCACTTCCGGCCACGGCGGCCAATCTTCATGAGACTAACTAATTGCGTATGAGATATTTTAATGCAGCGCGTGTGTATGTGTGAGCAGACATAAGTGCACTCAATAATACTTTCTCAGATTTACGTGAATATTTGACATTTTAAATAAAACTATCTTTTCGGATTATTTCGCGGATTTATTTTGATTTTTGGTACCCGACGTTTCGAATGCTTTACAGCAATCATGGTCACGGGAGAGACTCAGTCTCTCCTGTGACCATAAGTCAAATCGGGAAAAATAGTTTTATTTAAAATAGGTGCTCTCTTTTCCTGCCACTATCACACTCCGGTGCGAAGACATGCGACACGATCCGGCGCAGGATCGTCGCGACACGTGCTCTCTGAGGCACGGGGGTGGAACACCGCGAACTTCCCACCTCCGGAGTGACCTGCGACTCGAACCCAGGACCTCCGGATCTGCAGCCATACATGCTAGCCACTAGACCACCGGGGCAATTAATGAACATTATATAACATGTAGTAATAATATATACTATTTATACATTTTAAGGCGCTGGAAACCTTTATCAAGAAGGAATACTATCGCCAACACAGGGATACAGGGACTTGTACGACGAGAATGTACGGCCTACACTGTCTATAGAATATGGCGTAGCCTTACGTTGGATGCATACAATTCAGGAAGGAAAAGCAAAGTAAGTAACTACTATTAATTATTATCTACTAATCTAATATATAAATATCTCGTGTCACAGTGTTTGTGGTCGCACTCCCCTGAAACTGCTCGACCGATTTTAATGATTTTTTTTGTTTATTTGGTAGGTATGAGAGAGAATAGGTCGTAAAGTATTTTTCAACCTCCAACTTTATTATGGGTGTATATTATATTTTATTTGTTTATATGTTTTTTGCTTATAAACGTTGAAAGAAGGCAGTGTTAGCCCACTGGTAACGCGCTCGCTTGGGAAACTATTCTTACGATTACGTCACAATATATACCTACTGTGATATATACTCGTATTACTTGTTCGCAAAAAAATAAATAATTATGTAAAAACCAGTGATAAAACAATAAACACTAGGAATAGAAATAAGCTTGTTACGCCCAGATTTCGACTCCAAAAGGTGAACAAGTCCTTCAAGGGCCTGAATATATATGCATATATATAATAAGACTAGCGGCTCACCCTCGCTTCGCTCGGGTTCACCTCTAGAAAAGCACAAACAGATCTATCCCACGGGAACCGTTCATTTTTACGGGATAAAAATAAGTAACCTGTTGTTTGACCTGTAATATAAGGTATCAGCATGCCAAAATTTACTAAATTAGGTGCATAAGTTGTTGTGTACTGAGCTGTATAAGTTACTATAAATTTTTAACTATCCCACGGGAACTCTTTAATTTTCCGGAATGAAAAGTATCGAATTTCATTTAAATAGGTTCAATAGTATCGGAGATTAGCCCGTACGAACAGACAAACAGACAGAGAAACAAAAAAATTGAAAAAATCTGGATTTGTTCTATTTCTTTCCTTACGGGATGTAAGAAGAGAACTGACTCGTTTTTTAGCAATTTTTTCTACCATCTATGTACAGACATTCGACCTCTACAGTTTTATTATTCATATATTATGTACCTATACTCAGATAGAATAAATAACGTATAATAAAACAGAAATATATAATAATGAAAATAGTTATAGCGAGTGTACCTTAGGAGATAGACATATACTATGTAGAACTTTTCTATAGACCTTTTTAAGACTTACAATTTCCTTGTACAATGTTTTGATCTATCTCTTAAGGTTGAGCCAACGTTAGCCGTATAAATTTCTAAGGACAATTCGATAGAACCAGTTATTGTATTTTCCCGTGGGAAAGAAAGATTTTCTTTAAGTAAAACGTATCTAGGCAGTGGTATCCAAATGGTAACGCGCTCGCTTGGGAAACCGAGTGAAGCAAGTTCAAATCCCGGGTCTAGCACCTCTGATATTGGCCAGCGTGGTGGACTATGGCCTGATCCACCTCGTACTGAAGGGAGGCCCGTGCGTGTGTTAAAAAGGGCTGAATACAACATACATACATACAAAAGGTACCCTAAATGTTGACTCGAGTAATAAGTTATCACTTCACAAAATTTCGTTGAAATTGGTACATTACTTTTCGCGTGAAACGCGCACACAAAAACAGACAAACAGACATACAGGCAAATAGACAAACAGACAATTTTTTTAATAACTATTGTTTTGGGGTCTATGTTGTGTACATAATACGTTACAAATAAACAAAAACATCTATCCCACGGGAAAAGTACATTTTTCCGGGATAAAAAGTTACCTATTTGTTATTCTGATGTATGAACTATATTATTGTAAAGTTTCATCAAAATCCAATCAGTGGTTTTTGTGTACTAAGCTGTATAAGTTACTATAGTTTTTTGACTATCTCACGGAAACTCTTTAATTTTCCGGGATGAAAAGTAGCTGATTTGTTTTTGGCATGTATGAACTATATTATTGTAAAGTTTCATTAAAATCCAATCAGTAGTTTTTGTGTCAAAATTTCATTTAAATAGGTCCAATAGATCCGGAGATTAGCCCGTACAAAGAGAAAAACAGATAAACAGCTCGCTCGGGTTCGTCTATACATACGAATATGTTGTATTATCTCTTTAACCATTTGTCCAAATTATATGCAGTAAAAGGGAAAAGTCTTTTATTTTAAACATTTTAGACGATAAATTTACTTATTTTGATAAGAATTCATAACTGTTGATAATATGACCAATAAACATGACCTACCGATTTAAATAATTTTTTTAATATAAAAAACTACTTTTTGTGACTTAAATATAAAAGTTAGACATATGCTGTCGCTGACTTTTTTGTAGGCATTATTAAGCTCTACAACTTTTCTCTAGAACATAATCATATATCTCTCATCGTTAAGGCAGCGTTCGTAAGAAACGTTTTCGTTCGACCGTTTTTTCTCCGACTTACTTTGCAAATGCGACTACCACGAAAAACCCTTTTCATTTTTCGGGTTAATATATAGCCTATGACACTCAGAAAGAACGTGGCTTTCTATTGGTAAAAGAATTTTGAAAATCGGTTCAGTAGATCCAGTGATTACCCCCTACAACGTCACAAACTCACAAACTCACAAGATCACAAACTTTACCTCTTTATAATATTATTAGTATAGATATCATAAAATGTCCTCTTCAAAAATCTAAGGATAAAATTAAAAATATTTTACTGAGCAAAGCGTATTACACTGTTCAAGAGTTTTTTGTTGATGGAAATGTGTGAAATTGAGAAATATTGACTCATATGCGAGCTATCTATATTGTTATGTAAATAAAATAAATGTAACTTCGACATTTAAAAGAGCAACTGTTGAGTTTTTTGCCGGCTCTTCTCAGGAGAACTGCTTTCCGAGACGGTGGTAGCTTCCATACGGATTGACTGCACAGACACTTAAATTGAATTACCGATTCAAAAGTGCTTGTAATAAGTCTAAGTGAAAAAAAAAATCATTACATCTTAACAATATTATTACGTTTAATTGGACAACATTTTATTGGAATGGTTACGTTATAGATCTTTAGTAGGTACGTTTTAAATAGTTATAAGCCGGTGTTATCCATTAAAAATTAATTTATTTTTTGAATTTTTTTGATGTTTAATAGTTATTATCCTATTCTGGACTAAGAGAAATCCAAAAAATCTAACATCATAAAAATTGGTCCAGCCGTTCTTAAGTTATAAATGGTTGTAACTAACACGACTTTGTTTTATATATATAGATTTATTAATTTATATCTTCACTACTTTCAGAATGTACGACTTTGAAGGCAATTATTTGAAAAGTGTTGATATAGCCAACCTAACTCTTAGGACGGGGTTCTTGGCAGTTGAAAACCACATAGACTATATAACACAAGGCGCCTTCAGACAAGCGGCTGGGAAAATTGATCAGACTATAGATCCTGATGTAAATTTTAAATTCTAATTAAACTTGTGGCTAGTTTTTTTTTCATCATTTAATTTTGATTTAGTACACAAAGACACGCTTAAAGACAACCTAGCACTAATTTATATGACAGTACAAATTACAATTCTTGGGAACAAGTCTTGGGGAATTTAAGGTATTTCCATGCTAACTGAGTGAAATGAGAACCAGCTATTTTCAATCTGGATCGAAATAAATACACCCAATTTTTTCATAAATGTGGACACCGAAATAAAAATACGAAAAATACTTTTGGATGTGTTTTTTACACAATTTAAAACCTTTATTTTCCTCTTGAAATAGCCTTTCCTGGCTCTCCATAAATCACTTTTATATTTAAAAAAAACGTTATTCGACATAAACCTTTTTACGAGCTTCCATTAATGTATGTCGCCATAGCTGTTATAAAATTCGAGTACTTTATATAGATGGCCGATGCAGCTTTCGGTGTACTTCAGAGAGCGACAGACCTAAGCACGAGTGATCTGGCGAAGAACCGTCTACTGGGAACTGCGCCGTACATCTGGTACAGAAAACAATGCTTTGGCGATATTATAAGGAGTTTCGATGATCTCAAAGAAGCTATTAATTCAGAAGTGAGAATGTATATGTATAATTATTTTAAATATCTTAACTTTTGCTTCGCTCAGGTGAATCACTAGCTTAACAGTACCTTATATAATACTCTTTCATACTCGTAGGTAACCTGTGTAATAAATTTCATCTAAATCCATCCAGCCGTTTCGGCTTAAGGAAGTAAGAAACATATACTCAAACACTCACACATTCAAACTTTTGCATTTCTAAATGTTGTCCGATCAAATATTCTTGTAGCTGAGCCATCTTGTATGCAAGCTATTATTTACGTTTTCATTGACCTGAGAATTACCTTGGAATATTTCAGAACATAGAACTATTGAAGGAATTGTATAAGGACGTGGAAGATATAGACCTCTTAGCAGGAATTTGGATAGAGAGGCCGATACCCGGAGCCCGAGTTCCTGCAACATTCTACTGCCTCATCATGGACCAGCTCCGCAGGATTGTGATCAGTGATCGACACTGGTATGAAAGACCAAACAGACCAAATGCATTCAATATTAGTGAGTATTTATTCATTAGCAGTTATGAGTGCACCAGAAGTCCAAGTCTTTTCTTTCTCCTGAAAAGTTCGTTATAATGACCACTGTATAAATTCAACAATTGTTCCTTGTTTTCAAAGGTACTCAAAATTTCTGATACTTTAACAATTCCTGTCAAAACTATATAATCTTCTTAATCGTTTTCTTCTAAACTTAATGGCCTAAGAGCCTGTGAACGCCAGACAAATGTTCCAAGCAAGTTGGGAGGCATTTCTAAGAAAATGTTGCAAATGGTCACCAAATTTGAAGCGCTAAGAATTGACTTTATTTTTGATGGTGTGTAATAAATGCTATGCTAGCAGTCTTATAAATAATCTAATTATTACCCAAGTATTATATATAAAAATCGACTTTTATACTATAACGTAAGTAGAATTATAATTTCATGAAAAGGGTGTCTGGCAAGGGTTTGCCACGATGTTAAGTGTCTGGCATTGAATGACGTGATTTTTAATAATATTCTGAAGGTAATACCAAAAAATGACACTTTATTATTTGACGAATTTAGATCGGTATTTTACACATCTTTAGTACTGTATACCTGCCAAAGCCACCACATAGCCTGAACTTCATAATGGTCCATCGTTCTTATCTGTGTTGGGAGCATGCGCTGACAAACTTTCAGCCTTTTTAAAATGACGAAGGTCTGGTGTTCACGGGCTCTTGCTCTATAAGGTTTCTAACTCCATTTACGAATGTATGAATAAACAGGTAGTACTTACCTTACTGGTTTTTATTAATGCAATATTTTATTTGTACCTACTTAGTATCATATTTTATAAATTATAATTATGTGTATAATATGTATTGGTATTCCTGTCTGTATATATGTATATATATGTATTATATATGTATGTATGTATTCATGTATTATATTCAGAAATTGTGTATTGTCGTTTTAAAATAACGAAAATATGACAAATTTGACTAACTTACTGAATTTCGTAGAAGCTAAATTGGCCCCAAATTTATTTTCGCAGGATAACACAATATTTTTTTAATGTATTTTGAAAGATGATTTTGATATTCAGAGGCTCTCTCATACCAAAATTATTTCGGTACCGTCCAACATACCACGATCCCTTAAAGAGTCAATGAAACTTTCGCAACGTACAACCTGCACACGTACCCTATATTCTTAAGATTGATGATAAAATAAATATTTGCAGACCAGTTACTTGAAATAAGGAAAGCCACGATCGCGCGTCTAATGTGTGACGTCGGAGACAAGGTCACGCGCATTCAGCCAAGAGCCTTCTTGATACCAGGACCGGGGTGAGTCGGAACATAGAAAAATTTCCTTTAAATATATACATTTACCGCAGTTCCGTTCATGAAGTGTATTTATGTACGTAGAATTGCTTCTCTGCTAAGTGTCGTAGCGTAAAATGTACAGTTTCGGTGGGATAGATTTGTTTTTATTTTTCACGGAGTAAGGGATCAACTATCTATTCCATACTCATCGTTAAAACATACCTAGGGGTGAACCCGAGCTAAGCGAGTGTGAGTCGCTCCGAGTGTGAGTCGCTAGTATGCTATAAAATGCAAAAATATTTGTTCAAATCCGGACTGATAGTACCTTCTGGTAAATGCGCTCAAATAAAAAAAAACAATCTTGTAAAAGTACAGATAAAAGTGTAACAAATATATTTTTCTACCAATGTGCAGATGAATTTGAACATTGCTTAATCTGTATGCATTTAGAATATCTAAAAATTATTTTAAGAGTAGTTTTGGGTGTAGACTATAGGGCTATTTGCAGTACTTGTAAGATTGTGTTGAAATATTAGTAGTGTCATTGAATTATTATTTATTATTTGCAGAAATGAAATTCGGAGTTGCTCCGAAATTGAAAAAATCGATATAGGAGCTTGGAAGGATCCACAGTGCGAGCAGCTTTGTTTTAAGCAACACCATTAATTAACGTTTGCTTATAAACGATGTTTTTTAGTAAGCTTTTATTTTATATTATTCTATTATTCCGTCATAAATGGTTATTTTATTTCTTTATTTATTAGTCTAGAAAATTTATCAAAAATATGCTTTTTGTCATTTAAAAATATGCTTAAATAAATGTCCGATTAAATTATTGATTTTAATTCAATATTTTTTTAACGTTGGGAAATGTATTGATACATATCATCTCCATACAAACAGGTGGTGGAGTAATGATCTTGTAAGAAGTTACTGAAGTGTTATATAAAATAAATGCTAGAACAGGATTCTATAGGTAAATAAATATTTCTCAATGAAAGAGAAAATGAACAGAATTTCAGTATTAACAACCCGATGAAGTCGTATTAAGCCTTAAAATAATTACAAAGTAGAGTTTCATGTTAAAAATTTTAGATTTTAGATCAGCAATTAATTTTTGAGATTTTGAAGAGATAAAAACTTAACTAAATTTTGAACTTAAATTTGAAAAAGGTAAAAATGGAACCTTTATAATGTCGTGATGGTCCTCGATGCCATTTTACTTGAAGACAATTGCATAAATCCACATGAACGTGCGGGGTATTCTTGAATAGATCAAGCAAAATTAACTTAACAACAAGCTTTGGTAGCAATGTCTGTAGATTCGTAGGTCTGGGATTTGAGGCTCGTATCTGGAAAACGTTAGTAATTGGATTTTTCTATCAGGAAAACATTCTCAGTGATAATAGTTAGGAAGTTGACGGTGTTACATTTTTAGGCTGTGGAAACCGAGTGAAGCGGGTTCAAATCCCGGGTCTCGCACTCCCGAAATTGTCATATGCGAACATGTCCAACATGTTTACCACTTGTCTTATAGGGATAAAAAAATCATGTGGAAACCTGCATTTCTGAGAGAACCTGCCAAGTTTTCGTAAACTATGTGAAGTCCGCCAGTCTCCACTTGGCTAGTTCAATTCAATTTTTCTTGTTATTAATTTCTAAGACATCATATAACGGTATCAAAATTATTTTATTATTTAATGTAACCTCCTAATATTTTGGAACGTTCTCTAATGTATATTATAAGTTATCAGGTCCAGTCACTAGGTTCCAGTTTGACGTAATCTTTCTATTGCATATGTTGTCCAGGATATATAGCAGACTAAGGTTTTTCTCGCGGCTCCGCAGATCTAGTTATCCTGATGTATAAACTAAATTACTGCAAAGTTTCATCAAAATCCGTTCAGCAGTTATTGCATGAAAGAGTAACAAGCATCTATCCATCCATCCATTCTCATTTTCGCGTTTACAATATTAGTAAGATTGATAAAATTAATATTAATGGAATAAATTAATTCTTATTGATTCCTTAATCGAAAGCTACCTTAGTCTAATAATTATTCTGCAAGATTGAAAAAATAGAACCCATGTCTGGAGCATATCAATAAGCAAGTCTCTCAGAGGTGATTTATCGGGACCCGATGAATTAACTTGGAATAACTTGGGGTTGTTCTGAGTAAACTAATTACCGGCTCGGAACTGGCCTATCTTGTAATACAAAACTAGATCTAGTCCAAGTGATAGAGGTAATAATATCTACTGAATAATATATTTTTTTTCTATATCATATAAAACCAGTTATAATAATGTTGATAAAATTAAATTAGTGATACATATCAAGTTAGATAGAAAAATTTAAAGTCGAATGAAATAATTATATAAATAACTATAATTAAATATATAAATATAACAAATACGTTAGGCACATTGTGAACTTGAATTATATTTCGAGGATAGCTCTTGATAAAATAAGAACTAATGGTCTAAAGACCCTAACGGATTTTTTAAATGAATAATAAGCTAAAACTTCATGAGAAGCCTCTTATATTAATTTCATCGTTACTAATATATAAACCACTTTATTTGTAGGACAATTATTGTAATATCGTGTTTCTCATTTTATTTCTGAAAGAAAAAAAAAACTTGTTATTAATGAAAAAAGTATCACCGTCGGGGCAATGATATCCGAGCATAGGTCTGAGAATCCTGCTATTTTAATTGTAGGACGAATTGATCATTCAACTATGCATATTTTTAATAATAAATATTATGAAAATTAGCCGGTTATCAATAAATTTTATGACGTTGTTATAAGTTATAAGTTCGGAGAGGGGGACGATTTGATTCAAATCATTTGTTTTGTAGGACAACATTTTTTTGTTAGATCATAAAACAACCTGTTAGTAATAAATTTTAGACTATCATTTTGACATATTGTTTCGTATGAAGCCACAATTGCATCTACCACTATCAAATTATCGTAGAAGAAATAGGGCGTCTCGCCAAAATGAAGCTACTTACAAAGTTTTAGCTTGTTATTAATTATTAAAAAATCCGTTGGAAACTGTATGTAGACCATAAACTAAACCATTTAAGAATTTCTCTAATTTTATTTCAATGGATAATCACACCCAAAATCCCATTTAAAATCTTTTGATAAATACTCATATTATAATGCAGGAGTAAAGGGATTTTTGCGGATTTATTTTGATTTTTGGTTCTCGACGTTTTGAATGCTTTACGGCCATTATGGTCTCGGAAAAAAGCTTGCTGTAAAGCATTCGAAACGATCTCGTTTTTAATTCGATTTAAAACTTGCGGCTCATCCTCGCTTGGCTCGAGTTCGCCTCTAGAAAACAAAAACAAATCTATTCCACAGAAACCGTAATTTTTTTCGAGATAAAAAGTAAACTTATGTGCTATTCCAGACTATAATTTATCTCTGTGCTGAATTTCATCCAGATCCGTTCAGCTGTTCTGGCGTGATTGAGTAACAAATATCAAAACATCCGTCTAAATTCTAAACTTTCACATTTATAATATTAGTAAGATATCAAATATTTGCAGGAGTAAAGTTTAGTAGTCGTAACATTGTGATATAATACAGGTAAGCTCATAGACTATAAGTTGTCGTAACTAATTCATAGCGCGATTAGTCAGGAGTCCACTTTATTTGTTCGTCCCTCGAGCCGTTTAAGGATATCACTTGACCTTGTAAGGTCGAGTGTTCAAGATCACAAGGTTAGTACCAAGAGGAATGTAATGTTAAAAAAGGTCATGAATATAATACTCGTATATTAGTAAGTATTAAGGTTACCCTAATATATTATTATAATATATTTTGCAGGCACATCATATGATTAGACTTTTTACAAATGGTGATGTTTGTTTGCAATTTCTCGAGCATTTGTAAAATACCCAGCCCTGGATTTACACTAGGGGCACTCGGGGCTAGTGCCCAGGGCGGCAAATTTTTAGGGGCGGCATAATTCGGAGGGTGGGGGAAAAAATCTCTTCGCGTTATCGAAAATGCTTTTTTTAAAAAAAAAAAGAATAAATAGTAGGTACATTTTTCGACAAACTGATATCGTCTATAAATTATTTCATTGCAATTTTCAAAATATATTTATTTTTTTTTAACTTTCAACATTATATGCAAAATTTCGATAATAGGGCGGCATTTTTTACTATGCCCAGGGGCGGCGCTAAATTGTAAAAGTTGGATTGTTAAATACATCTGTGAGTATTACTACTTTCTCTTGAACCCAAGATCTTGTTCAAGAGACAGAGATCTAACAAGATGACTAATTCTCTTTCCTTGAGACCTTCTCACCGACCGTGATCGGTCGGATATGTCATCAAGCATATGTCATCAATTCACCATAATGCAATGTCGAAAACAACGCCAAGCTGCAATGAAATTTCAGAAGAATTTTGCAATTTGCCTTCGGCATTTTACAAACATTTGAAAACAAACGGTACCGCTTACATTATGGCGAATTATATAATATGCCTTCGACATATATATTATTTTGATTAACTTAGTTATATAAGCCGTGTACAACTTGTTATTATATCTCAAGTTTAATGAGTAAAGTTATTAAGTACGACTTTTATAGTGTTCGGAAACTAGTTCTATCTGATGATGATGATGATCATAGGTCTATCTATAGGTATTTATAGTAAATATATAAAACCTTTTGTACGTATGTTAAACGGATTTAACTAAAAATCTATCCAACAGATTGTAATGAAACTTTTTTTAAATATTCCTTAAGATTCCAAAAGTGATAGATATGTTATATTTGATTTTTTAAATAAAATCTGGAATTGGAAGCAGCAAAGCTATGTGTGTAATGCTGTCGGTCGCGCGTGCAAATTAACTATTTTTTTAATTAACCCTAGCCATATATATAGTGTGTATAAAAGTCGATGTGTGTAAGTATATTCCCTATGGACTCTAAAAGGACTGGAGCGATTTTGATGAAATTTCCAGGCAATCTTCAGATTAGATCAGCGGGTGATCCTGTGAAAATTGGTAGCGACCGAAAGTTTGAACGAGGGCGAAGCCGCCTCTAATGCTATTCTATACTAATTTTATAAAAAGAAAACATTAGAATATTTGTTTGTAATGACTAAACTGAAAATCCGTTGAACCGATTTAGATGAAATTTGGTATGAAGATAGCTTAAGACCCTGGAAAGGACATATGATAGTTATTATACCGGAAATCATAGGAATAGTTTCCGGTATAAAAACTATCAAGGGGGCGTATAAGGTGGCGAAAGTGGGGAAGAAAGTTTGTATGAGAAATCAATCATGTCTCAAGTAATGGACATAAAACTCATCTTACCTATGTATATATACATAATAAATATATACGATACAAATAAGTTTTATATCTTCTTTGATGTCTTCTTGATCGATTTCAAGGATGGCTGTTCAATCTTCCTGAGACTAGCCAACTGCGAAGGAGATGGTATAATACACAAAAACGCTCTCTATTTCTCTCCAATTCCAATGAGACGATAATTCGACACTTACGGTGCACCAGTGAACTTCCTAACTCCAGGCTGTTACTGGGGCTTCTTTCACAGAAAGACTCAATAGCTAAACTTGGCCCGGCTCAGGACTCGAACCCAGGGCCTCTGGATGTTCAGCCG